CTTGCATCTCCCCATACCGCCTCCAGCGCCTCTGCAGCGTCGTCCACGCCCGTGCCCGTGCCCGTGCCCGTGCCCGTCGCTACACAGGCGCCAAGGGCGACGCTGGGCGTGGGGGGGGCGCTGGAGGCGCCTGTGACGCCACCCGCCACACCCGCCAGGTCGCCCGCCAGCATGCGCCCGCGCCGCTGCTCCGGGTCGCTCAGGTACACGGGTCCCCCTTCCGCCCTCCCCCCTGCCCCCTCCTCCGCACGGCCCCCACCGTCGCCCACGGGCCATACTGAGTCGTCTTCAGCCATGCTGCTTTCTGCCTTCTCCCCTTCGCCCCCCACCCGCTTACCCGCCTGTCCTTCCTGCGCCCGCTCCTGCCACTGCCTGGGCCCATCTGCGCACCCCTTCTTCTCCACGCCAACAACCCTCGGCCTGCCTCGCGGCCTCCCTGTCGGCCCCTTGCTCTTCCGCCCCCTGCCGCTCGCCCCCATTCCGGCACCGCCGCCCGACGGTCCCTTGCTGCCCCGCCCCTCGTCGCCCCCTGTCCGCTGTGGGCCGCCATGCAGCCCCGCCGGGCGGCCAGGACCACCACCGCCCGCGGATTCGATGGCGCGGCGAGCGCCACACGCGCTCATCCGCCAGGCCTCCGTCTCGCCCTCGCCGCGCTGCCCGCTGCTGCCATCCCCCGCACGGCCCGCTCCCCGCAACTCAGCCGCCGCCTCGCTGTCCTTGAACTGAACCACAGCGGGACCGTCCTTGACCTTGTCGCGCCCAACCTCGCTCCGCTCTCCCCATGCCGCCGCCTCCATTTCGCCGCTCCCGACGCCGGCTTTCTCGGCATCTGCAGGCGACGCAGAGGGGGTTGCGGGCGCGCGCGGCGTTGAGGCGGGGGACGGAAGATGGGCAGAGGCCGGAATGCGAATCAAGGGCGGAGCGTGCGACGGAGTGAGCGCGGCGAGCGACCCTTTCTTGCCGCTGCCCTTGGGCCGCCCTCGCTTCCTCTTCACCACCACCTCTCCCCCCTCCCCCCGTTCCTCCGCTCGCACCACGACGCCGCCGCCCACGGTGTGAGTTCCTGCGCTCGGCGCGCAGCCCGCAATGACAGCTGCCGCCTGCGACGCCTGGGCGGGAAAAGAGTTCTCGTCCCCGCCAGCCAGCGAATACTGGGCGACGGGCCGAACGGCAGAGTGCAGTTGGCCGCCACCATTGGCTGGCCGCGCGCCGTTCCTCCGTCCGTCGCCGATGGGCGACGTAAACGAGCGACGTGCGAAAAGCGCAGCAGCAGGCGGAGCGGCATAGTCATCACTGGCGCCAACAGCGGAGCCATCGTCATCGTCGTCCGCGAGGACCACCGTGGCGAGTCCCGCCTGCCGCTGCCCGCCGTACCAGCTTCCCGCGCACTCGTCTGCGGCTTGCGCGGCATCTGGCACGCAGGGCTGCGCGGAGCAGCGGAGCCACGTGAAGGCGGAGTCGAGAACCGCCAGCACCTCCGCCTCTCGTGCGTCCAGCACCGCGCGCAGCCGCACGTTGGCCTTGGGGGTTATGGGCGCACTGACCCGCTACTTAACAAGCCCTTTTATCCCAGTGGTCTAGTGACTGGGATTTTGACAATTCCGAGCGTTTTTCTTCCACCGGGTCACATGAATGCGCTCTTCTGGGCCTATTGCCAAGCCAGCAACGGTGTGGGAGGGTTGCGAGCATCATTGGTCATCGGCGCTCGCGAATGAAGAGCGCCCGCTGCACTTCCTGCAATGTGCGGATCCTTCCGCGTTTTGAGGCTGGAAGCGCTCGTTCCAAAGGTATTTCTTCAACCGGGTCACGTGGATGCGCTTCTCTGGGCCTATTGCCAAGCCAGCAAGGGTGTGAGAGGGTTGCGAGCATCATTGGTCATCGGCGCTCGCGAATGAAGAGCGCCCGCTGCAGTTCCTGCACATGTGCGGATCCTTACGCGTTTTGGGGCTAGAAGCGCTCGTTCCGAGCGTTTTTCTTTCACCGGATCATGTGGCTGTGCTTGTCTGGGCCTATTGCCAAGCCTGCAAGGGCGTAGGAGGGTTGCGAACATCATTGGTCATCGGCGCTCACGAATGAAGAACGCACGCTGCACTTCCTCCTCATGTGCGGATCCTTGCGCGTTTTGAGGCTGAAAGCGCTCGTTCCGAGCGTTTTTTCTTCCACCGGGTCACGTGGTTGCGCGTGTCTGGGTCTATTTCCAAGCCAGCAAGGGCGTGGGAGGGTTGCGAGCATCATTGGTCATCGGCGTTCGCGAATGAAGAGCGTCCGCTACACTTCCTGCACATGTGCGGATCCTTGCGCGTTTTAAGGCTACAAGCGCTCGTTCCGAGCGTTTTTCTTCCACCGGGTCACGTGGCTGCGTTTTTCTGGGCCTATAGCCAAGCCAGAAAGAGTGTGGGAGGGTTGCGAGCATCATTGGTCATCGGCGCTCGCGAATGAAGAGCGTTCGCTGCACTTCCTGCACACGTGCGGATCCTTCCGTGTTTTGAGGTTGGAAGCGCTCGTTACGAGCGTTTTTCTCCCACCGGGTCATGTGGTTGCGCTTGTCTGGGCCAATTGCCAAGCCATCAAGGGCGCGAGAGGGTTGCGAGCATCATTAGTCATCGGCGCTCGCGAATAAAGAGCGTCCGCTGCACTTCATGCACATGTGCGGATCCTTGCGCGTTTTGAGGCTGGAAGCGCTCTTTCCGGGCGTTTTTCTTCCACCGGGTCACGTGGCTGCGCTTGCCTGGGCCTATTGCCAAGCCAGCATGGGCGTGGGAGGGTTGCGATCGTCATTGGTCATCGGCGCTCGCGAATGAATGGCGCCCGCTGCACTTCCTGCACATGTGCGGATCCTTCCGCGTTTTGAGGCTGGACGCGCTCGTTCCAAAGGTTTTTCTTCCACCGGGTCACGAGGATGCGCTTGTCTGGGCCTATCGCCAAGCTAGCAAGGGTGTGGAAGGGTTGCGAGCATCATTGGTCATCGGCGCTCGCGAATGAAGAGCGCCCGCTGCACTTCCTGCACATGTGCGGATCCTTGCGCGTTTAGAGGCTGGAAGCGCTCGTTCCGAGCGTTTTTCTTTCACCGGGTCACGTGGTTGCGCTTCTCTAAGCCTATTGCCTAGCCAACAAAGGCATGGGAGGGTTGCGATCGTCATTGATCATCGGCGCTCGCGAATGAAGAGCGACCGCTGCTCTTCCTGCACATGTGCGGATCCTTGCGCGTTTTGAGGCTGGAAGCGCTCGTTCCGAGCGTTTTTCTTCCACCGGGTAACGTGGCTGCGATTTTCTGGGCCTATTGCCAAGCCAACAAGGGCGTGGGAGGGTTGCGGGCATCATTGGTCATCGGTGCTCGCGAATGAAGAGCGACCGCTGCACTTCCTGCACATGTGCGGATCCTTGCGCGTTTTGAGGCTGGAAGCGATCGTTCCGAGCGTTTTTCTTCCACCAGGTCACATGGCTGCGCTTGTCTAGGCCTACTACCCAGCCAGCAAGGGCGTGGGATGGTTGCAAGCATCATTGGTCATCGGCGCTCGCGAATGATGTGCGCCCGCTGCACTTCCTCCATCCCTCAACTGCGTTGCTCGCACCCTCAGCTGCGTTGTTTGCACGCTCAACTACGTTGCTCGCATGCTCTGCTGCGTTGCTCGCACGCTCAGCTGCGTTGCTCGCATGCTCAGCTGCGTTGCTCGCGCGCTCAGCTGCGTTGCTCGCACGCTCAGCTGCGTTGCCGCACGCTTTGTTGCGTTGCTCGCACACTCAGCTGTGATGCTCGCACACTCAGTTGCAATGCTCGATGCGTTGCTCTCATACGGGGGAACGGGGGAGGGAGGAACTGGGGGAGGGGCGCCTCTACCTGGCTGACGATAACCCTAGTGTGTAGGGTACCGGTAAGTCGATAGGCCTAGGAACTAAATAGCATGATACCATCAAAGAGTAGGTAGAGGCATGGTCGATAATAGGAAGGGAAGTACAAATTGATGTCGAGAAGGTTTGCTACACTCTACTCTGTACCTCAACAATATAGAGTAACATTCATATTTGTTATTTGACAGTCACTCACCCCAAGGGCATTTATTTATCCAAATGATTACAGTAATGTTTCTCCCATTAGGATGGCAAATCAAAAATACTAAAATATACCCTCCATCCCCGTATTACCTACCCTAGGTCGTCAAACTAGGGAAATATTTATCCAGGGGAAAACCTGGGAGCAGAAGTCTTGCAAATATTCGTTCTCTTAAAGCCCGCATGCAAAATAGTGACCCCCGTCCCAACTTGAAAGTGGTGTTGCGACAATATTTTTTTAAGCGAAGAGAGAATGAAACAAGTCTGACAAAACACTGCTTGAAACAAAACGTGCGGGCAGAGTGAGCTCATGTGATTGGCTCTCGCCAAAATGGGATGTTGTCGCTCCCGCCAGAATGGACTTTCCCGCTCACATTTCTGCGACCTGCACTTGCACGACCGTTCCCTGGCGATGGTTTCCATCGTCCTTGCGATGTGTTCCATCGCAAGGCCAACTTCAATATCAAGCTGGTCCTGGGTTCATAACTCCCTGATTTCTACTTCCTTACTCCCTAGTCTTTTTCCACACGCATAGTATAGCGGAAAGCATATGTGCTTGTGTCATAGGCACGGAATTATCGACGACTGCGTTTATTCGCATGAATGGGTGATTTAGTATTACGTAGCCTAGTAGCGCAGTGCTATTTTTCCCGCCAGTAGCACAATCGTCAACCTCCGCATCGCCGTCAGCCCATGTCGCCTTTCCCTCGCCATTACCTTCGCCCCCCCTTTACCCGTCGCACTTCGCGTACCCTCCCCGTTTCCCCTCCCATCACCCACTTCGTTACATTCTCGCTCACCCTGAAACGCCCTCTCGTCGCCCTTCCTTTCTCCCCTCCCGCCACCCACCTCGTCGCCTATGCGCTCGCCTCAAAATCGTGGCGCACTCTCGTCGCCTCCCACGTCTCCCCTCCTATTACCCACATCATCGTCGTCGCCCTAAGCCCGCAATGCCCTCTTGTTGCGCGCAGTCGACTCTCCTCGCCCATCGCCCTGCCGCTGGCCTTGAAACGCCCTCGCGGCTCCCTTCTTCACTCCCCTCCCATTACCCACTTCCTCGCCTTTGCGCTCGCTCTGAGCCGCCCTCCCGTTGCCTATCATCTCTCCACTCCCATCCCGTCGCCCTCGTGTTCCCCTCTCATCTCGCCCTCGAACCGGGCTCTTGTCCAGTAGCCCTCATTGTTTCTGTCGCCCTCTCTCTCCTCTTCCCTCACATTGTTTCTCTCTGTTTTTTCCCTCCTTTTGGTTTTCTCAGCGATTTTGCCGCCCTCTCTCAGGCCCAAAGTCTTCATACGCAGCAAATAATCCTAACCTCTCTCGCTCTTTGCAGAACCTTCACAAGCTGCCACCGCGCTTGTGCTTGTCACCTTCCCCCGCCATCGCGCTCACGTTCTCCCCTTCCCCCGCCATCGCGCTCACGTTCTCCCCTTCCCCCGCCATCGCGCTCACGTTCTCCCCTTCCCCCGCCATCACGCTCACGTTCTCCCCTTCCCCCGCCATCCCGCTCACGTTCTCCCATCTTCGCACCACCTTCGCGCTCATGGTCTCCCCTCCCATCTCCCTCGTGCTCACGTTCTCGTCTCTCATCGCCTTCTCGCTCGCACCTCCCGTCCCTTCCTGTTGCCCTCGTGTTCTCCCGTCCCGTCCCGTCGCCTTCGCGCTCGCACCTCCCGTCCCGTACCGTCGCCCTCGTGCCCTCCCCTCCCCAATGCTCCTCCCATCACCCAACCAGTAACCTTTGGCCCCTTGTTCTCTCCCTCTCCCCTCGCGTCCGTGTTTCCGTCGGCCTCTCACTCTCCTCTTCCGACTCCTTGACTCACTTTGTTTATCACCTTCTCCTGTTTGTTTTTCTCTGCATAATTCACACCCCCGAACCCATTCCTACAGCTCTCGCTTTTTGCTGAAGGCTCAGGCGCTACCGATGCAAGTGTTTGTCTCTGCATGTGGAATTCCCACGACGTAGAACTGGGAATTTGAATGTGGAACGAATGTGAATGTGGCACGAATGTGAATGTGCCACGAACGTGATTTTGGCACCCCTTACGACACATTTGCCCAACCCTGCGACCAGATTCCTCGATCAAAATCGAAAAGATGGTTCAGTGGTATCTGGAAAAAAAGAAAAACTGCAACACATGGGCTGACGCTATCAGAGTAAATAGTCTGATTAGTCTGACGGATCAGACCATCGAGTTTGTGAAAAATGGAATTCCAGAGTAGTCAAATTTTCATCACTGAGAGCCTCAGAGTTATTGTTTTATGGCCCCTGATTCAGTGTAATAGGCCTAAGTGTTAGTCATTTCTGGAGTCTGTCACTACAGAGTATGCGTTCTGTGGTCCCTGCATGCGAGTTTATCGGGAGGAAGCTTCCTCGAAATTTCCTTTCGATACACCCACCTCCGAGGTGGCAGCGAATGCCAACACGTGAGCAAAGCACACAGCACCTGCTGCGATATCTGAATACACTCTATCTGTGGCAGTATCACGCAGGTTGAATTGTGTCCCACAGTGGGTTAACCGTTGAAGCGGGCTAGAAAAAGAAGCCCAATAGTGATGTCTTAGCGGATAGCACAACAAATTGGCGAATCGGTGGGAGAGGATACCGTATTACCCCGGATAAAAGCGCAGGTGCGCTTATAATAAAACAGTGTTTTTTGGGGGGGTGCGCTTCTAATTGAGGTGTCTGTATACGCGCATGCGCCTATAATAAGGAAAAAATGAAATTCACTTTTAAACATACTAAACTGAAGCCCGCAATAAGGCGAATCCAACGGACCATGCAACAAGTGGGATCGTGCATGGTTTTCAGGCAAAAACAGTTGCGGTTCGGTTTCCCACCGCACAAAGTTGTCTAGAACCATCGAACGTGACAGGAGTGACGAGGATGTTGCTGTGCGGCCCAATCACAGCCGCATGCGCTGCGTGGCATCTGCATTTCTTCCGAACCCTCTCGAAGGGTGGGGAAGATTCCCTGCCAGCGCAGCGAATATGCTGCCACGCAGGTTCCTCTACGGGGGTAGGCGGGGGTTTCGTGCCTGTCATTGACGAGGACCCCGAGCCGCTAGCCCGCAGGGGTCCCCGTCGTTGCCCATTTGTGCACCCTCCTCCTCATTTTTTTCATTCAGTTTCTAGTCTAGCCCGCCTGGCTGGCAAAGCCATGGCGGAATTCAGTGGGACGCACCTCCTTTTCAAGAAGAAACCAACCCGCGCCTGGCGACTAACCTCGGACGGGTGGTATACACGTGAGCCACTAGCGCCTCCAGTGCCACCTACACCCCCTGCACCGCCTGCTCCGCCTGCTCCTCCTGCACCTCCTGCTCCTCCTGCTCCTCCCGCTCCTCCGAATCCTCCGACTCCTCCTGTTCCTGACGCGTGGGGTCACCATCGGCCCGTGCTCCAGTTATATTTGCCTGCCACTTTGGACGAGTGGTTGTCTGAACCGGACACACCCAAGGCTAGGCAAATCAATGGTCCGCCGACTGCACCTCGGTGGGGAAATCCTGAAGCCTGCACGTGGGACGAGTCGGCTGTGGGCGCCGACGATGACGTGGCCGCCGATAAACAACCCACATGCAACGGCGATGCTGGAGGCAACGGTGGAGTCGACGGTGAAGAGGGCGCCGAGGAGGACGTGTTCCCAGATCGTGAAGCTACAGACGCGGACGACGACGGTGTGGAGTCTTGGTGGCGCGACGCACCACGCGAGAAGATGCCGATACCAACGTATCCGTCGATTAACAAAAAACGACCCCACCCCTCCTCTGAGAACCGAGATGCCCGCCCCCCCTCTCCCAGGCACAAGCCGACTCAACACAAACGGCAGCGCTACACCGCCCAGGAGAAACTGAAGTGGCTCGTTCGGCTGGAGCTTGCTGCATCGATAAGCGAGGTCGCGCGGGAGTCCGGCATACACCGCAAATGCCTCACAGAGTGGAAAAACCAAGCGGAGGAGCTCAAGGCTGCACACAGTGCTCGGTGTCGACTTCATGGGCGCGGAAGGTCTTCCTGGTACAGACCCATGGAGATGAAGGTGTACGCCCAACTCCTGGACTGGCGACGCCGCGGTGTGGCAGTATCAGTCGGCCGGCTGCAAGACTGGTCAAAAGAGGTGATGAAGGTGTTGTTCCCGGACGTCAAGTGGAAGGCGAGTCAGCGCTGGACGGAGCGGTTCCGCAAGCGGTGGAATCTCACCGTGCGCATGAAAACAAAGGTGGCGCAAAAGACACAGCAGCGTAAGTGCCTGTCCGTGCACTGTCATCCTATCGTGAAATTTTATCTTGTATTTCAGTACTTTCTTGCCCATGTTTGTTTATCTGTAGCGGTGCTCATCCGCCCTTGTAACCGTTCCTCCCTCCCCGTGCGCAGACGTGGCCAAGCAGTGCAAGGAATTTTCGCAGTTTGTCCGCGACGCACGCCACGACTACGACATCGACAATCGTTACATCATCAATGCCGACCAGACGCCTTTGTGGCTGGAGATGCCGGCGACTACCACGGTGGAGCAGACGGGCGTGAAGTCGGTGCCCATCCGCAGTGGTGGTTACCAGAAAGAGAGAGTCACTGTGATGCTGGCGTGCACGGCGACGGGCGAGAAGTTGAAGCCGTGGGTGTTTTTCAAGCGCAAGACCCTCCCAAAGGGTGACTTTCCGAACGGTAAGAAACTGCGTATGCGCGTGTTTCCGAGGGGAAAAACAAAAGTAAAAACTAACCACCGCTTGCTTGTATGCAGATGTCGTGGTCGGTTGCCAAGCTAACGGGTGGATGGAGGCCTCAGGCGTAATCGAGTGGCTCGGTGCAGGCGTGGTGCCGTTCCTGAAACCGAAGTTCGGATTGCAGAGCCGGAGCGCCATGCTAGTGCTCGACTCCTATCGTGGACACCTGACACCCGAAGTCAAGGCGAAGTTTGCGGAACTCAACATCGTGCCGGCGGTCATCCCAGCGGGATGCACGGCAGACTTGCAGCCGCTCGATGTGTCGGTCAACAAAAGCTTCAAGGCGAGTGTTCGGCAGCAGTACCAGACCTGGTTCGAGCAGGACGGCATGAACATCCTGACACCCGCAGGTACGCAAAAGTGTTCTCCCGTGACCGCTTCGTCTGTATGTCTGCCTACTTGTGGACCCACGTGTTTCCCACCCCCGTGTATGTGGTGCAGGGAACATTAAGAAACCATCTCCGGAGGTGGTGCTCAAGTGGATTTCACGGGCGTGGAAAGCTGTGCCCGCCGACCTGATTAAGAGAGCGTTCCTCACCTGCGGCATCAGCAATGCCCTTGACGGGAGTGAAGACGGACTGGTGCTGGCGCACCGGAGAGGTCAGCTATCCCACGAGGTAGAGGTTGATGACGACATCCAAGCAGACGGGTTCTTTGGCAACAACTCCACGGAGTCTGAGTCGGACGAGGAGTAGGCCTTAGGCTAGACTAAACTTAAAAATGTTGTGTAGGCTAGGATGCTAGTCTAATGTATTTGACTTGAAAGTTTTAGTTGAAATTTTTAGCTAGAGTAATGTAGTTTGTACGAAGGTTGTAAAGAAAGTGAAAAAAACAACAGACATTCTTGTCTATACAGCAAGGGTGCGCTTATAATAAGTAAGGTTTTTTTAGAGGGTGCGCTTCTAATTGAGGATCGGCCATAAGCGCATTGCTCCAGATAGAAGCGCATGCGCTTAACATAGGCCTGCGGTTATATCCGGGGCGATACGGTATCTTGCCACAGGTAATGTATCGCACTTTTTGGTGCTGAAATCGAAAATTTCTCCGCACCACAGCACTTGAAATAAATTGTTCCTGATTCATAGGTTGAAAATTTATGTTGCGCGGCAGATTCTCGCGCGCCAAGTGGTGGTTTGTGTTTTGTGCCAGCTCAGCTGCGTGGCAGGTCGCCCAGTTGGCACTTGAAAAGTTGCGCCAAATCGAGCCAATGTTGCAACAGTCCTTCTCGCCCTTGAAGCTCACCGACAAACCAGAAGGAAAAAACAAAAAAAAAAAACCGCGACTCTGAAGTCATTTCCCCAACACTGAAGGACCAGAGTTGTGTTTTTTTCAACCCTGATTTCTTTTAACACGCTCAGAGTGGCCATTTTGCGGCCGAAGTGCCGTCAGAGTAGAAAAAAAAATTGCCTGTCAAAAACAGGGAGGCGTTTTTTGAAACGTCAGCCCTGTTACACCCTACAAACAAAACCTCTGAATCAGTATATCAAGTGGACCCAACTAGAAGGGGGGGGTCACTATTTTGCATGCGGGCTTTAAAAGACCAGCACGGTGAAATCAAGCTTAAATGGCAGTGCACAATTTCGAGCAGCTATATTTCACAACTAGCTTTAACCAAGACTGCTAAGGCATAGAGATGGGAGCCTCTCATTCCTGGCTCTGATCTTCAGGCAGGTGGGTGTGATCCTGAGAGCGCTCCCGCACCCACCCCCACCAAAGCCAGAGCACTTGAAGGCCTCCAGTCTGCACGGGATGCCACTTCACTGCAGCTGCCCCACACACCCCGCCCCATAACACCCTCCTTGCCCCCATCACCACTACCCTCCCCAACGTGCGACCCCCTCATCTTCTTCGCCACACGCCCCCCACCATCCTGCCCCCTCTCTTCCACCCTCTTTCCTGCCACCGCCACAGCACCACGCAGCATGCAATGCGCGTCAGCCAGCGCGTCCAAGCCATGTAGCCACGGCGTGCACGCCTGCATGTCATCCAGCACCAGCCCATCAGAACTGCCCATCGCAGCAGCCCCATGTGAACCACTTGCATCTCCCCATACCGCCTCCAGCGCCTCTGCAGCGTCGTCCACGCCCGTGCCCGTGCCCGTGCCCGTGCCCGTCGCTACACAGGCGCCAAGGGCGGCGCTGGGCGTGGGGGGGGCGCTGGAGGCGCCTGTGACGCCACCCGCCACACCCGCCAGGTCGCCCGCCAGCATGCGCCCGCGCCGCTGCTCCGGGTCGCTCAGGTACACGGGTCCCCCTTCCGCCCTCCCCCCTGCCCCCTCCTCCGCACGGCCCCCACCGTCGCCCACGGGCCATACTGAGTCGTCTTCAGCCATGCTGCTTTCTGCCTTCTCCCCTTCGCCCCCCACCCGCTTACCCGCCTGTCCTTCCTGCGCCCGCTCCTGCCACTGCCTGGGCCCATCTGCGCACCCCTTCTTCTCCACGCCAACAACCCTCGGCCTGCCTCGCGGCCTCCCTGTCGGCCCCTTGCTCTTCCGCCCCCTGCCGCTCGCCCCCATTCCGGCACCGCCGCCCGACGGTCCCTTGCTGCCCCGCCCCTCGTCGCCCCCTGTCCGCTGTGGGCCGCCATGCAGCCCCGCCGGGCGGCCAGGACCACCACCGCCCGCGGGTTCGATGGCGCGGCGAGCGCCACACGCGCTCATCCGCCAGGCCTCCGTCTCGCCCTCGCCGCGCTGCCCGCTGCTGCCATCCCCCGCACGGCCCGCTCCCCGCAACTCAGCCGCCGCCTCGCTGTCCTTGAACTGAACCACAGCGGGACCGTCCTTGACCTTGTCGCGCCCAACCTCGCGCCGCTCTCCCCATGCCGCCGCCTCCATTTCGCCGCTCCCGACGCCGGCTTTCTCGGCATCTGCAGGCGACGCAGAGGGGGTTGCGGGCGCGCGCGGCGTTGAGGCGGGGGACGGAAGATGGGCAGAGGCCGGAATGCGAATCAAGGGCGGAGCGTGCGACGGAGTGAGCGCGGCGAGCGACCCTTTCTTGCCGCTGCCCTTGGGCCGCCCTCGCTTCCTCTTCACCACCACCTCTCCCCCCTCCCCCCATTCCTCCGCTCGCACCACGACGCCGCCGCCCACGGTGTGAGTTCCTGCGCTCGGCGCGCAGCCCGCAATGACAGCTGCCGCCTGCGACGCCTGGGCGGGAAAAGAGTTCTCGTCCCCGCCAGCCAGCGAATACTGGGCGACGGGCCGAACGGCAGAGTGCAGTTGGCCGCCACCATTGGCTGGCCGCGCGCCGTTCCTCCGTCCGTCGCCGATGGGCGACGTAAATGAGCGACGTGCGAAAAGCGCAGCAGCAGGCGGAGCGGCATAGTCATCACTGGCGCCAACAGCGGAGCCATCGTCATCGTCGTCCGCGAGGACCACCGTGGCGAGTCCCGCCTGCCGCTGCCCGCCGTACCAGCTTCCCGCGCACTCGTCTGCGGCTTGCGCGGCATCTGGCACGCAGGGCTGCGCGGAGCAGCGGAGCCACGTGAAGGCGGAGTCGAGAACCGCCAGCACCTCCGCCTCTCGCGCGTCCAGCACCGCGCGCAGCCGCGCCATCCGCTCCAGCTCGCGCTGCACCGCCGCGCGCCTCACGGGGCCGGACGCAGCGGCGGGTGTCATGGTGGAGGAGGGAGCGCGGGGTAAAGGAGGGGCCGGCAAGGGCCCTTTGCGACACGGCGCGGTAGTGTCATCCGGATCGTCGCTGTCCCCGTCGTCGCGACTCAAGTGCGGCGGCGACGCGGAGGCGCGCCAGCGGAAATGGCCGTCCATGACTGGCAGTAGCCAGAAGACGCAGAGGCAAGCGTGGAAGGAGATTGGGAAGCGCAGCAGGCTACGCAGGGCAAGTTTGGAAGTAGTTTCGCTGCCGTCGTTGGATGGAGAAGCTGAAATGGGAGCAGAGAACAGAAATGCCTCGTTCGCAACGCCAACAGCAGCAATGACTACGCCTCTCAGTTGATGGGCGCACATTTCCAACTTCCAAGTCGCGCGCGCCATGCCATGCGCTCGCACGCCACAGTTGGCCTCGAACGGGGGAGCAGCATGCCGCCCCTCCGCGACACACTGTGCTGGATGGAGGAATCGTGAGGGGGGTGCCCCGTCAGCAGCTGCCCTCGCAGCATCAGCGTCAGCTTCGGCGATCGCCTCAGGCTCGGCACAAGCGTGTGAGACTGACTTGAACGTCGGGGATTGGGTTATGCGCGCCAAGACTGAAGCTCGGCAGCCAATGGGTACGTTTGTTGACGGGTGACCTGGCGAGGCTTCAGCGAAAGAGATTTTGAATTGAGCTACTTCATTTCATTCAAATTATCACCCATTACAGAACAGACTTGTAAGTGTAGCAGCAGCCTTACAATGGGAACTCGAAACTGTGATATACGTGTTTTATTGACATTCACCCATCCCTCACCGCAACAGCTGCACCACAATCCAAGAAGGGGACACGCTCTATCCCATTCCACATTCCACAGCGATCACCGCGCACATCGCATCGCAACAGTCCGCCGCCATTATCCGCCAGCCGCCATGACCGCCGCCTCCATCTCCGCCTGCAGCGAATGCCTTCTCCCACGCCGCCCCCTCGGCCATCACGCGCCTCCGCGCCGCAGCGCCCACGCCAAGCCGTTCCCCAGACCCGCGTTCATCCCGTCCCCGCCCGCCAGCCTCCTCTCGAATCCCCGTGCCGTCTGCCGACCGCCGCGCGCTGACCGTGCTGCCGCACCGCGCGCGCAATCATCGTCGCACGACGATCTCGAGGGACGACAGCAGCGCGACACGTGTCTATCCCGCCGTGACGCCCTCCTCTCCCTCGCGCTGCTCCCCCCCTCCCTCTCCGCCGCGGCGCTCCTCTCCCCGTCACCGTCGCTCGCCGCGTCGCCGGCGGCCCCCGACACGACCGTGACGCACCGCGCGTTCCTCGAATTCGCCGTGTGCCCCACGGCCGTGCGCCTCGACCGCACGCTGGGCGACGACGCGCTCATCTGCGCCGACGGCGAGCCGCTCGGGCGCGTCGTGCTGGGGCTGTACGGGCGCGCGGCGCCCGACACGGTGGCGCAGTTCGTGCGCATGGTGGCGGGCGACGCGGGGTCAACGTACAAGGGGAGCGTGATCCACCGCTCGCTGCCCGGGCAGTACGTGCAGGCGGGCCACCAGGGGCAGGTGGCGCGCGGGGACGTGGCTCCGCCGACGCTGCTTCCGCCGAACCGCGACACGGTGGCGGCGGCGTCGTTCGCGCTGAGCCACCTGCGGCCCGGCACGCTGTCGCTGTGCGTGGGGGAGAACAACGACGACGAGCGCGCGCGCGCCCGCAGCAACTACCGCAACGTGGAGTTCCTCATCACCACGGGTGGGACTGAGGGGGAAGGGGGGAGGGGGCGGGACAAAGGGGAAACAGGGAGAGGGGAATGGGGGTGAAGTGGGGGGAGAGGGGGAGAGCATGCCTAATGCTCACCCACTCCTGCCCATGCGCATTGCCATGCCCCATCCGCACCACCCCATTCACATGCTGTTCCCCTTGGCCCATGCGGGCACCCACACCTCCGTCCCCATCCCCATCCCCACAGGCACGGGTGATGGCCGAGTGGCCAGCAGGTCGTTGTGTGTAGCCTTGGCTTGGTGGTGCACGTGACCGCATGCTCGCCAATCATCCGTCCCTTGCTCACCGCTCTCTTCGTCCCTTTCATCCGCCGCCCTTTCCCCCCCTCAACTGCTGCCTCCTTCCGTCATTGGCCACCCCTTTCCCCTGCACGCCCTATCCTCTCCACTCTGCTCCGCGGCCTACCTGTTGTGAGGCACACGCCTTCCCCCTCACGCCTCGTCTCAAAGCCCTCCCCCCTCATCTGTCACCGGCTTTTTCCCATCAGGCCTATGCCCCGCGACTCCGCTCCACACGGACTCCGTGTTTAAGACATGTTACAGCCCCGCTGCCTCCTCAGATTTTCTCTTTCTTCCCCCGTCCCCCTTTCCTCCCCTCCCCCCACCAGGCCCTGGCCCGGCCACGCAGCTGGACGGCGACAACATCGTCTTCGGCACCGTGCTGGAAGGTGAGCGCGCTGCATGCATGGGGCGCGGGGTTCTGGGTTCAAGGTGAGGGGACTACCGGGATATGAAGCGCATGCTGGGAGGGGTGGGTGGGGATGGCGGGGGTGGGAGAGAGCGGCGGCTGGGTGTGAGGGCATAGCAGGGGCTGAGCGCATTCATGCCGCACCACCCCGTGCCTTCCGCTCCCTTCTCCCCATCCCACCTGCTTCCACTCCTGCCCTGCTTCCTCTGAATTCAACCTGATCATCCCTCCTCCTCCCCCCTCCTTGCTCTCCTCCCCCCTCACCCCCATGCTCTTCTTCTCCCCCTCACCTCATGGCCCTTTGCATGCGCCCTGTGGGGGAGCACTGAGCAGGCATGGAGGTGGTGGCGGCGGTGGCAGCAGTGCCCACCTTCCAGCCCAGCGACCGCATCCGCCAGTTCAACGACTTCGCTGCTCTGCTGGGGGACGACCGCGCCGCCAAGGGCCGCGGCACGTGGAACCGCCCTCTTAAAGCCATCGTCATCCAGGACTGCGGGCTGCTGGAGTGACAAGAACGCAGGCGGCTGGAGGCCCCCCACCCGTTCCTTTCCCACCCATCCTCCGCCCGGAGCCTTCCCCTGCCACCACTCTCCTGCCCCCTCTGCCTCCCTCAAGGAGGTCCACAATTTTGATGCGTGGTTGGTGCTCGCTGCTGCTGCCTGCTGCTTGCCTCTGCCTGGTGGGCGCACCCGGGACGGTGCAAGGGACCACCGGAGCCGCATGCTGCCAGGACTGGTGGATGCTATGTCTTGCACAAGTCACGTGTGGTACCAGTTTGTACATTCGATTCATACTACCGTAATAGAAACCTTAGCACTTATTTATAAGACATATGGATATGATACGGTAGTTATACCGTACATGAGAAATTTGCCAGTCCCATCTCAAAACATTACAAAAAACGTATGAGTAATAGGGAAGCATGCAGCCTAGGAAGCAGCAGAGGAGACGGGTGGTGCTGGTGCAGCACTTGAGTCCACTGCTTTCTCCGCCTCCTTGTTCACCACCTGCCATGCCAGTGAAGAGGGTACAGAGGAGCACAGAGGGGCACAGTGCGGGAGGAGTGAAGGGAGATGAGAGGTGTGGGCGTGGAAGCAACGGTACAGATTGCTGATGTAGGTGTGGTAGCACGCAAGGGTGATGGGTGGAGGAGGTGCGGCACACATGGGATGGGATGGATGGGAGCATGGGCGCATGTGATGGCAGCGCGAGTGCATGCAGGAGGGAAAGGGGCGCTAGGGCACACACCTTGTTGTTGATGAGGTTGTGCAGCGCGATGATGGACCGCACCAGTGATGCCACGTACACCGCCAGCGTCATGTCGTTCGTGCGCACTGCCATGCCATGGGTGCCATGCCACGCCAACAGGCAGGGAGGAGCAGGGCAGGAAACAACCGGGATGCGTAAACTAAATGAGGCACATATTTTCATGACGCGCACTGACTCTTGGGCAGTGTTGCATGCAGTGCAGTGCAGAGCAGTGAAGGGAGCGGAGACAGCCTACCAGCGAAGGCCTTGACGAGGTCGTCGACGTTGAGGTTGGGCAGCAGGTTGAAGGCGTCCTGCACGCCGTACAGGATGTCCGCCCGCAGGGGCAGCCGCCCTGCTGCCACCAGATCCAGGTACGACCGCAGCTGCCTCAGCCGTGACTCCAGACCCTTGAGCGCCACCAGCTTTGCGCTCACCTGGGTGGTGGGATGGGGAGACAGGGTGGTGGGCGGGTTGGGGAGCACAAGGGGGCATGGGAAGCATTCTTAAATCGACTTGAATTACTCACCTGGGAAGGGGAAGGGGGGGATGGATGGGGAGGAGGAGGAGGGGGCACAAGAGAGCAGGGGGGATATAAGGGAGCACGGCGAGCATGCAAACTAGCACAGTGCGCATAAGGAATATGTTTCAAAAATGAAGGAGCAGTGCATTGCCATGCGGCACACGAGTGCATCGCTACAGTGATTGCTGGAGTGCGCGTGGCAGGGCGGGCATTGACACGCGCACCTCAGAGGCGAGGGTGGTGATGGTGGCGTCCTTCACATCGCGCAGCAGATGCTCCACGCCTGAGGGCGGGTGAGGGGGCACGTGGCCATGGGGCCAGGGGCATGACACACGAGGGAGGGCAGGGTAATGGGGGGGGGAACGGGGAGGTGACACACAAGGAGGAAACGACGGAGGTGAAAAGGAGTTGCGCGCACATCACTATAATACCACCCCGCTGCCTTCCCACCCTCCGCAACCATCTGCACCATATAATCTATCCACTCACCAATCTCCTCCGCCTCGTATGCGCCGATCTCCGATGAGATGTGCACAAACGCCTTCTGACTCTTCTGCGTGCCGTCCTGCTCCATGCCATGCCATGCCATGCCATGCCATGCCAGGCCAGGCCACGTCATGCCATGCCAAGCCAACCGATGCCATGCCATTCCACCATGCCATGCCAGGCCAGGCCACGTCATGCCATGCCAAGCCAACCGATGCCATGCCATTCCACCATGCCATGCCATGCCAGGTGACATCAACCATGCGGCAACGAATGAGCCATACAACACAGCGACCTGCTTGCAACCATGCAGGGCAGTGCAGCGCTCGCAAGAGCACAACAAAGGGCTCACAAAGAGTCCATGCACTGCTTTGTGTGCAACGCCTCATCACCCCTCATCACCCCCTCGCCACGCCTCATCACTCCCCACCTCGCCTCAGCTACGCCACACGCCGCTACCCACCGCCGCGCACCTCCTTGACGTCCTCAACGGTGCAGTAGGCCTGCGAGGGGATGGCCAGCTCGCGCGGCTGCACGTCTATGATCACCAGCACGGGGTCGCTGCAGTAGCTGTGGGAAGCAAGGGGGGGTTACACGCATGGAAGCATAGGCGCATGGGTGGGGGATTACATGGGCGCATGGGTAGGTGGATAGGTGGATGGTTGGATGGGTGGATGGATGGATGGGTGCATGTGTGCATGTGTGCATGTCTGCATGTCTGCATGTGTGCATGTGTGCATGTGTGCATAAGTGGTTGGGTGGATGTGTGGATGTGTGGTGGGTGGATGGGCGCATGTGTGATTTATTGGATGGGTGGACGGGTGGGTGCATGGGCGCATGACTACCTCACTTGTAGAAGAGCTCCTGGATGTCGAGGTCGCTCTCGCGGATCTTGGGGCCCGTCGAGTACCACCCCACCACTCGCTCCTTCGCTGCTCGCACCACACCGCACCACACCGCAGGGAGTGGGGTGGGGCGGGGGGGCACACATGCAGATGGGATGCACGAGGGCATAAGATGGGTGAGTGTGAGGCGCATTCACGAACTGCGGGCGTGAAACAAGCAGCAGCTTGTGACGGGCGAGAACGAATAAGCCTCGTACAAGCCAGGTGCCAGTGGGCGTCGGGCAAGTGATGCGCGGGGAACGAGCGTGGAGCGGGGCAGCGGGGCGGCAGGGCGGCGCACCGTTGATTTTCTTGAACATGGCGAACATGGCCTCGTGGTAGTTGTGATCCAGAAACCAGATGCTCGCGTCCTTGTCGTCCTCCTCGAATGGCACTGCGCGCACACCATCCAGCCACGCATCATGCACGCACGCAGCAGCACGCAGCATCGTGTAGCACCAGAGGGCAGGTATAGAGTAGGCCATAGATTTGAGGGACGCAACGGTAGTGCACGAGTTGCAGCGACTGAGAGCACGCTGACACGGAAGCTAGCGCAAGCGCAGCTGATCAAGTCATGCTGATCGATCACGCTGATCCCCCACATCCACGCCTGACAGCTCTCGCAGGCACCTTCAAATCCACTCCTGAATACCCTCCCCCGCCGCAACCCACTCCTGAATAACCTTTCTCGCCGCGACCCGCTGAACCCTAACCTGCGTAGCTGTTGGTGACGTCGATGCGGCCGCGCGCCGTTTCGCCGAGCAGCACGCCGAGCACGCGCTTGTGCGTGTCCTTGGCGACGCGGCTGTAGTGATCCACGATGCTCAGCAGCACCAGCGGATGCACCACCACCTTCTCGATCGCCACCGCCTTCCCCATGCTGAACGCGCGCTCGCTCGCTCGCTTTTAACGCGACGACGACGAATTTATTGGATTGCGAAACTAGGCAACGAGATTGACGCGCGGGTCGTGGAGCGACGGAATCGAGCGTGAGTCGCGGGATCCAGACTAGAGAAGCGAAGGAGAACGGATTAATGTCTGACGAAGCGGCACTCGCAGGCGACGCTGATAAATCGAGATTCGAGAGATTAGGGAGAGATGTGCGATACGATTGGACTGGGAGCGGAGGGGAGGCAACCCCGAGAGCGGTGAGCAGTTTGGGTGAATGGGGTGTACGCGATAGAAGCGCTTTTGTCTCGAAATATATTTACCGCTTCATGGATTCTCGTAATAAAGTAAGTCCCTGGTTTGAGGGATTTCTACTTTCCTTGGGGATTGGTTTGGTAACATCACGAGTCTCGCGAGAATCGCTGACCGTCGCCCAAAATTCTATCACAAGTTCCCTGTGTCAGCCACATGCCACATCCCTCACACCGCCTCATTCTCTCATCCCTCTTCGTTATTATCACTTTCGGCCGTCCACCTCTCCATAACTAGACCATTCCGCTTAGTTACGATTATCTAGTCGTGCTCGTCATTCCCATTTTCCCAGTCGCCGCGCACCCGCCATGCGCCAGTCGCCGGGAATGTGCCCGTCGCGGGCACATCCACTCACGCCGCCGCATCCCTTCACGACGGGAAACCCCCTAGCGACGGCACATTAGATTCGTTCGCGAGAACCTTCCAGCAGCTCCCTTTTTTTCCGCCATGGCGCTGTGGCGGATCCAGGCGGTGCTGGGGACGACGCTCGCGCTGGCGGTGGGGTCGTTCAACGCGGGGAGCGTGGCGACGATGGCGGAGGCGGGGTCGCAGTTCGGCGCGCAGCTCGCGTGGGCCTTCGCCTTCGCGCACGGGCTCGCGCTGCTGCTCAACCTCCTCGCCATGCGCGTCGCCTTCGCCACGCGCCAGTCGCTGCCGCTCGTGAGCCTCGCGCCGCCGCGCTGCCTTATAAGAACTGTTTTAGGCTTTCCTGCCCTGATCCACGGGTTTCGTCGCTCCGCGCTTCATCGTCCACCCGGCACGCTCTCCTCTCGCCTGCGAAGATTTTCGCCAATCAGATCGCGTCTTTCGCCGCATTGCCCGCTGCCAATCCTCCCCTTCGCTGCTCCTTCCCCCCCATCCCCTCCCATTTCCCCCCACCCCCCCCCGCTTCCCCCCGCGCGTGACCACGTGCGCGGCGCGCAGGTGATCGTGCGCGAGTATCCGCGCGCGTTCTGCCGGCTGGTGTGGGTCATCTGCGAGGCGTCCGTGCTCTGGTTCGACCTCGTCACGGTGCGTTCCGCACTCCCTGCACCCATCCGCATCCCCATCCCCATCCCCATCCCCATCCCCATCCCCACCCTCACCCCCTTCTCCATCCGCATCCCTATCGCCCTCTCCCACTCACCCCCTCGCGTCCTTTTCGCTTCGCACACACACCACCCCACCTTCCACCGCAACACACACTCGCTGCACACACCACACGCGCCCCCTCCTTCCCACCCCTTCCCCCCGTTACCCCCTCATTCTCCCCACTGTTCCACACACCTCCTTCCTCCCCAGGTACTAGGCAGCGCGGTGGCGCTACAGCAGCTGCTGGGGGTGCCCTTCAAGGCGGCGCTGCTGCTGCACGCTTCCTCTCGTCCCCCATCCTTCCCGTTCCCCCCGGCCCCCTCCCCCTTTCCTTCCCCCAGGTACTAGGCAGCGCGGTGGCATTGCAGCAGCTGCTGGGGGTGCCGTTCAAGGCGGCGCTGCTGCTCGCCGCGGGATCGGGCGTGCTGCTGCTCCAACTGCCGCTGCCGCAGGTGGGGGACGGGGGACGGGATGGGTGGTATGAGAGCTATTGCCTGCCGCGCTTCCTGCCTCTTTCTGCACCCTGCATTCCCATGTGTGTCTCCCTGTGCGCGTCACTGTCGCTCCGCGCTGCTCCTCCCATTAGTCTCACTCCCGCTTCTCCACTTCCTCTCACACCTAACACTCCCTCTGGTTCTCCCTTCCACTCCCCTCCCCTCTCCCTGCCCGCTCCCACTCTCCCACCCCTCAGGCGCACCAGGCGGTCTCAGCATGTGTGGCGTGCGCCCTCCTCGCGCTGCTCTGCGCGGCCCTGCAATGCCTCCTCGCAGGGCCCGCCTTCCTGCTCGCGTCGCTCTCAGCGGCGCTGCTGCCAGCACTGCCGCCCGCCTCGCTGCACCTCGTGCTCGCTGCTATCGGCGCGCTCGCCCTGCCCCACCGCTTCCTGCTGCTCTCCGCGCTCGTGCTGCAGGTGCGCTGTGTTGTGTTCCCTCATGCGCACTTGTCGCCATCTAGGCGCCTCCTCTCTGCCATCTAGGCGCCTCCTCTCTGCCATCTAGGCGCCTCCTCTCTGCCATCTAGGCGCCTCCTCTCTGCCATCTAGGCGCCTCCTCTCTGCCATCTAGGCGCCTCCTCTCTGCCATCTAGGCGCCTCCTCTCTGCCATCTAGGCGCCTCCTCTCTGCCATCTAGGCGCCTCCTCTCTGCCATCTAGGCGCCTCCTCTCTGCCATCTAGGCGCCTCCTCTCTGCCATCTAGGCGCCTCCTCTCTGCCATCTAGGCGCCTCCTCTCTGCCATCTAGGCGCCTCCTCTCTGCCATCTAGGCGCCTCCTCTCTGCCATCTAGGCGCCTCCTCTCTGCCATCTAGGCGCCTCCTCTCTGCCATCTAGGCGCCTCCTCTCTGCCATCTAGGCGCCTCCTCTCTGCCATCTAGGCGCCTCCTCTCTGCCATCTAGGCGCCTCCTCTCTGCCATCTAGGCGCCTCCTCTCTGCCATCTAGGCGCCTCCTCTCTGCCATCTAGGCGCCTCCTCTCTGCCATCTAGGCGCCTCCTCTCTGCCATCTAGGCGCCTCCTCTCTGCCATCTAGGCGCCTCCTCTCTGCCATCTAGGCGCCTCCTCTCTGCCATCTAGGCGCCTCCTCTCTGCCATCTAGGCGCCTCCTCTCTGCCATCTAGGCGCCTCCTCTCTGCCATCTAGGCGCCTCCTCTCTGCCATCTAGGCGCCTCCTCTCTGCCATCTAGGCGCCTCCTCTCTGCCATCTAGGCGCCTCCTCTCTGCCATCTAGGCGCCTCCTCTCTGCCATCTAGGCGCCTCCTCTCTGCCATCTAGGCGCCTCCTCTCTGCCATCTAGGCGCCTCCTCTCTGCCATCTAGGCGCCTCCTCTCTGCCATCTAGGCGCCTCCTCTCTGCCATCTAGGCGCCTCCTCTCTGCCATCTAGGCGCCTCCTCTCTGCCATCTAGGCGCCTCCTCTCTGCCATCTAGGCGCCTCCTCTCTGCCATCTAGGCGCCTCCTCTCTGCCATCTAGGCGCCTCCTCTCTGCCATCTAGGCGCCTCCTCTCTGCCATCTAGGCGCCTCCTCTCTGCCATCTAGGCGCCTCCTCTCTGCCATCTAGGCGCCTCCTCTCTGCCATCTAGGCGCCTCCTCTCTGCCATCTAGGCGCCTCCTCTCTGCCATCTAGGCGCCTCCTCTCTGCCATCTAGGCGCCTCCTCTCTGCCATCTAGGCGCCTCCTCTCTGCCATCTAGGCGCCTCCTCTCTGCCATCTAGGCGCCTCCTCTCTGCCATCTAGGCGCCTCCTCTCTGCCATCTAGGCGCCTCCTCTCTGCCATCTAGGCGCCTCCTCTCTGCCATCTAGGCGCCTCCTCTCTGCCATCTAGGCGCCTCCTCTCTGCCATCTTGGCGCCTCCTCTCTGCCATCTAGGCGCCTCCTCTCTGCCATCTAGGCGCCTCCTCTCTGCCATCTAGGCGCCTCCTCTCTGCCATCTAGGCGCCTCCTCTCTGCCATCTAGGCGCCTCCTCTCTGCCATCTAGGCGCCTCCTCTCCTCTCTGCCATCTAACAATGCCCATGCCCCTACAGCAGTCGTCGCCCTCCCAAGGCGAAACGCCCGTGCATGTTAAGCATGTGCCCTGCCTTCACCCCGCGCTCCTCCCGTCTCCCTCTCTGCCATCCACCTCCCAGGACGACCCAAGCGCGCGCGATCTCATGGAACCGCCACCAGACACGCCATCCTCCCCTCCTGACGCCTCCGCCTCCGCCTTCCACCCCTCTGCCACCCACCCCCTCGCCCCAGCCTCCCCCTCCTCCGCCTCCCTCTCCCCCTCGGACCCCCCCCACGCGCCGTCCCCCCAACAGCAGCAGTACCGCCGCGACTTCATTCACTCCCAGCTGCTCGCTGCTGCCGCCACGCTCGCGCTGCTCCTAGGGGCCTCCGCCGTGGGGCAGGGTGCGGGGGTGGACGGGGGAGGGGCAGACGGACAGGAAGATGGGGAAGGGTTTGAAGGGGTGGAGGGGGGTGGGGAGGGGCGGGTGGTGCGATTGTGGGGTGTGTATCGGCTGGTGGAGCAGGTGGTGAACAGCAACGTGGCGCCCACCTTCGCCTCCCTCGCTCTCCTCTCCTCCTTCCACCTCTCCACCCCCACCAACGCCTATGCCGGCCAGCTCTCCGCCTCCACCTTCGCCCACGTGCACCTGCGCCCCTGGCACCGCTTCCTCCTCACCCGCGCCCTCACCCTCCCGCTCCTGCTCCTCCTCTCCCTCACCCTCGGGGACGCCGCCACGCTCTCCCTCCTCTCGCACTCGCAGCTCCTCCTAGCCCTCCTGCTCCCCCTAGCAGCCGTCCCCCTGGTGCGCCTGGCGGCGTCCCCCGCGCTCATGGGGCGCCACCGCGTTGGCCCCGCGCTGGAGCTCGTCAGCTGGGCGGCGTGCCTCTCCGCGTGCGCCCTCTCTGTCTGGTTCCTCGGGGACGCACTCTTACGCTTCGCCACAGCAGAGGCAGTCGCGGGGGGCGCGGATGGGGATGATATCGGGGGAATGGGGCTGTGGGAGTGGGTGGTGGCGGGGGAGTTTCTGTCCGCGGGGGGAGGAGAGGAGGACGACGGGGAGGGGCTGGCCGTGGGGCTGTCGCCGTCCGCTGTGTGGCGCAACGTTCGGCAGCTAGTGGCGGTGTTTGGCGGGACGGCGCTGGTGGGCGGCATGCTGGGCGGGCTGCTTTGGCTCATGCTGCTGCCGCTGCGGTCGGAGGACGAGCAGCAGCGCCGCCTGCTGCTCTCCCACTCCGCCTCCGCCTCCCTCTCCGCGCCCTCCCCCTCCTCCGCCTCCGCCCCCACCTCTCTCCGCCGCCCCCGCCCCCTGCCACTGGCAGCAGCGCAGGACAGGCGGGGAGGGGAGGCGCGGTGGGGGGCGGAGAGGGAGGGGAGGGCGGGCGCGGGGGGGACATGGGAGCTGCCCCGCCCCTCCGCGTCCCCTGTGTCTGGGCCGCTGCCTGTGTTGCTCCCTGGCGCGGAGAGAGGGGGGGAGAGGGCGGGGGAGAAGGGGGAGGGCGCGGAGGGGGGGTCGTGGAACAGTGCACTGAGGAGGCGCGTGGGGGGGCAGCAGTGGCAGCATGGGGGGGACAGGGGGGAGGTGGGGGAGGGCGTGAGGGGTGTGGTATCAGAGGGGGTGGGTGGGTATGGTAGCAGCAGTGGCAGTGGCGGTGGCGGTATGGGTGGAGTGGGAGTGGGAGTGGGTGGGGAGCACATGCGAGTGCAGCGAGCAGCGTCGGTGTCGGGGTGTGTGGCGGAGAGGGAGGTGGGCGGAGGAATGGGCGCAGGTGTGGGCGTGCAGGGGGGAAGTGGCAGGGAGGCGGAGAGGGGCAGGCAGGGGGCGGGGAGAGCCAGCATGCTGTCAGCGGCAGGTGGCGAGCAGTGGCAGGTGAAGGAGGGGGGGGCGCAGCTACAAGCAGGCCGGCTTGGTGGGGAGGAGCTCGCTGTCTCTGTGCGTGCTGTGGCAACCGCAGCAACAGCCACAGCAGCAGCTGGCGCAGCCGCAACAGGTGCGGGAGCGGCAGCAGCAGCAGCTGTTGCTGCAGGTGGGAAGGCAGGGGAGGAGAGGAGGGGAGAGGGCGAGGGGGGTGTGGGAGGGGGAGAGGTGGTGGTGGCACCGGGTTTTGAGGCGCCTCAACAAGCGGTGGTGGCACCGGCAGTGGCGGGCGAAGGGCGTGTGGGCGACCCTGTGCTGCCTGCCCCTGCACCGGTTGTACCGTCACCAATTGCCCCCGCCCCGGTTGCAGCTACACTGGTTGCACCTGTACTGGTTGCACCCGCACTGATTTCATCTGCTGAGAAGGTTTCATCTGCTGAGAAGGTTTCATCTGTTGAGAAGGTTTCATCTGCTGAAACAGTTTTATCCACTGACATGGTTTCGCCTGCTGAGAAGGTTCCATCTGCTGAGAAGGCTTCGTGTGCTGACAGGGAGGGGGTGATGCGAGGAGAGGGGAGCGCGGAGACTGCTCAGGAGGAGAGCGGCGAGGAGGAGAAGAACGGTGGGGAGGGGGGCGGAGGCAAGGAGGAGGGGGTGGTGGTTCCGTTTGACAGAGCGGTGACTCTGGCGGATGGCGTGGCGCGTGTGCGCCATGGCCCTGGTGGGGGCACTGGGCAGGGCGATTGTGGTGCCGGCGCAGGGGAGACTGGGGGGGGAACAGCAGGGCGTGGGGAGACGGGCGAGCAAGGGGAGATGGGCAACGAGCAGACGGGCAGGGAGTGTGGGGAGGCGGCGAGGTGGGAGGGTGTTGTAGGTGCGGAGAAGGTGAGTGAGGGAATGAGCGTAGTGGAAGGAGGAGGTATGGAGAAAGGACGTGTGGTGCAGGGAGGGGAGGGAGGGGAGGGAGGGGAGGGAGGGGAGGGAGGGGAGGGAGGGGAGGGAGAGGAGGGTCGAGAAAAAGGAGAGGAAGAGGAGAGAGGAGAGGGAGACGGGGAGAGAGAGGAGAGTGGGGAATGCAGTGAAGCAGATAAGGAGGCGAGAGAGAAAGGCAACGAGACGGCTAATGAAGAGGCGAAGAAGAGTAGTGTTGAGGCATCGGGGGCGATTGGAGAGTCAATGGAGGAGGGCGATGGTGGCTTGGCGGAGAAGGGGGGGGCGGGAGTGGACAGGGAGAGGGGAGAGAAGGGAGACGACGGGGAGAGAGGGGCGAAGGGAGAGGAGGGGGAGAAGGGGGAGAAAGGCGAGAGGAAAGGGGAGGTGGGAGCGGAAACGGAAGGGCTGGGGGGAAGGGAAGCGGAGAGGAAGGAGGAAGGGGAATTGGGAGTAGATGGGGAGCAACGAGGGGGCGAAGAGCATGTGGAGGACGGGGTTGGGAAGGAGGCAGAGGCACGGGAGGCCATGCACATTGGGGACAGCGTTGGGACGGGGGGAGCTGAAGAGGAGGCTGGCGCGGGCAGGGTAGAGGGGGAAGGGGAAGAAAAGGGTGGGGAGGTTGCGGAGGGAGGGAAGGGAGGGAAGAGTGGAGAGGATGGGGCAGTGGAGCAGCGAGGAGAAGGCAAGGACGAGGGGCGAGGGGACACAAAATTGGATGGGCAACAACAGGCGGGACAGGAGGCGGCAGGAGAGGGGTCGGTGCGTGCAGGTGAGGAGGCAGCAGCAAGTGCGGCTGTGGGTGAGGGGGGAAGGGACGTGGGAGCTGTGGCGCACAGCCAGGCGCCCATGGGCGGAGGGCAAGCGCGGGCTGAGGGGCATGGGGTGGGCGCAGGTGGCGGGGCAGGGAAGGGGGAGCAGGCTGACGAGGCTGTTGTGCCTGTGGGGAAGGGGGAGAGGCGGGCGGAGAGGGAGGCAGGGGAGGAGGGGGTTGAGGGTGAGGGCGCAGGGGAGGCGAAGAGGCACCGGGTGGAGGGAGGCGGTGGTGGGGAGGCGGGGGGAGGGGCAGTGGCGGAGGAAGGGCCAGGGGCGGACGCAGGGGCAGGGGCGGAGGGCGCAGGGGAGATGGAGGTGGAGGAGCAGGAGAAGCGGGTGGTGGCAGTGGGAGGAGTGGCGGAGGTGAGTGCAGGTGAGGGGGGTGCCGTCGTTGCGCCCTCTGCAGCCGCCGCCTTTGCTGCTGCCGCAGCCCCACCACCAGTCGTGGCAGCATCAGTAGCAGCAGCAGCAGCTTCAGCTGCAGTAGTAAAAGCATCAGCAGCAGCAACGGTTGCAGCTGGTGTGGCAGGTGGCAAACCACAGCAGCACCACACCCATTCCCAGCAGCAGCAGCAGCAGCAGCAGCAGCAGCAGCAGCAGCAGCAGCAGCAGTCCCACGTGGCCCGGTCAGCCCTGTCCAAATCCCCACCTCTGCCCGACTCCACCCCCCTCCTCCCTGCCCCTATGCCCCGCACGCCTTCCCCCCCGTCCGCCCAGGCTGCGCCCTTCACTGGTGCGCGCAGCAGCATAGGCAGCCCCTGCGGGTCTGGATCCCTCTCTGACCTTCTGCACCACTCCCAACCGCGCCAGCACTCCTCACTGCTCGCATCCGCTGCTGCAGCTGCTGCGAGGGGCAGTGATGGCGATGGGCTGGGCGCTCTGCCGTCTGGGGCGGGTGGCATGGGCGGCAGTGGCAGCATGGGCGGCAGTGGGAGCGGCAGCCTGTCACGTGTGTCTGGGCTGGGCAGGGGTGCGAGGAGGCAGTTTGCAGCCATTCTGGACGAGTTCTGGGGAGGATTGTTTGACCTGCACGGCCAGCCCGTGCCCCTGCCCGCTGCCCGCCCCCCGGGGGGGAGCAGCAAGGCGGGGGGGAAGGGGGGAGGGGATGGGGGGAAGGGGAAAAGAGGTGGGGCGGATGGGAGTGCGGGTGGAGGGGTGGGAGGGATTGGAGTGGGCGCTGGTGCTTGCTCCAGCATGCTTGGGGCTGCTGCCACTGCCACTGCTGCTACTGCCACTGCTGCCGCTGCCGCTGCTGTCGGTGCTGCAAGCAGTGCCGGTGGCTACGGTGGTGGTGGCGGGGGTACAGCAGCAGGTGCGGCAGCAGCAGCAGCAGCAGCAGCAGCAGCAGCGGTGGTGGGGGGTGCAGCAGGCAATGCGGGCAACGGAGCACATCCCTTCCCACCCGCCCTCCCCTCAGAGGATCATCTCTTCTCCCCCGACCCGCTCCCCGACTCCCTCTCTCTCACCGCCTCCCTCACTCTCCCGGACCCCCTCGCCCTCACCGCCCACCGCCGCTCCTCCTTCGACGCCTCGTCCCCCCCGCCCCCCCTCCACGACCCCTTTCTCTCCCGCGACCCCTTCTCCGCCCGCCCCACCCTCTCCCGCCCCCCCACCGCAATGTCCCCCCTCCTCTCCTCCTCCTCCGCCGCCCACCCCTCCCCCTCCGCGCGCCAGTACAGCACACTGGCGCATCTCCCCAAGTTCTCCGACCTGCCCCCCCAGCAGCAGCACTCGCTGCTCACCGCACCCCCCTTCCTCCCCTCGCTCTCTTCCCTCTCTGCCTCCCCCGCGCCTGGCGGCCCTCACAGGGAGGTGGAGGGCCCCAGTCGCTCCACCCCCAACCTGTACGCGGATCTGCTCGCGCAGGGCTATGGGGGAGGCGGGGGGAGGGCGGGCGGGGGAGGGGGAGGCGGAATGGGGCTGGGAGGAGGGCGGGGGGCGTTTGGAGCGGTTGGGTCGGCGGCTATGGGCGGATCTGGGATGTCTGCTGCTGCTGGGCTGCTGGGTGCCGCCGCTGCTGCTGCTCCCTTCACCCCTCTGTACCAGCAACAGCAGCAGCAACAGCAGCACCAGCAACAGCAGCAGCAACAGCAGCACCAGCAACAGCAGCAGCAGCACGCATCCTCCTCTTTCTTCTCCTCCCAGCCGCACCCACACTCGCAACAGCAGCAGCAACAGCAGCAGCAACAGCTGTGGCAGCAGCAGCAGCAGCAGCAGGCATGGCTGCAGCGTGGGAACAGCATGGATGGCATGGGCATGGACATGGGGATGGGCATGGATCAAGGATTGCACAGGGGCATGGATATGAATATGGGTATGGGAATGGGAATGGACATGGGCATGGGCAGGAACGAGCGCTTGGATCAGTTGGCACAGAGCTATGCAAGCTTTGCTCCTCCAGACGCCATGCGAGGCACCAACCCCCTCTCCCATGCGCACGCCCATGATCAACCCCAGGGCTACCCCCAGGGCCACCCGCAGGGCCATCCGCACGCCCCCATGCACCAGCTGGTGGGGGCCTCCCCCTCCGCTCCCCCCGGCTTCCCCTTCCCCCGCCACCCCTCCCCCCCTGCGCCTGCAGGGGCGCCGTGGGGGGGAGGGGCAGTGGGGGCGGGGAGAGGAGAAGGCGGGTGGATGGGAGACAGCAGCAGTGGCAGCAGTGCATTTGGAGGGGCCGGTGGTAACCACATGGAGTGGCAACAGCAGGGGCAGGGGCAGGGGCAGGGGCAGCATGGCATGGGTGCAGTGAAGCCCATCGGCCCTCCCTCCCGCCGCCAGCAGCCCGAACAGGAGGAGCAGCAGAGCATGAGCAGCAGCAGCAGCACTCACTCCTCTCTGTGGGCCAGCAACCCGCGTGACATGCTCTTTGGCACGCACTCCGGCCCCCTCTCCTCCTCCCTCTCCTCCTCCCCCGCCTCCTCCTCCCCCTCCTCCTCCACCCCTCTCGCCGCCCCTCCCTCCACCGCACCCAGCCACTCCCCACCCAAACCATCCCCCTCACCACCCCCGGCGAAACCCCACGTGCAAACCGAGGAAGAGCGGCGGATGGACCGGCTGAGAGTGTGCTTGCACCGGCTGCTACGTCTAGACGGCAGTGACTGGCTGTTCCGGTATGACACGGGCAGCGATGAAGACTTGGTTGCTGCTGTAGCCTACCGGGAGAAACGACTTGCAGGGGATGCTGCCGCTGCTGTGGCTGTGGGGCTGGGCGGAGGGGGCGGTGGGGGCGGCGGGAGCGGGAAGTGGGGGGGGATTTTGGAGGGGCAGGCGCAGGGGGGGCAGGGAGGGGGGGGGAAGGAGGGGGAGATGGAGCTGCCGCCGTCGATATGGGGGTGTGGGGCGCAGTGTGTGTGGGGGCCGCTGCTGGTGGTGTCGTTTGGAGTGTGGTGTGTTCATCGCGTGCTGGAGCTGTCTCAGCTGGAGAGTCGACCTGAGCTGTGGGGCAAATACACCTACGTGCTGAACCGCCTGCAGGTGAGCTGTGGGGCAAATACACCTACGTGCTGAACCGGCTGCAGGTGAGCTGTGGGGCAAATACACCTACGTGCTGAACCGCCTGCAGGTGAGTGAGACAGGCGTGTTGGCATGAGCGCAGGCATGGCCATCACAACAGCCCATCCCTGTCTGTTACCACTGCCCTCATCACTCTCCCCTCCCCCGCTCTCCCCATTCCCCCCTTCTCTACCTTCCCTCTCTCTCCCTTTCCCCCCTCTTTCCAACATCCACCTCTCTCCCTTCCTCTCTCCCCTTTCCCCTCCCCTCCACCCCTCTCCCTTCCTCTTCCCCCCCAGGGTATACTGGACCCGGCATTCTTCCGTCTCCGCACCACGCCGCGCCTCTGCCAGTGCTACGGCGACCGAGCCAACCTCCCAGCCCTCTCCGCGCAGCCGGTCTTCCACGGCGCGCTGCTCTCCGCCATGCTCGGATCTCAGCTGCCCCTCGCCAACCCCTCCTGGCCCCTCGGCGCACCCCCAGGACAGCCCAAGCCGGCGTCGCCAGCTCTGTTCCTGGAGAGGATAAGGGAGGTGGAGGTGGCGGTGGGGGCGCGGAAGGGGCGCACGGGCACGGCGGCAGGGGACGTGGCGTTCCCCAAGGGCAAGGAGAACCTCGCCTCCGTGCTCAAGCGGTATAAGCGCCGCCTGGGGGGCAGGCCGTCAGGGGGAGGGGGAGGGGGAGGGGGAGGGGGAGGGGGAGGGGGAGGGGGAGGAGGGGGAGGAGGGGGCGGAGGGGGAGGGGGAGGGGGGGGAAGAAGGTACTGAGGCGTATGGGTGGACAGTCGAAAACGTATGGTATTAGGACTTGCGCTTCTGGAGGGTGTGATGATACATGTCACCAAGATGGTACCGTATTTTTGAGTCGTGTAGCAGGATGAATGGTAGTGCAGTGTAGTGGATGTAGGTTATGGTTAGTGGCTGACACAGCATTGAACAATGACTTGCACAGGCTCAAATAGAGTCAGACACAGGCAAGTACGGTACGGTATGCTTATTGCATACTTCCAGGATTGCTTAGAGCGTGTTCCTACGGCCTCATATCAGGAAACCTCGTATCAAGAATGCTGTTTTTGCCTGGTAAAACTAGCGAGAGGTTATGGGTTTAGGGGAATTTTCAGTGTGAGCCTGATACGAGGTTATCTTGATATGAGGATAGGAACACGCTCTTATAGCAGCTGCTTCTTCGCCCTGTATGACAACTTTCTCTGGCCTGACATAGCCACCACATTGTCTGCTCCCATTCTCCCTTGCTTCATTGGTACATACAACCCCGAGGCCATGTCACAAGCACAAGAGGGCTCATAATAGCCTTGTGTGTATCGCATGCACTGTATGCATATTGTTACGATGTCATGCAAGGAACAGAGAACTGTACAAAGAATCAAGCGGCATGGATGCCACACCCATGCCATGCCATGCCATGCTACTAGAGTACTACTACCATGTTTCTTGGGCACCCAGAACAGCACCTGCGTGACGCCAGTAACAGCATGTCTACTACTGAATGGATATGATAAGCAACAGTGGCCTGTACACAGAATCTATTTCCCAGTCATGCCGTGCTATCGTCCTTTGGGCACCCAGAACACCACATGCAGGACGCTCGTGACAGCCTGTCGCACGCCAGACAGGACAGCAGATGCCACCCAGATCCCGGGCAGCCCCATCCGGTAGACGGCATTGCCGGCGGTCATGGCGTGCGACAACACCTGCATGACAGCAGCAAGGGCGGGGCAGTGAGGATCAGAACCAGCATGCAGTGCGAGGCACAACCCGCATGAGAGACAAGTACCACGATGCATTGCACATGCTTGTTTCAAAAAACAAATCTGATACTTTCGCACAAATTAGCGCAAGTAGGGAGGGGCGGAGCGTGGCTCACAGTGGGGAGAAATGCGAGGCGCGCGGACCAGGCGTAGAGCGCGCCGATGAGGGGCACCTCCGCCACGAGCGGGTCCACCTCGAAGAAATTGCTCTGCTCCGCGATGCGCCACACCACCCGCCTCCCGCTGCCGCCGCCGCCGCCGCCGCTAGCATTGACGCCGCCCTTCTCCCTGCCACTGACACTGCCGCTGCCGCTGCCAATGGCCCCACCCGCTCTAGACAGCGCTGGGGAGACGTCGCTATCGTCGTCAGACGCGACGCGCTCCTCGTGCGGCTCGAGGCGCAGCACGGCCACCATGTGCAGCTGGCGCGTGGTGAGCGGCGCGAGCCACGGCCGCACGCACAGCGTGCCGCGCACCGCCAGGCGATCCGGGCGCGTGACGTCGTAGATGACGTCAGCGACGGTGAAGTACCAATAGATTGCCGTGACGCTACGCAGCTGCGCGGACCATATGGGGGAGGATTGGGGGATGGGGGTAATGGAGAGGATGGGGGAATGGGGGAGTGAGGGGAATGGGGGAGTGAGGGGAATGGGGGAGTAAGACTTCCATGCATGGGGAGATGGGGGGAAGAATGTAATAACCAGTTCTGTAGTTTATGGTTCGCGCGGCGTCCATTAATCGCACCCAGAGGAGGTTTTCAATTGCAGCGGCGGAGCGGCACGCGAGCAGCGGCTGATTTAGCAGCGCGGAGGGCGCGAAGACGCGGCGGATGGTGGCGGCCTGCAGCGGCAGGTCCGCATTCTGCACGATCCGGTGGATCGCCCCCGCCACCTCCTCCGCCGGTCGCTCCATGCGCTTCCCCCCCGCCTGCGCGCCCCGCTGATTCCCTCTCGACTGACTCGCCGCTTTCTAGAAAGGTGCTTGGGCGGGTAACCGGATCGCGACTCGAACGAAAGCAGTTGCTGGGTGTGCAGGGCAAAGCGGGTGGATGGTAAATGAGGACGAGAGATTGAGAGTGGAGTGGAGAAGCAAGCAAGGTGTGGTGGAGGATGGATGAGCAGCGCATGGTTCGATTTGCAATGTCGAGACACGAAAACATTTTGCAGTCTTCGTCGCGACGCCAGTCATGCAGCGAATCACAGGAGACCACGTGGTGAAAGGAGGAAAACTGGTGCGAGTCAGCAGCAAAAATCTAGGCATTAGTTTAGATAACTGAACAACCTGGGTGTATAAACTTTAGACATTTGTCTTCAGTTTCTGGTACACATTTACATCAACCCCTTCCCATCTGACAAGTCGCTGTCCCAATTGCGCCGCAATCATGTCTCGCCGACCGCGAACTTGTCCGCGGACAGAGCTCTCCTCCGCTAGCGCTTCCCCCTCCGCGAAACCGTTTCCAATTCACGGGGAGCTGCTGGCGGGCGTGCTGGCGCTGCTGGACCCGCTGCTGCTGCTGCGCGCGCGACTCGTATGCGCGGAATGGTGCCACGTCATCAGCTCCTCGCGCCACCTGTGGCAGCGAGTGGTGGAGAGACAAGTGACGCTGGCCGATAGGGCACGTGCTGGGGCAGATATCGCCACGGAGGGAGCTGAAGGGGGGAACGCGGGGCTCGGAAATGCGGAAGTAGGAGGAGGAGGCGCGGGTGACGAGAAGAATAGGTCGGGCGGGGGCGGAAAGGGGGGCGCAGCGCGGAGGGGAACAAAGGAGAGGGGAGGAAAGGCGGAGAGTGGGGGCGCGGGAAGGGAAGCGGGAAGAGGGCAGGATGGCGCGGAGGAGGGGAGCGGGGGGGAGGAGGTGGAGGGGATGGGGAATGAGGGCGTGCGCGCGGCCGTAGGGATGGCGGTGGGGGCGGAGCAGAGGAGACGGTATGGGCGGGGGGAAGTGAGGGTGTGTGTGATGCGCGGCCACACCAGGGGGAGGTGAGCAGAGGTTGGGGGGCGGTGTGGGTGGAGGTGGGAGGGGGAGGGAGATGGGGGGGAGAGAGGGGAGGTGAGGATAGGTGAGGGAGGGGAGGCGAGGGGAGGTGAGGGAGGATCATCGCAGGGCAGGGGTACAAAAGGGAGGTGGGGAGAAGTGAGCATGAGAGGCGGTTGGTGCACGTGATGTGTGCGTCCATCCATCCATCCATCCATCCATCCATCCATCCATCCATCCATCCATCCATCCATCCATCCATCCATCCATCCATCCATCCATCCATCCATCCATCCATCCATCCATCCATCCATCCATCCCTGCATGCATGCTCTTGATTCCTCTCCCACTCCGCTCAGTGCGTCCCCTAGTGCGCCCATTCCTCTTTCTCCTCCCCGCCATTGCCTTCCATTCCATGCTCCTTGCGTTGGCCCTCACCGCCCCCCATGAAAGCCCCCCATGAAAGCCCCCCATGAAAGCCCCCCCATGAAAGCCCCCCATGAAAGCCCCCCCATGAAAGCCCCCCATGAAAGCCCCCCATGAAAGCCCCCCATGAAAGCCATGTCCCCTGCCCACTGCCTGCTCACCCCTGCCCCCTCCGCCCCGCCCTGCTCTGCCCTGCTGTGCTCTGTTATGGTGGCCACTGACATGCACGCTCTGGCCACTGACATGCACGCTCTGGCCACTGACATGCACGCTCTGGCCACTGACATGCACGCTCTGGCCACTGACATGCACGCTCTGGCCACTGACATGCACGCTCTGGCCACTGACATGCACGCTCTGGCCACTGACATGCACGCTCTGGCCACTGACATGCACGCTCTGGCCACTGACATGCACGCTCCTGCCCTGCCCTGCCCTGCCCTGCCCTGCCCTGCCCTGCCCTGCCCTGCCCTGCCCTGCCCTGCCCTGCCCTGCCCTGCCCTGCCCTGCCCTGCCCTGCCCTGCCCTGCCCTGCCCTGCCCTGCCCTGCCCTGCCCTGCCCTGCCCTGCCCTGCCCTGCCCTGCCCTGCCCTGCCCTGCCCTGCCCTGCCCTGCCCTGCCTGCCCTGCCCTGCCCTGCCCTGCCCTGCCCTGCCCTGCCCTGCCCTGCCCTGCCCTGCCCTGCCCTGCCCTGCCCTGCCCTGCCCTGCCCTGCCCTGCCCTGCCCTGCCCTGCCCTGCCCTGCCCTGCCCTGCCCTGCCCTGCCCTGCCCTGCCCTGCCCTGCCCTGCCCTGCCCTGCCCTGCTCTGCTCTGCTCTGCTCTGCTCTGCTCTGCTCTGCTCTGCTCTGCTCTGCTCTGCTCTGCTCTGCTCTGCTCTGCTGTGCGCCATGGCAGAGTAGGCAGTGTGGCGATGCGGCATGGCGTGGTGGCCACGGGCGGCTCAGATGATGTAAACCTCCCCATCCCCCTCCTCCACCCCCTACGCACGCGTGTGCACTCCCCCATGGATATACCTGGTGTGTCATGTACGCACACATGCCAAGTGCACTATCACCGTACCGTACCGTCTTTTACCATGTCCCACCTGTTTGCAGTCGTTTCTTCTGCTGTTCCTATGACCAGCCTCCCCACGGGCTCCTCCCATTCCCATGTGCTCACTGCTCCCCTCTGTCCCTGTGCGCGACTTCCTTTGTGCCCTCCTCCTCCTCCTCCTCCTCCTCCTCCTCCTCCTCCTCCTCCTCCTCCTCCTCCTCCTCCTCCTCCTCCTCCTCCTCCTCCTCCTCCTCCTCCCCTGCAGTGTGTGCGCCTGTGGCAGGTTCCTGCACTCCCAGCTCTCCCTTCCGCGCATGGTTCTGCCTCCTCCTCGCCCTTCTCCCCGCCTGCCTGCTGTCAGACGGCTTGCTTCCCCTCTCCAGCCTCTCAGCCCATCACAGCCGTTGATCTAACAGACGTGATGGTGAGCCGTTGATGAGCCTATTGGCGTGTGAATGGCAGTGCTCCCTGCAGGGCCATGTCACGTGTGTGCTTGCTCCGCCTCTCCTCCGCTTTCCATGTTCCCCTACTTCTTGTCTTCCTCCCTTCACTTCTTGCCCCTTCTCTCCTCTCTGACTGACCCCCTCCCTCTCGCACCTCCCTCATCTCGCTCACCTCCCCTCCCCACGTTCCCAGCTCCTTGCTGCATCGGGCACACAGGTCTTTGCATGGAACAAGGAGACCGGGAAGCTGCTCAGAAGCTTCGGCGGCCACCACCAGCGCATTCGCACGATCAGGTGAGCGGATTAAATCAGATCAGATCGGATATGGCCTGGCTGTGAGCGGATCAGATCAGATCTCATCCACTCTCATGCTGTGGCCGCTTCCCTGTCCGTTCTGAGTTATCAGTGCAGTTGTCAGTTAAAGTTGTCGCTTTCCTTGCCTCACCTCTCTCACCTCTCTCACCTCTCTGCCCACACACACTCATGGACAAATGCATGCAGCTATGACGACACGGACCTGCTAGCAGCATGCAGCGACGGCACTGTTCATGTGTACGACATATACAGTGGCATGACCACCCACATCCTCCGTCCACACGCTCGGGCGCGTGGCGGGGCGGCAGCCATGAGCTACAGTTCCACCATGGGGCTGCTGCTGTCGGGCGGCACGGACGGCACGGTTCGTCTTACTGACTGCCGCTCATCGCTGCAACTGCACACCCTGCTCTTCACCGACCCCTCCCCAGGTACCACCTGCTCTTCACCGACCCCTCCCCAGGTACCACCTGCGCTGAATCGCACCCTTCCAGGTACCACCTGCGCTGAATTGCACCCTTCCAGGTACCACCTGCGCTGAATTGCACCCTTCCAGGTACCACCTGGCCTGAGTACCACCCTCCTGAGGTCGCGTCTGCATCAAGTACTAACCTTCCTAGGTAGCTCCTGCCTGTATCACCCTCTCCAGGTGCCACCTGCTTCCCCAGGCACCACCTGCCAATCCCCCATTGCAGTCCATAGTCAGTCGTGCAGAGTTCCACGCTTGATTGAGCAGCTTTGGGAATGATATCCACCGCTGTGCACTGTTATAGTGTTACCATATTATGCCATCTCCCCACTCCCCTCCTGCAGTGACTTCGGTGCTTCTCTCAGCGCCCAGCAACCGAGTGATGGCCGCTTCGGCATCGGGCCACCTGCGAGTGTGGGACCTCAGGTGGGTCTTATGGTGTTCTGGAAGTTCTCATATCAGGTCAGCTGGGTGCAAGTTCCTGCAAGTGTCGGATTCTGGGAGGTCAGGTGAGCTGTCCATTGCTTTCTGCACCCGCAACCCACATATTCTTACTGCCACTCTCTCCTCCTCCCCTTCCCACCTCTCCTATTACTCCATCCCTCTTACAATCTCATCTCCCCCCCGCCCTCCTCTCCTCCCTCTGCAGGTCCCCTTCTCACACACTCATGGATACTGCAATCTCGCCCCCCACCCACACCACACTCGCCCTCCCCTCCTCCCCACTCGCGCTCCCGCTTGTCCTGCTGACAGCTGGCGCCACGGGATTGGTCCAAATCTTGGATGCCGCCTCCCTCACTCCCCTTCGCCGCCTGCGCCGGCCGCCACTAGCCGAGCTGGCACTGGGCGGCGGAGCAGGGGTTGCAGTTGAGGTGGATGGGAGTGGTGGGACAGGAGAAGGGCAGGGATTAATGCGAGGAACAGGGTGGGCCATGAGGGAAGGTGGGGAAGAGAAGGTGCAGAGCCAGGGTGGGCAGAGGGGTAGGGGCAGCATGGAGGAGCATGCTTCGACTGGAGGAAACGGGGCAGCTGCTGGTGTGAGCGGTAGGGGGGTGTTGGGAGGAGTGACAGCTGGAGTAACTGGCATCGCTGCAAGAACATCCACCTTTGTCACATCGCATGTCGATGGAACTCCAACCTTATGGTTTGTTGGTCTGTAGTGCTGTGATGTAACAAATACCGGAAATATTTTCGTCCAGGGTGTAGGGTGTTTTAGTTTCACTAATTACGTGTGCAAGTACTCTGAATCCACTACGGGACAGCAACCCTCAGAACTAATGAACCACAGTAGCTGTACAACTTTCCTCCAGATGTTTCCAAGGTGTTCAGCCAACATGGGCATGGCACATTCTAGCAACGATTGTCAATGAGTGATTTCTGCTGATGCTTTCACAGTTTCTGTTCCAAATGTTGGGAAAACAGTACATGCAAGACGATTGGTGCAGATCAATGTTCAGGATAAGTATCTTCTCAGTTTTCAGGCTACGGATGTTGGCATGATTGTCGTCTGGAAGCATAGGTACCTTCTGCACCATCCAGTGCCATGATGAAAGAAAGCATGATACACCGAGTGCCATTTTGTAAAAAATCAACTACCAGTATTCAGGTAAACAAGGCATTAAAGTGCATATCAATCAGCCTCCGAAGCTGTTTGATTCTAGCACAAACGGCACGTTTCAAAGTGCATACCCTAATCAGATATTTAAGGCAGCTCACAGCTCGTCGTGACCAGCATCCTGCAACAAATGACAAATAATCCACAATTAGTGCTACAGCCGTGGTGTCAAGGTCAAAGGGTTACAGTAGTGATGGAGTAGCAATGCATGGCAGGCGTGGGGTTCAAGATGAGTGCAGCATAAGAAGACTCACCTCCTTGGCCTCCTCCGCATCCTCCTTATCCTCAGCGGCCTCCGCAGCCTCAGCATCAGCCTCGGCATCATCCTGAAACCAATGGAGCCAAGATACAACATCCATGAGGCACAAACACAGCTCGACCTAATAGCTACAGAAGACAGGATTCGAACAAAGATGAGTGCAGTATGGTACGAAATTGCTCACCTCATCATCAGCATCATCGTCCCCAGCGTCATCCTCCTTCTCCTCCTCCTCCTTGGACTTCTCGGCCTCGTCATGCATCTTCTTCTCCTCCTGCATCGACCAAATGCGCATGAAGAGTTAGCACATCCTTAGACAGACCTCACTTGGCAACGCCCGAGTTCAGTGTCTACACTTACCGCCTTCATGGCGCCCCAAGTGTCCTCAGCGAACTTGCGAGCATACTCAGCGTCATCAGTGACAAGGATGTTGTCAAAGATGGAGCCTGCCTTGACCTGCGAAAAAGGAGTACATTCACTCATTAGTATGAATGCCTCGTACAGAGGTCTGTCGAAACCTTGATAACAGCCTACGACACACACCTGCCAGATCTCAAAGCCAGCATAGCGCAGAGGTGGTAGACGATAGGCCTCTGGCTTCTCCACGAAGTCTGCAATACCAAATGATGATGTTCTAAGTTATATTCAAAATTCCATACAGATACGAAACCAGTTGAGCTGAACATTCCATTCAAACTTACCAGGGTTGTCAATCATAGGAGGCTTCCACTTGCCCTTGTACGCGGGGTTCTTGATCCTCTGTGGAAGGGTAAGCCAGAGGGGCAAGACATTTGCAACTAGCATACGTAAGCCGCTAAAGCTAAGCGACGACATTTCGGAAATCAAGCAGGCACAATAAAAGCCACTCGAAAACCTCAGCTTCATTTACAGGTAATCGCATTTACGGGTAAGAGCAACACGCGAATCTTACCTTGGGCTTCCATTCGCCCTTGTACTCGGGGTTGGGGATAAGAGGAGCCTCCCATTCACCATCATCCTCATCGTTCCAGTCCTCGGGCTGAAAGCAAAGACATGGCATACAGTATCACGCGAGTTAATCAACCAGGTTCTTTCTTTGAAGTATCTGTCTGTTGGCTCCGCATTTGCGCAAATGCTTATATAATCTAGCGACCAGATGCTCACCTTCTTCGCCTCAGGATCCACAATCTCGGCGGCGATGTCATCCCAGCCCTGCATAAACGATGGGTTTAGGAAAAAAGGAGTCAGGGAATCATAGATGAGAAACATGGAAGAGAACCAAATGAAAATTCCAGAAAATCCTCGAAATTCCGCGTATCCCTGTTATGAGAAGGCCAAAGTTCTACTTCACGTACATCGGGCTTCTTGTCCTCGGGATCATCCATGTACTCGTCGTCAACCCAGTCCTCGGGCTTCTTGACGGACTTGTCAGGGATCTGGCGAGGCTTCAGGAAATCCCATTCCGCAAAAATGTCGCCGCCAGACTTCTCGACGTTGTCGATCAGGATCTTGTAGGTGTTGTTGGGGCTCAGGATGAAAGTGTAGACGTGGGAAAGCGTGTCGGTCTCGCACTCAACGTTCTTCTTAATCAACATGTTCTTGCCCTCGTGGGTGATGATGGCGTGGACCCTCTTGGTTGAGTACCCGCAGATGTCTGGGCCGAACATAATGCTGCATACACGGAAAGAGCAATATGTTGAATGCGATGTCTCGAGCAACGAAAGATAGAAAAAACAAACAAAAAACAGTCAGGATCAAACCTGTAAGGCGTGTCGCCACCGAAGTTCTTCTGGTCGACCTCTCCCTCCAGAAGCTTGATGTAGCCACCACCACAGTCAAGATCCTGCTCATGCTTCACTTGGAACTGAAGAACGAGGTCCTTGTCCTTGTTGTCGAATTCCTCGATCTTGGAGGAAATCGCGAAGAAACGAGCGTCGGGGTGTGTCTGGATACCTGCACAAGAAATTAGTCCGTTGATGCGATTACTTTTTTTACGTACGCTCAAAAGAGGATATTGACACAACAAAAGAAAGAAACTTGCCTTTATCCTCAGGATCCTTGTAGTACTTCCCAGCCGCGTGCTTCCATTCTCCCGCAGCTCCCTCCGACTTCTTCCAGTCGGAAACTACCCACCTCGACTGCCATGTGTCTGCACAATGATAAGAGAATGCGCTCAGATCTCGCCAAGGAACTACGGAAATTGTGTCACAGAGCCAGTTCTAGCGGAAAACGCTCCCCTCAATCACTGTTACACCCACCGTCAAACTTCTCTTCGAAGTAAACCTTAGCTGAGACAGCTAGGCAGAGAGCCAGGAGGCACACAAATCGAAGAGCCTGCGCCATTGTCGCTAAGCTAGGAGATCCCAACCCGTCAATGAAACGAAATGCAAATTCAAGTTGTGGACTACATAAGAGGATCTGGTGACTGGCAGGGGGAGCTAGCCGAGGATGGGTGACTGAGCAGGTGGTTGCTTGGTTGGGTTGGTGGTGCATCTAGAAACTTGTGCCGAAGCCAAACCCAAGGCACGACCACAGCTGGAACTTGTTTTGGCGCCAAAGTCGAGACAGCCACTCAGCGTCGACATTGCTCGCGTGGGCCAATCACGAAAAGCCAACCACGTCAAAATGAGCATCGAGAAGCTGAGTGCTATAACCGTCGATCTAGTCGCTCAGAAATCGAAAGCCGTTGGCTGCAGCTAGACTTGCAAGTTTGTGTCGCATGAACTTCCTTTTCTGCCACTGACAAAGTCAGAATTTCAGAATTGTGGTACACCTTCTAGAGTCGTGGATGAAATATGAATGCACTCATACACAGAAGAAAAACAAGGTGTATCCGTTACACCCGCAACTTGCTTTCAAGCGGTGAATCTTTAAAGAGGATGAAGCCTTGGACCAGGCTTGAGCAGCAGTTGACGTGGCAACGGCTCCAAGAGTTTCACATTGTGCCAGTCAGACCCAGGGAGGTGGAGGTCACCACAACATTCGCTGCCGCGTGGCGTAGATGCTGGCTTGATCTATGATCCACGGCACTTCTCCAGCAGTCATGCGGAATCTCTTGCTGGCCAGGATCAAGTCTTCAAGCCCCATTCCAGCGTGGCATTCTGTTCCTCAGGCCGTTCCCTAGATCCGACGTGGCAGGCCCACACCACCGAGCCAAACACCCCATTGTCCAACAAAGCCAAAATCATCCAGCACACGCGCTTCGCGTTTGTGGCTGGCAGCTGGAGCTGTGAAAGGGGAACGTGGGAATCCAGCCAGCAGGGAGGGGAGGGAGGAGCAAAAGCATCCCACAGCAGATACAGAAATTCAAATTCACAAGCCAGTTTTCTTTGACATTAGTTGCTCCGAGCCGTACCCAAACCATACGAGAGGAACTCCCCTCGTTCGTGCTCCTCCAACGACGCCATGGCTGCCATCGCCCACTCCGCGTCGCTCCTCTGCGAGGCGTCCCTCGCCGCCGCGCGCTCGGCCAGCTCGCTGCCGTCCCACTCAGGCCTCAAGGCTGAGCCCCGCGTGGCCGTCCGCAGCCTGCGCGCGCAGCGCGCCAAGACCGCCAAGCCCATGACGGTGCGCGCGAGCGCGGGCACCGCCGTGGAGGGATTCGAAGTTAAGGCGGTGCCGACTTCGCCGATCGAGGGGCAGAAGACGGGGACGAGCGGGCTGCGCAAGAAGGTGAAGGTGTTTCAGGAACCGCACTACCTGGCCAACTGGATCCAGGCGCTCTTCGACTCGCTGCCCGCCGAGGATGTCAAGGGCTCGCTGCTCGTGCTGGGCGGCGATGGCCGTTACTTCAACCGCGAGGCCGCGCAGGAGATCATCAAGATCGCCGCTGGTAACGGCGTCGGGAAGATTCTCGTCGGCAAGTGAGTAGCGAACCTTGTCCTTCATGCCTCGCCCCTAAGGTTTTTTTTTTTTTTTTGCTCCTTCTGCGCTTGCCACCATCCCGTCCGGCCCCCACCCCGTCCCCCCTGTCCACGCGCCCATGCTGTGTTTCGCTTGAGCCAATTATTTCTTCCTCGCAATACCTGTCTTCCGTGCTCCGCCTCACCTCCCGTCTCTTGTCCCGTTCTCTCCGCGTGTGCACGCATGCAGGGACGGCATCATGTCCACGCCCGCCGTGTCGGCTGTCATCCGCAAGCAGAAGGTGAGGGGAAGCACATTGCATGGCGTGGCATGGATGCATGGGTCTGCAGCATGCATGGCATGGAAGGGCTGCTCACATTTCCTAATCCACATGCCTTTCAAGTGAGCTACCAGTGCGAAATTGGGCTATGAATGCGAGGATGGCGTACTAATTATATCATCCTCGAATCCCCGCCCATGCGCCTGCCCCCTGCGCGTCCCCCGTGCGCATCCTCCGCGCGTGCAGGCGTACGGCGGGTTCATTATGAGCGCGAGCCACAACCCCGGCGGGCCCAAGTACGACTGGGGCATCAAGTTCAACTACAGCAGCGGCCAGCCCGCGCCCGAGTCCATCACCGACAAGATCTACGGCAACACGCTCTCCGTACGTACCTGCTCCCCCTCCCCGCGCTCTCTCCGTACATGTCGCTTCCGCGACACGCTCGCCATAAGTGGCACTTGAGTTCTTTGCCAGTGTCCCCGCCGGTTTTATCTCTGCACGCGTCAACCTTCTCCCTTGCCCATCCCCCACCTTCTCACCGACCGCGCCTCCCGTGCGCAGATCAAGGAGATCAAGCAGGCGGAGATCCCCGACGTGGACCTGGCCAAGACCGGCACGACCAAGTTCGGGTCGTTCGAGGTGGAGGTCGTCGACCCCGTCGCCGACTACCTCGAGCTCTTCAAGGTACGCTCCAAGCAATCATTAAACACAGAATAGCACCCGTCCCCGTTCCCCCGCCTCCCACACCCGCGTTCACCCATGCGCATCTCCACCCCACTTGATCCAGTTTCAACGCCGCATGGCTCCGTCGATCATTCCGCCACACTTCGCCCCATCTCTCCTTGCTTTCCCCCTCCATCCCTAACGTCCTCCGCACTCCATCCCTGTCCCCTATTCTCCCCCATTGCCCCCGGCCACCCCTGCTCCCCCCCCCCTCACCTCCCCCTCCCCCCTCCCTTCCTCAGCAAGTGTTCGACTTCGACATGATCCGCGCGCTCGTGACGCGCCCGGACTTCTCGCTCAAGTTCGACGCCATGCACGCCGTCACCGGCGCGTACGCCAAGCCCATCCTCGTCGACGCGCTCGGCGCGCCCGAGTCGGCAATCATCAACGGCACGCCGCTCGAGGATTTCGGCGGCGGCCACCCCGACCCGAACCTGACGTACGCGGAGGAGCTCGTGAAGATTATGTACGCCCCCGATGCGCCCGATTTCGGCGCCGCATCGGACGGCGACGGCGACCGCAATATGATCCTCGGGAACAACTTCTTCATCACGCCGTCCGATTCCGTCGCGATCATCGCCGCCAACTCGCAGGCCGCCATTCCGTACTTCGCCGCCGGCCCCAAGGGCCTCGCGCGCTCCATGCCCACCTCCGCCGCGCTCGACCGCGTCGCGACGGGGCTCAACCTGCCGTTCTTCGAAGTTCCCACCGGGTGGAAGTTCTTTGGAAACCTCATGGACGCGGGTACGCTGAGCATCTGCGGAGAGGAGAGCTTCGGAACTGGATCCGATCACATTCGGGAAAAGGACGGACTGTGGGCCGTGCTCGCGTGGCTGTCCATCCTCGCGTATCGCAACAAGGACGTGCCGGTTGGCGGGAAGCTGGTGTCGGTGGGTGACGTGGCGCGCGAGCACTGGGCGCAATACGGGCGGAATTTCTTTTCGCGGTACGACTACGAGGAGTGCGCGTCGGAGGGCGCGAACGCCATGGTGGCGCACCTCAGGGAGATCCTCGCCGCCGCCAAGCCCGGAGATAAATACGGTGAGACGCGGTTGAGTGCGGTGAGGGGATGCGGTGAAGGGGGAAGAGTGGGCGGATGGCGTGGGATTGCAGGAGGTGGGAGGGAGTGAGGGTGGGTGGCTGACTGGCTGGCTGGTTGGGCTGTTGGGTGGTTGGGGGCATGTGAAGGAAAACAGAGACAGTGAGCGCAAGAGAGCGAGGGGGGCAGGGCACGGAATGGCACAAGGATAACAAAAAGACACACGAGTCGCCACGAACCAACCAAGCACCGCATCCTGTCTACCTCTCATTCATTGAAGGTCATCTCGGCCAAACATGTCCAAAGGCCAATCGTTGAGTCAGAGGCACTAGGCGGTGATGCTGTCCAAACATGTCTTGACAAGGCATTCGCCAGCAGCATGCCCTTGCCACATCCATGCATGCTGCCATGCCGTCCTGGCCCATGCCTCGCTGCCCCGCGCCCTCCATTTCCCGAGCACAGCACACCGTGGTTCTTCGCCGCGCTCTCTAATCTAATGCACCCCCCAACCCCTTCCCCTACCCCACTAACCCGTCAGCAGACGAGGAAGCGTGGCGAGACAGCGCATTCGCTCTCTTGTCTCTCAACACGCTCTCTCTAACCAACCAATCCAACCCCCTCCATCATCGATCCATCCTCCCATCCTGCAGGTGCCTACGAGCTGGCGCTAGCGGACGACTTTGAGTACACGGATCCCGTGGATGGGAGCGTGGCCAGCCAGCAGGGCATCCGCTTCGTCTTCACCGATGGCTCGCGCATCATCTTCCGCCTCTCCGTACGTTGCCCCACCACCAACCCTGTGTTACTGTGCGGCCCGTCCTTGGGGCATTGGCTGCTCTCCCTCTGCTCCATCCCGCCCTCTCCGCCCCACCCTCTCTGCCCTGCACTCACTACTGCACCTCGGCCCTTGCATTCAAGAGCCTGAAAAGCCCATGCCTTTCTCTGCCACTGCTCATCTACATCCCATGCACCCATCCTCCCTTACCCCCAGCTTCCCATCCCTCCCTCCTCCCATATCCCCATGCAAGCATTCATCAAGGCACGGGCAGTGTGGGTGCCACCATCCGTGAGTATGTGGAGCAGTGTGAGCTGGACGTCTCTCAAGGCCAATACTCACCTCTATCCCATCCTCCTACCCTCCCACCGTCCCATTCTTTTTTAAAACACATCAGGGCACGGGCAGTGCAGGGGCCACCATCCGAGTGTACGTGGAGCAGTATGAGCCGGACGTTGCTCGTCACGGCCTCGACGCACAGGAGGCCCTCAAGCCCCTCATCGGTGAGCCCCGCCTCTCTGCCTCCCTGCCTCCCTGCCTCCTTGCCTCCTTGCCTTGCCTCCTTGCCTTGCCTGCCTGCCTTGCCTGCCTGCCTCTAGCCTGCAAGGTCTCCTCCCTTGCTGCTTCCCTTCATGTCTTTCTGACGTGCATCTGCACGCGCGAGCACAAGCGGCGCAAGGCCCCAGGGCATGCGACATGACAGCCCTCCTTTGCCCCAGGGCATGCGACATGACAGCCCTCCTTTGCCCCAGGGCATGCGACATGACAGCCCTCCTTTGCCCCAGGGCATGCGACATGACAGCCCTCCTTTGCCCCAGGGCATGCGACATGACAGCCCTCCTTTGCCCCAGGGCATGCGACATGACAGCCCTCCTTTGCCCCAGGGCATGCGACATGACAGCCCTCCTTTGCCCCAGGGCATGCGACATGACAGCCCTCCTTTGCCCCAGGGCATGCGACATGACAGCCCTCCTTTGCCCCAGGGCATGCGACATGACAGCCCTCCTTTGCCCCAGGGCATGCGACATGACAGCCCTCCTTTGCCCCAGGGCATGCGACATGACAGCCCTCCTTTGCCCCAGGGCATGCGACATGACAGCCCTCCTTTGCCCCAGGGCATGCGACATGACAGCCCTCCTTTGCCCCAGGGCATGCGACATGACAGCCCTCCTTTGCCCCAGGGCATGCGACATGACAGCCCTCCTTTGCCCCAGGGCATGCGACATGACAGCCCTCCTTTGCCCCAGGGCATGCGACATGACAGCCCTCCTTTGCCCCAGGGCATGCGACATGACAGCCCTCCTTTGCCCCAGGGCATGCGACATGACAGCCCTCCTTTGCCCCAGGGCATGCGACATGACAGCCCTCCTTTGCCCCAGGGCATGCGACATGACAGCCCTCCTTTGCCCCAGGGCATGCGACATGACAGCCCTCCTTTGCCCCAGGGCATGCGACATGACAGCCCTCCTTTGCCCCAGGGCATGCGACATGACAGCCCTCCTTTGCCCCAGGGCATGCGACATGACAGCCCTCCTTTGCCCCAGGGCATGCGACATGACAGCCCTCCTTTGCCCCAGGGCATGCGACATGACAGCCCTCCTTTGCCCCAGGGCATGCGACATGACAGCCCTCCTTTGCCCCAGGGCATGCGACATGACAGCCCTCCTTTGCCCCAGGGCATGCGACATGACAGCCCTCCTTTGCCCCAGGGCATGCGACATGACAGCCCTCCTTTGCCCCAGGGCATGCGACATGACAGCCCTCCTTTGCCCCAGGGCATGCGACATGACAGCCCTCCTTTGCCCCAGGGCATGCGACATGACAGCCCTCCTTTGCCCCAGGGCATGCGACATGACAGCCCTCCTTTGCCCCAGGGCATGCGACATGACAGCCCTCCTTTGCCCCAGGGCATGCGACATGACAGCCCTCCTTTGCCCCAGGGCATGCGACATGACAGCCCTCCTTTGCCCCAGGGCATGCGACATGACAGCCCTCCTTTGCCCCAGGGCATGCGACATGACAGCCCTCCTTTGCCCCAGGGCATGCGACATGACAGCCCTCCTTTGCCCCAGGGCATGCGACATGACAGCCCTCCTTTGCCCCAGGGCATGCGACATGACAGCCCTCCTTTGCCCCAGGGCATGCGACATGACAGCCCTCCTTTGCCCCAGGGCATGCGACATGACAGCCCTCCTTTGCCCCAGGGCATGCGACATGACAGCCCTCCTTTGCCCCAGGGCATGCGACATGACAGCCCTCCTTTGCCCCAGGGCATGCGACATGACAGCCCTCCTTTGCCCCAGGGCATGCGACATGACAGCCCTCCTTTGCCCCAGGGCATGCGACATGACAGCCCTCCTTTGCCCCAGGGCATGCGACATGACAGCCCTCCTTTGCCCCAGGGCATGCGACATGACAGCCCTCCTTTGCCCCAGGGCATGCGACATGACAGCCCTCCTTTGCCCCAGGGCATGCGACATGACAGCCCTCCTTTGCCCCAGGGCATGCGACATGACAGCCCTCCTTTGCCCCAGGGCATGCGACATGACAGCCCTCCTTTGCCCCAGGGCATGCGACATGACAGCCCTCCTTTGCCCCAGGGCATGCGACATGACAGCCCTCCTTTGCCCCAGGGCATGCGACATGACAGCCCTCCTTTGCCCCAGGGCATGCGACATGACAGCCCTCCTTTGCCCCAGGGCATGCGACATGACAGCCCTCCTTTGCCCCAGGGCATGCGACATGACAGCCCTCCTTTGCCCCAGGGCATGCGACATGACAGCCCTCCTTTGCCCCAGGGCATGCGACATGACAGCCCTCCTTTGCCCCAGGGCATGCGACATGACAGCCCTCCTTTGCCCCAGGGCATGCGACATGACAGCCCTCCTTTGCCCCAGGGCATGCGACATGACAGCCCTCCTTTGCCCCAGGGCATGCGACATGACAGCCCTCCTTTGCCCCAGGGCATGCGACATGACAGCCCTCCTTTGCCCCAGGGCATGCGACATGACAGCCCTCCTTTGCCCCAGGGCATGCGACATGACAGCCCTCCTTTGCCCCAGGGCATGCGACATGACAGCCCTCCTTTGCCTCGCTAACTTCGCCCCTTCCTTGCATGCATGTCTCACTGAATGCTTGTGTGCGTGCATTCTCCTCTCCTCCCCTGCACGCAGACATTGCCCTGTCGGTGTCGAAGCTCCAAGAGTTCACCGGCCGTGACAAGCCCACCGTCATCACCTAAACGCTGCGCCTCTGCACTCCTTTGCACTCATCTGCTCTCCGCACAACCTAGTGTTGGACTACCATAGCTCGTAAGAGACAGCCGTGCCTGCAATAAATGCAGGCGTTTTGTAGGGCCTGGTGTGTGCTTGTGTTTCCACCTGAATTGTGAGTGAAGCCCTTGTTTGTAAATGAATCACCAGTTTGACTTCACAAGCCTCTGTCCGGGGGAGAAGTAAAACCAAAACACTGAGAGTCATGATGTGTGGCTGGTACGGTATTGCTACCAGTACCCATTTACCGTATACAGCAAGTCGAAAGTGGGAATGGGGAAAGGAGAAAGCTGATCATGTCCAATGAGAAGTATTGCAAGGCGGGCAGAGGCTCAGTTGCCAGCCAGCTTGTTCCAGATTAACTACTAACCACTGCACTGCACTGCACTGCTTGCGCTCACTGAAACACTCATCTCATCACACTGCTGGTGCCTGGCATGGCATGAGGCCATACTGTACTGCCTGACTGGCACTGTATGACTGCTTCACATCACAACCAACTGCCTGCTGCTGGCAGGTGGATGGATGGAGAGGAGAGTCTCGCTGCACTTTCTGTGTGAGAGAGAGTGAGAGACCTTAATTGGAACAAGCAGATGGTCTGTTTTTTACAGTAGGCGTATTGAACTTAATGTGGTGGCAAGTGGATAGAATCTCTGTGCATCGACAGTTGTAGCTGGTTGGTGGAAGTGGAAGGTGTTCTCCATGGTATGGTATGGTGCCAGGGCAGGGTACCGTATACTTCTGAGACGCCTAAAAAACATACCTACTGGTAACGAAGCGGCAGGTGAATACAGTAGGTAAAAGCATATCGCATTAATAGTATTGGGAGACCTCTGTCCACACAAGCGCAGGGTTGGCCACTTTATCCATGGTCAGGTCAACATGCTGGTCCCCGGGCAGAAAGACATATTCACACGGCACTTTATCCTCCACATACCCCTAAACCACCGCCACCCCTTGCACCACATTATAAGGAAACGGCTTCGGCGCGCGCGGGTGGTCGGCGAGTTTCGTCCCGGTTAGGAAATTAGTCACTCCGGTTTCTAAAGACGGCATGGTCGCTCCCATGCAAGACGCGCTGATCCCAAGGGGTTGACCCAGAACCCCCCCTACAGTCACATGCTTCACATTGAACCGCTTCCGGAGATTATGCGTGAATATAGCGCAAGCTGAGAAGCAGTTCCCATTTGTGACTATAACGAGCGGCCAGGCCCCAAACACCGGGCCCCGAAACGGGATCTTTTCGAGCCCGGGAAACGCAGCGAGCTTGAACAAACCCGAGTAAACTCCGGTCTGCCCGTCCGGCGAAAACTTTTCCTCCTAAAACGGCTTGAAATCGCGCGCGCTTTTCACCGGCGTGGTCTCGTCAACCCTCACGTACTTGTCCCACTGGTAGAACGAGGTGAGCTGCTTGTCCAGTAATGAGAGCATGAATGCATTGGATATGAGCAGCTGCTGTGGCATCTGCACTCGGCCCTTGGGGGCCTTCTGTTTGCCGGCCACGAGGCGCAGCAGCAGGTAGGCTATGTCAGTGTAGCCCCCGCCGTTGCCACTCACGTCCATCAGTATGCGCTTGCCGTGCCTGGGGAGAGAGGAAGGAGGAGGGGGGAAGAGTGGGGCGAAAGGGGAAAAAGGCAGGGCTTTTTGTTTGCTGGCCACGAGGCGCAGCAGGAGGTATGTTCTATGTCTGCGTAGCCCCCGCCGTTGCCACTCACGTCCATTATGATTCGCTTGCCGTGCCTTGGAAAGGGTGAGTGGGGGCGGGGAGGGAACACGAGGAGGGAATGAGGAGGCAGAAGGAGAAGAAAAGGAAAGGGACAGATGAGGTGAGGTGGACTGCACCAGGAGGAAGGTCCGGGGAGGAAATGCGGGCAGTGGGGTAATGGGGCAGGGGCGGCAACGACGACTGGTGCCACTCACTCTCAGGAGCTCTGTCCTGCTGTGTCTGGGAATGGGGATGGGAGTTGTGGGGGGAGTCGCAGTGGGGAGTGGGGGAGGGAGGGGGATGTAACCTGTGGAATGGGGTGAACGAGCACTGGGGAGGACGCTGGGGAAGAGAGTTCTGGACTCACTGGTTGGCGAGATCAACGGCTGTGGAGATCTCGGTGAGCAGGAAGGCGATGAGGGCTTCATCTGAGCCGTCCAATGCTGGCAGGAAGGTGTGCAGCCAGATGACTGCCGTGGCGTTGTCTGCTAGCAGGTAGACCTGGGGGAGGGGGGAAAGGGGGGGAGAGAGAGAGGACGAGCAGGGATGAGATGGAGTGGCATGAAGCAAGGCATGCTGCGTGCAAGCTGATGCCTGGCAGTCTCGCGGTTTTGAGGCACCTCACAAGTTGGTATGCTGGTTCCATCCGCACAAGTTGGTATGCTGGTTCCATCCGCACAAGTTGGTATGCTGGTTCCATCCGCACAAGTTGGTATGCTGGTTCCATCCGCACAAGTTGGTATGCTGGTTCCATCCGCACGGCGCAGTGCATGTCGGAACGTGCACCGAAGCACACGGCACTCACGGGAATCAGCGCTGATGACGTGGACAATTTCTGCGCCCCTGCCAGGTCATTTGGTGCTGGCGCTGACGAGGCACGCCCGTCGCCGCCAGCAGCAGCACTACTACCAGCATCAGCAGAGGTAGCAGATTCAGCAGACTCAGCAGCAGCAGCCGCTGCTTGGTATCGGAGCAGCAGGGGGGCGGCAGGGGGTGGGGGAGGGGGGCGGAGCAGGGAGGGGCGGGCGTCGAGGTCGGGCCTTGGGAACTCCACAGCCAGAGTCGGCCACCCAGACGCTCTCTCCCTGCTGCTGTCGCCCATCCCCGCACGACTGCTGCCCCATCCCACTGCTCCCTCTCTGCTCTCTTCTCCGCTCTCTGCACCTTCTGTGTTCTGTGCACCATCTGTCCTCACTGTCCCCTCTGTCCTCACTGTCCCCTCTGTCCTCACTGTCCCCTCTGTCCTCACTGTCCCCTCTGTCCTCACTGTCCCCTCTGTCCTCACTGTCCCCTCTGTCCTCTCTGTCCCCTCTGTCCTCACTGTCCCCTCTGTCCTCACTGTCCCCTCTGTCCTCACTGTCCCCTCTGTCCTCTCTGTCCCCTCTGTCCTCACTGTCCCCTCTGAGCTCTCTGCTGTGTCGTCTGCAATCCAAGCCCCCATGCCCCGAGCTCTCTTCTTAAGTCTCTCACTCAACAAAGGCCCAGGTCTCCTCACCCTCCCGTCCCCTCTTTCTTCTCCCCTCCCACCCTCCCCCCGCTCCTTCTCCCCCCACCGTTCCCCCTCCCACTCCTTCTCGGCATCCGCAGCACCCCCCCTCCTTCCCCCATCCGCTATCAGCGCCGTCTCTTCCCCCCTTGCCCTGCTGCGCGTCCCCACAGCCCGCCCAGCTGCCCCAGCAGCAGAGGCAGCAGCAGAGGGCGCAGCGGCGGCAGAGGCGGTGGGTTGGCGAGGGGTGGCGCAGTTAGCCGCCCAGTAGGAGGTGGCAGAGTCGAAATTGGTCGGCAGCACTGCCACCCACGGCACCGTCACCTGCACTGGTGTGGCACTCGTGCTGTGATTGGTGGGGGAGAGGGTGCAAGGGGATAAGGAGAGATGGAGAGAGGGAATTGGGACGGGCAGGGTTACATGAGGCAGCACTGCCACCCAGGGCACCGTCACCTGCACGGGTGTGGCACTCGCGCTGTGATTGGTGGGGGGAGCAGGGGGCAGTGGCACATGGTGTGAGGTATGAGGGAAGTTGACGGGAGTGACGGAAGTTGAGTGCTGCAGTATCCATGTCTAATCCATGCCCCCTTCCTCTTCCCCCTGCCCCATACCAAATGCCCCACATTCCCACACCCCCATACCCAACTGCAAAGAACACCACCCCTCCCCAACCCGCCACTCACGCCAGTATCAGTTCCACCACAGCGCCTTCATTCGTCGGTGCGGGGATCCTCTGTGCGAGATGGCCCTCGCCCCATACCTCATACCCCATGGCCCATGGCCCATGCCAGACCCCGCTGCAAACAACACCACCCCTCTCCACCCCTCGAACTCACGCCCTAACTCCCCCCACTCACGCCAGTATCAGCTCCACCACAACACTGTCATTCGTCGGTGCAAGACTCCGCTGTGCGAACGCGCCCTGAGTCGCAATCACCGCGCCCGTCGCCTTGGACACAACCCTTCTTGCAAAGAGCAGGTTGAAGCGCACGCCCGAGTCGCGGTACTGCCCCACGTAGCGCGCCGCCCACTCTAATAGGTAGTCCATGGCGGCGGCGCCATTGATGGTGGTGACCTGCGCGCCCTCGTAGCGGTAGTAGTCGAACTGGTGGAGCACCAGCGCTGCCACGTCTAAGCCTTCTAGGAGCACTGCGGGAAGGGACGGGGCAATGGGCAAGGCGGTAAGGGGGAGGGAGCGAGAGGGGGTTTCTTGTGACCTGCGCGCCCTCGTAACGGTAGTAGTCGAACCGGTGGAGGACTAGGGCCGCCACGTCTAGGCCTTCTAGCAGCACTGGGGAAGGTGGGGGAAAGGGGGATGAAGGTTGGGGGGGGGGGTTGGTGGAAGGGGGTTCGGGAGAGATGGGCGGAAAGGGGGGAATGGAAACGATGGCGTGGAATGGGCATAGGGGAAAAGCGTGCGGAGGCCGCCACTCACGCGAGGACGGCGCGACGCGGATTATCTGGTTACCACCCTCGACGACCGCGACGAGCGGCAGCGGGAGGTAGTAGGACGCGGTTCGGTGGAAGCACGCGGAGCTGAACATCGTGTGGCCGTCGTTAAGACTCATTAGTGCGCGGTAGATTAATGTCTGGAACCGCATCAGGCTCTTAATCCCCTTCCCCGCTAACGCCTTCTCTCGAATCGCGCGCAGGTAGGTGACTATGTCGACGTCGCTCGGGAGACGCGGGTCGGGGGAGCTAATCGCGATGTGTCTGTATACGTAGAAGCTGGCTAGACCGTTGATTATGGAGTCTATAACGGGGATGTCGCGCGAAGCGAGGAAGCGGAAGGACCGGAGGCAGTGCTTTGCTTGTGACGGCGTCGCGAAGCCCACGCCGACAGTCCCGGGGACGACGCGCGCGGTCGCCGCCAGCTGCTCCGCCAGCAGCGCGCATTGGTCGCCCTGCGGACGCGCCTTCGCGGAGATTTGCCGGGGGACGGGGGAGAAGACGGCGGAGAGGAAGAGGGGGAGGAGGAGGGAATGGAGCGAGCGGTGGAGGTGGAATCGCGGCGAGGCGCCGGCAACGAGATGTTGCCGCGGCCGAGACGACTTGCGTTGACTCGGCGCGCTGTGGGACACAGCCGCTAACCCGTCAGCCATGCGAACGAGTGGTTCAGGTCAGCGGTTACTGTCTGAAGGTGCTGCGACAAGCGAAGTGTAACTACGTAACTAGTCTCGTGGCTCTTAATCTATGAGAGACCCTTGCACGCGAAATTCGACGACAACATCGAAACGAGCGTAACGACGCGAAGCTCTCTAAACGGTCCATTGTGCGACGAACGCGACAACTAAAGGCTGTGAGTCGAGTCAAGCTAGCGCCCTCGAAATCATCATCGAGCTGACAGTTATTGTCGAATAAGCTTATCACTCACGCCGGCCATGGCGTGTGCCGCACACGCGCCCACCAGAGGCTGGCTTACTCGCATCGCATTGCATGCTTCGAGGTCGAGGCAGCGAATATTAGGATAGAATCAACAGTGTGTGCCGACTTTGGCTGGCACTCCTAGATACTGCGTAAGGGGGACGGCGTAGTAACGGCCACGTGGAATCGCGGAGCAACAAACAATAACCGATTAACACAGACCGCATGTCTGCTCCAAAGACTAGGAACCTGGTGCAATGCACCTTGTGCGCGCGATCACTGCGAGGGTTCGTCGTTGCGCGGCGGCTGGTGGGAGGGCGGCGCGAATTAGGTGGGTGGTGTGGGGCGGGCCAGGCGGACGAGAGGCGCTAGTTTAGCTCGTCGCTGCGGGGGGAGAATCAGCACCTTGCCTGCGTGGGGGAAAAGTTCGTCCCCCGATTCGCGAGTGGGGGCGCTAGGAGCGCCATGTGGCCAATCAGGATGCAGAACCAGCCCCACCAAGACCTGCCCTGGGCGCTTGGGAGCGGTGGTGCTTGTAGCGATCGCGCTTCGATGTGTGCGGTGCAGAGCTATTTGCTACAGTACGAAAGTATGTACACTGCAAAAGCGACTAATAGCCATCATCTACAGCTGAGTGGAAACATAAAACATATAATTCTTATGCATTAACGAAGCATCTACTTGTCAGCAGCAGTGGCAGGAGGACCCTTCCAGCGAAAGTTGTCCGCGTATGATTTGGGCTGCGTGGAGGGACAATAAAATCAAATTTCATAAGTATGCAAGCTAGATGTGGCTCAAGAGCGCACTGGATATTGAACAGCACGAGAAATAGCAAGCATGAGAAAATCTGTGTGCCATGTTCCGTGGATGCAGGAAATTGGGCAGAGGGTCTAAGGGTCTAGAAGAGCAGAGGGGGAGTAGGATGTAAACTATGTGCAGTTTTACCTTCTTAATTGGCTTCTGTGGCTCGAGGACCTGAAAACACAGAGGCGGCACGAGGGAAAAACTTAAGAAAAAAGGTTATCCCAGGCAGAGACTTGTCAGCCATGCTGCACAACAACATTGACACAGGGACTGAAACGAGAAACAAGCATGATGAGGCGATGGGGACAATTGACATTTACACAACCTGCTGCTGAACCACCACCTTCATGCTACCCCCGGCACCATTCTGCCGAATACCTGATGGTGCTGCCACGTACCTGATGGTGCTGCCACGTACCTGATGGTGCTGCCACGTACTCGGCACCAGTAAATGCCTCAGCCCCACGTTCAAGAAAGTTAGCAGTGCCACCTGTGTGCTACTTCTCAATACCTGCTATTTTCACTACCTGGTAGTGCCAGCCATGGCGTTCAACAAAGTCAACGGCGTCCTGCTTGGAGTGGAAGGAGGCAATCTGCCAGATACATGGTGGTACTGCTAGATACCCAGTGGTACTGCCACCCACGTACCTGGTATTGCCAGCCATGGCGTTCGACAAAGTCAACGGCATCCTGCTTGGAGTGGAAGGAGAGAGCAAGACCTGCCAGATACCCAGTGGTACTGCTAGATACTCAGTGGTACTGCCACCCACGTACCTGGTAGTGCCAGCCGTGGCGTTCAACAAAGTCAACGGCGTCCTGCTTGGAGTGGAAGGAGAGAGCTGAGTCCGCCACACATGCCATGGGGTCTGCCGTTGACGTCCACCCCATGAGAGGGTTCTCCCACCTGAAAGCACGCAGACATGTGCATAGCATGCCACACACACAATGCATGCAGAGATGCACACACCATGCACATCAAGAAGCACAATGCATGCTGTGAGATAAGATGGCAGCTTCCTGCTTGGAGTGGAAGAAGAGGCCTGAGTCCGCCACACATGCCATGGGGCCCGCTGTTGACGCCCACACCATCAGGGGGTTCTCCCACCTGAAAGCACGCAGACATGCATATCAAGAGACACATGCATGCAGAGTTGCATAACAGCACACACAATGCACTTTTGAGTTGACTTCAAAGGAAGGAAATGACAGAGTAGGCCACACATGCCATGGGGTCTCCTGTTGATGTCCACCCCGTAAGAGGGTTCTCCCACCTGCATGCAGCCATGTGCACATCGAGTGACACAGAAACTCGCATAACGACATGCACGATGCAAATGCAGATTTAGACAAAGAAACTCGCATAGCCCTAGTAGATATGCACATCACAGCACACAATACATACAGTGACATGCATGCAGATATGAGGGCACACATGCCCATGGACATAGCCATATGCATGCACACACATATGCACACAGAACAAGGACTCTCACTTCTGCGTGGTATCGAATCGGATCTTCCACTGCCCATGCCGCCCCATGCCCTGCTGCGACGCGGCTCGCGCGGGACTGTACACAACCACCTGTAAGACATTTCCACAAAGAGGGAACAAAAGGGGGAGGGGATGTGAGCGATAAAGGAGGGGAGGGGATGTCCTGCTGCGCCCGCGGCTCGTGCAGGATTGTGCTGTGCACCACCACCTGTAAAAATTCCCCACGCCACGCCAGCAACACAGCCGCGCAGAGAAAGTGTGGGAGCGGGAAGATGGGGCGAGCGGAGATGTGAGGGGAGGCGGGAGAGGGAGAGGGGGGGGTAGGGAAGGGGAAAAGCCAGGGGAAGGCACGAGGGGAGAAGCTCGCGGAGGATGACGACGCGCGATCCGGGCTTGGAGCAAAGACAGCCGTCCCGAACGGACGAAGCGGGTCGACCCAAGGAAGCACGAGACGGTTCCGATTCGATATAAGCACAACGCGAACTAGCTCCGTTACTGTGCGCCCCGACCCTCCTCCGGTTTAGCACCACGATCCCCAAAACCGCACCTTCCGCTGGAGCTGTTCCTTGGGAATGCCGGAAACCTCCGCCGCTTCCGCCTTCCCCACTGCGGAGCGCTGCGCGGAGGTCGTCAGCGCTCGGAGCTGCGGGAGCGCCGTACGCGCGAGCGAGAAGCCGCGGCGGTTAAGCGCGGCGGCCATGGCGGATGCAGGTTGTGAAGCGAGTCGCGGCGGTGAGAGGGGAAATGGAACGGTTAGCGGCGGATGCGGCGACACTCGCGGCGGGGGTGTTGGCTGCGATACGAAGGCCGATCTTGGAGTGATGCTCTTCGCTTGGCTTGTGAAAGCAGGTCGCAGTCGCATGACTTCGATGATTGTCGCTGAACTCGATAAGAACCTCCCCGCGCTTTCGGTTAGACGATTCAACAAATACTGCCTAGTCAGAATGCTTTAAAAGCAAGTGGCATCTTCAAGGGCATCAAGGTCAATCCTACCACAACAAATCACATTCCTAAACAGCAAATTCTAATGTCCTAAGACATTTACAAAACCACACAGGGTACGCTAATGAAGTCAACCTGGCTCCTACATCAGCTAGTTAATCATAGCAGCGCTATGCCATAACCCCCCTTTCCCAATTTGAGAGACACAACATACTAGTCGTGCTAAGGCATGGTTGCAGCCACTATTGCACTCAATTTTCCCATCTCTAGCCAATTATTTCTTAAACCGCCATGCCACACCGCACCAGTTGCAATAGTGTTACGAAATGGTACAGCATCCGCCCTTCGCCGCTTCATTCGAAGGCGCCGCCGCCGTCCCCGCTGCAGCCCCTTTCTTCCCCCCTGCCGCCGCCTCGCTCGCCCCAGCCCCAGCAGCCGCCTCCTTGGCCTTCCTAGCAGCTTCCTCTTCCGCCTGCTGCTTCTTCTTCTTCTCCTCCTCAGCCTTTTCTTTCGCCTCCTTCTCAGCCTTCTCCTTCTCCTCCTTCTCCAGCCGCTCCTTCTCCTTCTGGGCCTCCTGCTTCCCCTCCCACTCCACCACCGCGTCGGCCGCCGCCTCGCAGATATCCATCAGCGCCGGAATCACCTCCTCCGTCAGATCCGGCCGATCTCGGCGGTCCATTTCCGCGCACCACAGCCCCAGGTTCGCGAGGTCCAGCGCCAGGTTCGGCGGCCATTCACCAGCCCTGGGATCCAGCACCACTGTCAACTCCTCCTTTTCCACCATCGCGTCGATCCTCTTCAGGTTCGGCACCTCCCCAACCAGCATCTGCAGCAGCACCACCCCGAACGAATACACGTCCGATTTCGGCCCGAGGTACCCCCTCCTCGCGCACAGATACTCAGGATCGACATAATGCTCCGTCCCGACAATGACTGATTTCCGCACGACGTGGGAGTGGCCGGGGGCGAGGTCGCCCATGAGGCGGGCGAGCCCCACGTCGCCGAGCTTGGCGGTGAAGTGGTCGTCCAGCAGCACGTTGGCTGGCTTCACATCGCGATGCACGATGGGCGGCTTGCGCGTGTGCAGGTGCTGCAGCCCTGCCGCGATCTGGTGGTGTGGGGAGGTGCGAGGAAGGGGGAATCGGGATGAGGGGAGAGAGAAAGAAGGGTCAGAGTGAGCAGGGCACGTTGGCTGGCTTCACATCACGGTGACGATGGGCGGCTTGCACGTGTGGAGATGCTGCAGCCCTGCTGCTATCTGGATACGGTATAGGGGGCAGGGGGAAGAAGGATGCAGCAATGATCCGGCCACTGCACTGCAGCAGTGGCATTCCCCTGATGCAAACCCTCCCTCTCAACCTTAATCCCAGCCCTCCACCCTTTCAGCTCACCTCCATGGCAATGCGGCAGCGCTCGGGCCACAGCAGCGGCGGCACGCCCCCAATGCAGAGCAGGCGGTCTTCAACAGACCCATTGGCCATGAACTCATAAACCAGCGAGCGGTTCTCCCTGCAGTACCGCACCCCACCCACCCGCTAGCATTTTGCCACCCCCAGCTGCTCACCTCCATAGCAATGCGGCAGCGTTCAGGCCACTGGAGGGGAGGCACGCCCCCGATACAGAGCAGGCGGTCCTCGAGGGAGCCGTTGGCCATGAACTCGTAGACCAGCGATCGGTCCTCCCTGCAGTACCCCACCAGCCGCACCGCGTTGGGGTGGTCTATGCGCTTCTGCACCTCCATCTGTGCTTCCGGCATGGTGGTGTGGAGAGGAAGGAGGGGAAAAAAGGGGGGATGAGGGAAAAGGGGAGGGGCCATTAGCATATCTCAACTGCATTTGGGTGGTCGATGCGCTTCTGCTCCTACATCTGTCTGTCCATCAACGTTGCCTATCAGTCAGCCCATAGACCCCACTGCAACGCACCTCCCGGTCGATTTCATCGAGAGCAGCCTTCACGTCGGGGTTCTTGAGCTGCTTGACAGCCACGGTCTGCCCGTCAATCATGCCCTTATACACCACGCCGTAGCTGCCCTCGCCGCACACGTGGTTGGGCCAGAAGTGCTCGATGGCGGCCTGCAGCTCCTCCAGGGTGAACTCTTTGAACGGCTGCCGCCGCGCACCCTCTGCTGGCTCCACCACCTGCAGCGGCCTCGTGAGCGGGTTCTTGTCCGAGGGGACTTTACGGCCGGAGGAGCCCTCCCTCTCCGCCATCTTCTTCTCAAGCCGGGCCTGTGATGAGGGAGTGGGAAGAGGAAGGAAGAGGAAGAGGGAGAAAGGGCACTCAGTACAAGTGGGATAATTCAACCACCTGCAGCGGCCGCGTGAGCGGGTTCTTGTCCGACGGCACCTTGCGCCCCGACGAGCCCTCCCTCTCCGCCATCTTCTTCTCAAGCCGGGCCTGTGATGAGGGAGTGGGAAGAGGAAGGAAGAGGAAGAGGGAGAAAGGGCACTCAGTACAAGTGGGATAATTCAACCACCTGCAGCGGCCGCGTGAGCGGGTTCTTGTCCGACGGCACCTTGCGCCCCGACGAGCCCTCCCTCTCCGCCATCTTCTTCTCCAGGCGAGCCTGTGGTGGGGAGTGAGTAAAGGGGAGTAGGAAGAGGACGTAAGGGTACCAGGTGTTGAGTGGGAGGGGTTCCACCACCTGCAGCGGCCGCGTGAGCGGGTTCTTGTCCAACGGCACCTTGCGGCCAGATGAGCCCTCGCGCTCTGCCATCTTCTTTTCCAGCCGGGCCTGGTGTGAGGGAATGGGGGGGAGAGGGGAGAGGGGGCAAGAGGAAGGGAGAGGGGGCAAGAGGGAGCAAGGGCACAGGATGTGAGTGGGAGGGTTCCACCACCTGCAGCGGCCTCGTCAGCGGGTTCTTGTCCGAGGGGACTTTGTGCCCAGATGATCCCTCCCTCCGCCATCTTCTTCTCAAGGCGCCCCTGGTGTGAGGGAATGGGTAAAGGGGATAGGGAAGAGGAAAGGAGAGCGAGGAGATGAAATGAGTGGAGAGGAGAGGCGAGGAGAAGAGGGAACGGTGGCAACATTGCTCCGCATTTTCTCATGCAGCCTAAGGGCGAGTACTTGGGCTGGCAATGGCGTGGCGTAGCACATGGTTTCTTCTTCCTTGGCCGGTCCTTGGCCGGCACTCCCTCCCCCTCCCATCTATGTGTGTGTGTGTGTGCGTGTGTCATTTTGTTTCTCTTTCACAATCTAGCATGGGACAACAAGGAGGTACGACTGACCTTGGCGCCAGCAGATGGTTTCTTCTTCCTCGGCCGGTCCTTGGGCGGCACTCCCCCTCCCGGCGCCCCCCCTGCCGCTGCCGCCCCTCCTGCTGCTGCTGCCCCACCTGCTGCAGCGCCCCCAGACCCACCCCCAACGCCTGCCCCTGCAGCAGCCTTGGCCTTAGCAGCATATGCTCGCCTAGCTAGCTCCAGAGCAGACAGCCCCTCCTCGTTCTTCCCCGCACCCTCCCCTCCCCCCTCCGCCGCCCCGCCCTCCGCCTTCCCAGCCCCTTCCCCCTCCGCTCCCCCCTCTGCTGCGGCCTCCTTGCCTCCCGCCTCCCCTTCCCCTTCCCCGTCCGCTGCCCCGCTGCCCCCCTGTGCATCTCCGTCCTCCTGCACGCCGCTGCCCCCCTCCTGGATGTCTGGCAGCTTCTTGTTGAGCGCTGTGCCATGGAACACACGTGCTGGGGGAGGGACGGGCTGGGAGGGCGGAAAGAGGAAACGCAGGAAGTGGGGCAGGGGATGTCAGAAGGTAAGGGGCGCGAGGGAACACGAGAGATAGGAAACAATATCCCCTCCTGTATGTCTGGCAGCTTCTTGTTGAGTGCTGTGCCGTGGAACACACGTGCTGGGGGAGGGACGGGCTGGGATGGGGGGGGGAAGAGGACGGCAGGAAGTGGGGCAGGGGATGTCAGAAGATTGGGGGACGAGGGAACACGAGAGATAGGACGAAGTCCTCCCTCCTGGACGTCTGGATGCTTGTTGTTGAGCGCTGTGCCGTCGAACATGCGTGCTGGGGGAGGCACGGGCTGGGATGGAACAACTAATGTTAACGGGAAAGAGTGGGTGAATGCCAAGAAGCGCTCACCTTAGCAGGCGCCTGCTCCTTGCTCTGCACGGTTTTGAGCTTCTTTCCACTCTGCACCACATAGAGTGACGCTCCGGGCGGCAGCACCTCCTCCCTCGCGCACACGTTGATGGTCTTCCACCTGCCATGCCATAGTGGGGCGGCGGGGGAGGGAGGGGGAGGGGAGGAGAGGGTTTGTGACGCGGGGTTGTTAGGAAGGTGGTGCATGGTTGATGGTTGATAGAGTGTGGTTCGCATGGTGCCATGAGGGCATGCGGGGGGGAGGGGGAAAAGGAGAGGGCGGGAATGTTAGGGGCTTGTTGACAGGATGGCGTGGCGCGGCACAAGGCAACACGCGTCACGCAACGGGAATGAGACGACGCCACTCTGGCTCTGTTCAGAGGTCAACTGCGTCCAGTGGTCAACTGCGTTTAGTGGTCAACTGTGTTTAACGGTGAACTCACTCGCTGATGGGCTTGTTGGGAATGCTGGCCAGGAGGATGGGCGTCACCTCCAGCATCTGCACCGCCCATGTTTGAGTCGACTCTGGTTTTGAGACGTTTCAAAACTCGACTCAAGAATGAACTCACTCGCCGATGGGCTTGTTGGGAATGCTGGCCAGCACGATGTGTGTCGCCTCCAGCTTCTGCGCGGCTTCGAGGATGGCGCCTCCCTTGTCCTCGTTCTTGATCACGTGCACCGTGGACGGCAGCTGAGGGGGTGGATGGGGGGTGAGAGAGGGGGGTAAGGGGGAGTGAGAGAGGAAGGAAAGGGGGAGTTGGGGAAAGAGTGGGGAGAGAGATCAGAAAGAGAGAGAAAGACAGGGGTTGCCCGAGGATGGCCCCGCCCCTGTCCTCGTTCTTGGTCAAGGGTGGGGAAGGAAGAAAACGGGGGAAGCAAGAACGAGGTTGCACGGGGGTGGGAAGCGAAGATAAGAGAAGGGTGGGAGAGTATACGGGCCCCGTCTAGCACCACTTGGCATCCACCGCCACGCACACCCACGCCTCATGTCTACTTCCACCCACCCCGCCCTACCCCCGTCTCCAACGCCTTGTCTGAAGCCACTCGTCCCCAGGTCTCATGTCTAAGGCCTCTCGCGCTGACGTTTCATGTTGAAACCCACTCGTCCCCTCGTCTCGCGTGCGAAGCCACCCACTCCCACGTCGCCATGCCAAAGCCATCCACGCCCACATCTCATGTCATGTCTACTACCTAAGCGACTCCTTCCCACGCCTCTATCTAAAGTTAAGCCACACCTCGCCCGAGCCCCGTATCTAAAGCCACTCGCCCGCACGCCTCGACATGAAGCCACTCACCCTCACGTCTCAATTATTCAGCCAAACCTCTCCCACGCTTCATATCTAAAGCCACTCACCCCGGCGTCGTCGCTGACGTCTTGCAGGCTCTCGAGGTACGGCAGCACGCGGTCGCATATGTCCACCGCCACGCTTGCAGTCTCACCGCATGCTTACAGCCTCACCACTCCCATGCCTCACAGCTCAAGCCACTCATCCGCACGTCTCATATCCAAAGCCACTCACCCCGACATAAGCAAAGCCACTCACCCCGGCGTCGTCGCTGACGTCCTGCAGGCTCTCGAGGTACGGCAGCACGCGGTCGCATATGTGCACCGCCACGCTCGGGCTGTCCGCCTCGCCTAGGCGCACCAGCTTGCCCGCTGGACGAGGGAGAGAAAAAGGGGGGAATTAAGGGAGAGACGGGGCAGGAAGGGGGTAAGCTGGCAGCACGTGGTCGCATTTGTGCGCCGCCACGCTCGGCTAGCCGTCTCGCTCAGGCGCACTAGCTTGCCCGCTGGATAGGGGAAGCAAGGGCGGAGTGGGGAAAGGAAGAACGGGGAAGGAAGGGGGTTCGCTGGCAGCACGCGGTCGCATGCCACGCTCCGCTTGGGGAAGGAGGAGAGTTTTTTGTTTTCTGGTTTGGCGGAGTTACGGCGGGAGGAGGAAGGGGCAGATAGAAAATGAATAGCCAGCGAGAGAAGAGGGAGACACGGAAGTCCTGAGAGGGAGCTAAGCACGGAAACGATTGGAGGTGATGCGACAGGGTGCAAGCGTGTTGTGACCAGTTGCAAGCGTGTTGCGAGAGTGTCCGATTGTTTCATGGCAGGGTGCGAATATATTACAACAGGGTGCGACCGCGTTGCAACAGGGTGCGAGGGTGTTTCGTAGGGTGCGCGCAAGGCGTAAGCGACAAAACGAGAGGGAAACATAACGAAATAAACGAGGGGTATCTGTAGGAGAGAAGTGCAAATTGCGGTGCAATCGCTCTGCGACTTGACCTTCGAGCGTACCTGACGCACCGAAGCTCTTAATTGACGTACATTGCAAACAGAGACCCTTGATAATGACTCACTGACAATACCTCGTCCTTCATTTCGATCGCTATTAAACACCCAGTGGATAACAGCTCGTTGATTATGAGGTCCTCGCTACAGCAGCGCACCTGTATTGCGAAGTTCCGTCACGATATGCGTGAGGAGCAGACACACGCTCGCATCCTTGCGCTTTCCGAACTCCTTAATCGTCCAGTCTAGGGCTTCTCGGCAGTGCTGGTCGTCCCGCATCGCCACCAGCACTTTAATATCCGCAGTGACGTCCATGGCACCTTCAGGCTAATATACCCTATATACTTAATTACTACTTCTGTATGTTAGTGAAGTAAGTGAGTTGCGTTGCTTCGGTGCCTATCTAGAACCGCTACAATGTGTTCGCAAGGGGTGGTTACAATCTGGTTACTTCACTTTTCTCTTATAGGACCGAAATTTAACATCTCCGCGGAAATGCCTTGACCTGCGACTTAAGCGGTTGGTCTGTCAGACGGGAAAACGGCTATGTGCCTAAGGACCCGACCCGAAGCTAGAAAATAAAGACGGAAGACAAAGCGAGCAGGAACAAAAGTCCCAAGGAAGCAACCAAGTCCAAGGGACGAAAAAAACAAGGGGGTCCCAACTTCCCAAGTGGCCCAGCCAGATAACAACAAAGTCCCAGGCGAGGCGAGGGAGAAACAACAAAGCCCGAGGAAAGCAGGCGGCCAAGGACGACCCAATCCCGAGGGAGGAAGAACCAAGTCCAAGGGCCAGGCAAGGGAACGAACTGCCTGCCACTCTGCGAGCCAAACAAAACCCAAGAGACAACCGCCGTCGCTGGCTTGCGCGTGCCGCGGCTTGAGCTGTCGTGGCGGGAAGGAGAGTGCTGTGCTGATGCTGGCAGGTGCTGCTTGAAAGCGAGGGAATCTAGGTGAAGCTTCCATTCGATAGAGTCACGTGAGACTTGGAAAATCCGAAGCTGTGCCGTGCCTCGTCCATCTAACTAACCAGTTTCCCAGAACACTACAGTACATGTTTCTTGTGCTGAACTGGAGCTAAAAAAATGGGTGCAGTTGATCTGATCATCACTCTGGTCCGCAGACTCACCTCACCTGTCAATCTTTCCATTTCATTGCATTTCAGCAATTCCTAAACACTTTCCCTTGCCTTCTCTAGAAAATAATCTGGAATCGCAAAAAAGCACCATAAATATCAGTCTCCAAAAATCCACTCATCTTCTACCGCCTGTGCTTGTCCTCTTCATCTTCTCGCCGCCCGGCTCTTGCTCCACCAGGGCCTGTGGTTGCGGCTGTGGCTGGCCCCCTGCTAGCTTCTTCATGATTCTCTCCCTCTGCTCTGCCTGCTGCTGTGGCGTCGGCGGCTGCCTCTTCTCTGCTCGAGAACCCTGCTGCTGCTGCTGATCCTTGCCTGGCTTACGCGCAGAGCCACTGCTACTCCCACCCGCCCCACCACCCCCAACAGCGCTGCTGGCATTGCTCATGGTCGACCCAGAATACCTGTGCCCTTGCCTATCCCCGCCTCCCCCACCACCACTCACACCCCCACCCCTCGCTCCCCCTCCCTCTCCCAAACTCTGCCTCCGCATCCTCTCACTCAGCCGACTCTCATCAGGAGACGGCGCCCGCACCTCTCTCCCACCCTCATACTCCCCACCCCCACCCGGCCTCCTGCCTCCCGGCCCTGCTCTCTGCCTCATCTCAGGTACATCCTCAGACAGCAATCGCATGCCTCTGTGTGACCGTGCCCCCGGCCCCAGCAGCATCTTACTTGATGGGGTTGGCGGGCCGTTAACTCCGCCCGTGCTCATGCTGCTGCCCCACATTGGCGGCTGCCCGGGAGGAAAATTTCCGGGCAGATTAGGGTTTGAGGCGGGGGGCGGCGGCATGGAGTGGGGAGGAGCAGGACCGGAGGGGGGCCCTTTGCGCTGCACCTGCAGGCCAAGGTCTTCAAAGACAAAGGCTGCGCTCCGGGTGACTGCTGGCTTGCCGGGAGGGAGAGGGCGAACCTGCAGTGGAGGGAGAAGAGGGGAAAAAAACGAGGAGAGGAATTTGGGGGGGTTACGGAAGTTCAGAAGGAAGGGGAGAGGGGGTGCGACTGCGGCCGGACAAGGGCGTTTTGCGCTGCACCTGCAGGCCCAGGTCTTCAAAGACAAAGGCTGCGCTCCGGGTGACCGCTTGCTTGCCGGGGAGGAGAGGGCTTACCTGTGGTAAATAGGGAAGGGAGAAAACAGAGAAAAGGGTTTAGGATGTTATCGAATTGCAAAACGGAGACGAAGAGGCGAAGAGAGGGGAAAGGGGCGTGGGTTGAGCGACAGGGGGGATGGATGGGCAGGGTGGGGGGGTGGCGGCAATACCCCCACATGCTCCTGCTCCTGCTCGTTAGGTGTTTTGAGGAGCCTCAAACGCAAGTATGCACCCGCCTATTCCGATTCCTACTCATGAGGCGTTTGAGGCGCCCCTTGACTGAATATGCACCCACCTGATCCAGTTCCTGCTAGTGAGCATCATATGAGACAACTCAGCAGTTGCTTTGAGGCACTTCGAAAGTGAACATGCACCCACTTGATCCAGTTCTTGCTCATGGGTGTCGGTGTCATTTGTGAGGCGCCTCAAAAGTCAATATGCACCCACCTGATCCAGTTTCTGCTCGTGAGCATCGTCAGCCGCCAGAGACGGCGCCAGCTGACGTTTGAATCAACTTTGACTCACCTGAACTCACATGTCGACTCAAAGCCGGCGCCTGACAAGAGAATATGCACCCACCTGATCCAGCTCTTGCTCGTGGGCGTCGTCAGCCACCGGAGACCGCTCCAGCTGACTTGTGAGTCGACTTTGACTCAATTGTTACTGCATTTTCAGGCGGCCCAGAAGTGACCATGCACCCACCTGATCCAGCTCTTGCTCGTGAGCGTCGTCAGCCACTAGAGACCGCTCCAGCTTCACTCCTCCCGGTCCCTGCTCTCCGCCCCCCATCTCTCCCCCGCCTCCCCAACCCGGCCTCCCCCAATTCCCTCCCCCTACCCCTTGCTGCCCCTGCCATCCGCCCTGCATCCCCCCCTGCATGTTCCCCTGCATTCCGCCCTGCATCCCCGCTTGCATTCCGCCCATGTCCTGCTGCCCGCCCCAGCTCCCCCTGCCCCCGTACAAATCGTCGTCAACCGCCCCCACCGCGCCCCCAGGCCCCATCCCCCCGCCCTGGGGCGCCATTCCCCCCATCTGCGGTCCCCACATCCCTCCGCCGCCCCCATTCCCTCCGCCATAGAGATCATCCGCCATGCCCCCCATCTGCGCCTGCTGGGGGTAACCGCGAGCGGGTTGAAATCCAGGGTAATTAGGCCCAGAACCTGGGGGCATTGCGTTCGCATACCCCTGAGGGGGGGGCATCATGCCAGGAGGACCCCCAAAGCCGACAGGCATAGATGGCCCCTGGTTGGGGTTGTTAACATGCATCGGCATGCCCTGCTGCTGCATCCCCATCCCCCCGCCCATCGGCCCCCCAGGCATCCCCATCTGCCCCTGCTGGTAACCACCCCCAGCGTGCGACCAATTAGCACCGCTCTCCTCTTCCTCCTCCTCCCCCTCCTCGTCCTCCCCCTCCTCTTCCTCCTCCTCACCCTCTTCCTCCTCATCTTCTTCCTCCTCTTCTTCCTCATCCTCTTCCTCCTCCTCCTCTTCTTCCTCATCTTCCTCCTCTTCCTCCTCCTCCTCCTCATAATCCTCCCCATCCTCAAGCTCCTCCTCTTCATCCTCGTATTCCTCCCCTTCCACCTCCCCCCACTCCCCCTCCTGCTCATACTCCCACTCGCCGCCGGCCCCCGCGTTCCCCGCACCCCCCGCCCATTGCTGACCATACCCTCCGCCGCCTGCCATATCCATGCCCATCGCATTCTGATTCGCATCATATCCGTACTGCGCGCCGATTGGCTGCCCGGCCATGCCCATACCTGGGCCGCCCATGCCCACGCCTTGGTTCCCCGCCCCCATACCTCCTTGCATCTGCATCCCCATTGGCGGTCCTCCCACAGCCATTCCCCCTCCCCCCATTATCCCCTGCCCCATCATCCCCATCCCCTGTCCGCCCATGCCCCCCTGCCCGCTCATGCTCGCTCCTTGCGCGCCCATCCCTCCGCCACTCCCGCCCCACTGCTGCTGGCCCCCTTGCTGCGCCATGTCCCGCGGACCCCCCGGTTGTCCCGGCCCGCCCATGTTTCCCCGCATCTCCCCCCGATCCCTTTGCCGTCCTTCCGCCGGCCTCTCCGCTCCCGCCTGCCCGCGTCCAGCGCCAGCGCGAGGGGGCCCCCGGGACCCGCCGTCGCCAGCACCGCTGCCGGCAGGCGGAGGCGGCCGCATCCGCCTCTCCCCCATCCCTGGCGCATCCGCGCCCGCCGGCCGCGGTCTCTGCGCAGGAGGGCCAGGTCTTACGCCCGCAGCTTTGGGTTTGGCACCCGCGACGGGCGGAGTAGCGCGCTTCGCACCAGGGGCTGGGCGCGCTTTCGGCTTAACCTCACCCGACGCCGCTTGATCCTTCCCCGCGCCTGCCTTCCCCGCTTCGCCCTTTTTCTTCTTAGGTACAATCTTAAGCGGCAGATCCTTGGGAAGCGGTTTCTTCGACCCCTGTGATAGAAGACTGCTAGCTGCGCCAGTCAGCACCTTGGATAAGAAAAAACCACGTCCTTTACTCGACGATTTAGATTCCGTAACATTCTCCTCCTCCTCCACCTCCCACACCGCAACCTCAATCTTCTCGTTGAACGTAACCTTTCTTCTGGGTTCCGACGAGTCGCCCCGTTGCCGGCGCCGCGATTTGTTACCTTTTACAATGCACGGTTTTAAGTCGGGGTACGTCCTTAAAGTGGTCGCCAAGGCCTTATCCGCGGATGCGGAGGTTTTAAAGCTTAGACCGCCAAGGAACGAAAGCCCCTTCTTTTTCTCTGAACTTCCCGTAGGGGTTGTCGCGGTTTCAGCCACACTTGGATCGTTGACTGGGTTGACTTTCAGCTGCCGCGATCCGGTCGACGCGCGCTGAACCACCGGCGGGGGCTCACTGACCTCTTCGGTTGGCACGATGGGGCTTCCCACACTACTGGAGCGAGGAAACGCGCCTCGGACGCTGGCTCGCGGCGGGCCATCCGCCTTTTGCGGCGCCAAAGGCGTTTGTTTATTCGGGCCGGTGTCGGACTTTTTACGGGGAGCGAGGGGCCCGGAATGCGTTTGCGGGGGACGGCTTGGTCTAGGAGACGGCTCCGGAGGCGCACTGCCAACAGGACCGCGCTCTTGCCGCTTGCGTTCCGCCATTTCAGGAAACCTAGGCGGAATAAATAAGCATCTGTTGTTAGGACCACAACGTTGCTGAGGCAACGATGTTGGTGACAACTCACTGACAGACAACTGATGGGAAAGGTGCAAATGCAGACAAGCAATGGTACAGTGCCAAGGACCAAGTGAGAGGAGTGAAACAGAACGATGAGGAGGATAGATAGGGTGGACTGGGTGAGCAAGCAGAAGAATGCTTGCTGATGGAGCTCTGCACTGGCGCTGAGGTTCGGCTGAGGTTCGGTTGATGCTGGTTATTTGTGATGGCTTGTCCGGGGTACGGATGACGTGTTTCCAACGCACCTCGGCGGTTCCGGAGGTGGCCAGAGCTGAAATTTTGAGGTTTGGTGGCACCCGAGCCAACGACATCGGGGTTCACGCGTGAAACTGGTGGAATATCGGTCAGCGTACGGTTGTGAAGTGATGCATCGCTAAAGAGAACGATGATATAGGATAAAGTGAAACCAAAGTACACAGCAGCTATAGACAGCAGTACACCAATAAGCTCCTGAGGACGCGGTGAAAGTGCTCGTTCGGGGGAAGATCGATTCGGTCACCGCACTGAACCCTGCATTTTGGACACGAAAGGTACACAACCTTTTATAACCGCGCTAAAAATCGATCCTTTGGCGATCGATTCTCCACTTTCACCGCGTCCTGACATGGAGGTTCACAAAAGCTGATACGGATAGGTCATCCAGGCCATTGGCTGGTGTGGCCTCGATCTTGCCGCGTGGCTTCTGCCTTGTCAAAAGCAGGCTATCGACTGCACCTTACCCGTGCTACCGTCACCGTGCATTCAACAAACCACTTCCCGTATGTGTGATGGGAGAGTCGCGGTTCAAAGCGGCAAAGCGATTTTACCGCTCTAGATTGCAAGGCATCGTATTGAACCGTTGTTTTAAGAAAGCTAAGAGCTGAAAGCAGATTACAGAGTCTGCTCAAGCCCTAAAAAAAAGCCGACTCTGGTTGTGATAAATTTGCTGGTTAGGTTCCTACTGTTCTCCTCGTCAGCAGTCAAAGCCGACGTTTTAGTGTCGAAGCAATGGCTGCCGTCACAATGCAGGCGTCGGCCGCGAGCCGCACACCGTACCTCTCCTTGCCGTCGCGGCCCAGATTCGCATCTGGAGCTCGCCTCGCACGACCGTCGGCAGTCAACGCCAGAGTCGTCGTCAATGCTCGTGCGAGTTGCGACCAGCCTGAGGTGCGACCTTTTCTCAGCTCTCCTGGCATGAGCAACCATACGCTGGCTTGAGTCTTATTCGCGTGTGGGCGTTAAGAAGCAGTTACATCTCCTCGCGATGTAAGGACATGACCTGTGATGTTCATGTAAGCAGATGGAAGCGATCTAGGCCTTCCTAGAATTCCTAGGCTGCTTCAGGACTGCGTTAGGGTGCATTAGCAGGTCAGTCCAAGTCTGTACTAGCAAATGGTCTTAACCCTAACTATTCAGTCTTCGACTCATAGACGTAAATCTCCTCGTTCGTGATCTCTCTCGACCTCTCTTTCTCCTTGTCACGCGATAACAGGCTGCTTCGCCTTTGAGAAGCTCGCTGGTCAGCCAATCTTCGACCCAAGCGAGCATCGATCAAGTACGGCCTCGTCCCATTCCCTCGATTTTCGTATTTTGATTTCTTTTTCTTTTCTGGGACTTGCTACGCTGACTTGGTCCTGCTTTTAACAACCTTCAGTTCTCCGTTGCACGTTCTCCCGGCAGTTAATTCCGCACATAACATTTCTTTCTCATCGCGCTTACGTCGTCATGAAATTGCTGCTCTCATTGCTGTTCCCTCCCGTCGCCCTGCTACACTGATCGCAGTTTTCCCCGCAGCAGCTCGCCATCAACGCGTCGACGATCTCCTCCACAGCCGCTGCCTTCCTCGCACCAGTACGTCCACGCATTGTCGTGTAGCAGGTGCAAATCGATTGTCATAAGAGCTCGGCAACATTCAGGAACTCAGCTACTGACCATGCAGTCGGAACTGTTCACTTCAGTTCTTTCAGGGAAACGAGCTTCAGAGAGATCAAAGTCATGTTCTAGCCGAATCTTTTAACTTTTTTCTCGCGAAAGAGCTTGAGAAAATCAAGCTCACTTACCGCTCAAGGCCACTCGATCGTCGTCGCCAGCATCCCCGGGTTTCCTTTCTTTCGCCGTGTCTCGCCATAACTGCCGGGACTTCCTGCTTCCCAGTTTGGCCGATGTTTGGATTTTTCAAAACGGAACGAAACGCCAGGAGACACGTGAACATTTTCAGTGTAGTATGTCATTATTAGTGCCCTGGCATGAGTTGAAACGTGTGTTCTGACTTGACCCGCTTGCGTGGTCAAATTTCTATCCTCCTGCACCGAGCAGAACCGCACACTCGTCGCATCGCATTGCCTTCTCCCCCCGGCACCCTTAACCCTCTCCGCGCAGCTCGTGGTCCTGGCAGCGCCAGCGGTGGCGGCGGAGGCGGTGGGGCAGACGGACGAGGAGTTCGTGGAGTCGCTCATCTACTGGGGCATCACCGCCGTCATCTACCTCTTCGTTGCACCCGTGAGTGCTGCAGCGCTGGTATGTGGTGGCGCTGCAGCGCTGGTAGGCGTTTCTGCATTGGTTAGTGCTGCTGCCCTGCTCCCTGCCTGGTAGGTGCTGCTGCATTGGTAGGCGCTGTTGCATTGGACGAGCAGTTGGTGGGGTGGAGTCGCTCATTGCACCTGTGAGTGCTGCTGTCATCTACCTCTTCATTGCACCTGTGAGTGCTGCTGCGTGCTGCTGCGACGTTGGCTGGTGTGTGCTGCCGAGCTGGTAAGTAGTGCTGCACTGGTTGCTGCTTCGGTATCGGACAGCAATTTAAGGTGAAGCTTTTTCGTTGGGAGAACATCTTCGCCGCCCGCCTCTTCCCCACGCCTCTTCCCCCCGCCCACCGTCTCCCCCTCCCACCTCCCCACCCGTCTTCTCTGGCCGCCCATGTGCAGCCACTGGTGTACGGGTATCTGCGCCTGCGGTGGTTCAACCGCTCCACCATTGAGACGTTCTTCCAGTACTACCTCATGTTCGCCTTCTTCCCCGCGTGAGTCCCCTGCTCGCCGTTTGAGCCGCCTCAAAAGTCGCCTCTAAATGGTTTAGGCGCCTTGAAAGAATCCTTCCAGTATTACCTCGTGTTGTTCTTCTTCCCCACGTGAGACCCATTCACGCCTTGTTCTGGTAGTTAAGTACGGCTTGCCGTGGCCATGCTATTGCAGTCCAACAATAGCATACTTACTCCCACTGCATGCATACCCATTCTCACTAACATTGCCAATGCACCAGCACAAACCACCCCCCTCCTCTTCCTCCTCCCCCTCCTGGAGCGCTATCCTTGTTCTTCATAAACTTCAGGCGCCTTCCCCGGTACCCTCTGCCAATGTCCCCCTTCCCCACCGTGCCCTGCCAGCATGCTGCTGTGGTCGCCATTCATTAACTTCAGGCGCCTCCCCCGCAAGGAGCTCTGAGCATCCGCTGCCACCCGCTCCCATGCCTTGTTGCTTCAAATGCTCATCTAAAACGGTTTCGCAACTCATTCAGCAGGCCAGCAAGTCATGCAACGAGGCAGACAGGCAGACAAGCAGATTTTCTTTTGTCAGCATGCCACAGTGGTTTGTCTCCGTCAGTTTTATAGCAATATATGGCCAGACTGCTGACTTGTGTGCTGTTACACAGGGTGCTATATGGAGTATGGGCCAAGCACATTGCCCTGAGCCTGGGCACACATTACTCTAGCTCAGAAAGTGAAACGGCTGGATATTACCATTGCTCGGTCATTTCTTTCATATATACCGGTAGGTAACTCTTATGGTGCATTGTTACAGTAATGTTGCACTTAATTCATGTCTCACTGTTGACAACTACTTACAGGAGGATAAAATATCAGCACAATGAGCTAGGCCCAATGACGAGGCTAAAGCAGCTACCTTTTCTGACTTGCTGCTCCACACTGCCCTGTTGACTCTCTAGCCTACGGAGTGGCAAATCAAGGTGGCGCAACCTACAGATTCTAACATGGAGTGCACTGCACGAAGCTACTGTTACGCTCCATGAAGAGCCTTGCACTGCTGCTACAGTTCTCTCTAATTTGGAAGCTGGTACCCTAGGAGCTGGTGCCTGCTACACTATTACTCTGCCTGGGAGCTGCTGCCCCCTAATGCGCCCACTTTGGCCTTGAGCTCCTGTGTACAACACACGACAGGGGATTGAACCAGGCCATGCAGGCCGGGAGAGAGTCAGGATGCAGGGATTGAGTCAGGAGGAAACGAGAGAGTTTGTGGGTTTGTAGAGAGGTCTGCGAAGGTGGGGTAAAAGAAGAGGCACCTGGCGATAGTTGCGGCCGACGGATGGATTAGGAGAGGGTGTGCAGCAAAGGAAAGCAGGGGGGTGGGTGGCTAAGCACCAATGGTTTGACCCTCACTCCACTCACCGATACTTTGCTCTCGAGGCCGCGCAGGTAGCGGATGGTCTGAGCCAACACTGTGGCGGCGTCTGTCTTGGTGGATGCAGGCACCAGCACCACACACTCCCTTCCCCCACCACACCCTCACACTGCTGAAACTCACCGCGACTTGGCTCTCGAGGCCGAGCAGGTAACGGATGGTCTGAGCCAGCAGAGTGGCAGCATATGCCTTGGTGGATGCCTGCAGTAGCAGCACTCCCTCACACTGCCTTTCCTTACAGCTCAAGAATGTTAACCTACAGCCACTTGAACTCTATTAACTCACCGCGACTTGGCTTTCAAGGCCGCGCAGGTAGCGGATGGTCTGAGCCAGCACCGTGGCGGCATCTGTCTTGGTGGAAGCGGGCACCAGCACCACACCCTCAGACTGACTTTTCCTACCAGCACACCCTCACACTGCCCTTCTCTATAGCTCAAGACTGTTGACTTACAGCGACTTGGCTTTCAAGGCCGCGCAGGTAGCGGATGGTCTGAGCCAGCACCGTGGCGGCATCTGTCTTGGTGGAAGCGGGCACCAGCACCACACCCTCAGACTGACTTTTCCTACCAGCACACCCTCACACTGCCCTTCTCTATAGCTCAAGACTGTTGACTTACAGCGACTTGGCTTTCAAGGCCGCGCAGGTAGCGGATGGTCTGAGCCAGCACAGTGGCAGCATCTGTCTTGGTGGACGAGGGTACCAGCCCCTGTAAAGTGCGGATGTGCCGCGATATGCGGTCCCTCCGCTTCTGCAGGGTTTAACACAGAGTGGAGAAGGATTGGGGACAAACGATGCAGTGAGGAGAAGGGTGGGCGGCAGAGAGGAGTGAGCAGAAGGGGGGTAGAAAAGAGAGAGGAGAGGCAGAGAGGTGAGTGAGGAGAAGGGGGAAACCAGACTCCAGAGCGTGGGGACACGAAGAGTAGGGAAAAGGGAGCACTGATGAGAAGGGAGCGAGGAACACACCACAACATCCCTTTTCCCCCTTTCCTCCCACGCTCCCCCCTTCCCCACACATCCTTCTTCCCCCAGCTCCAGTCACCCGGGCGGCCACACATGGCTTGGTGACCGCATCACTCTTCCTCCTCTGTTCCACCCCCACTTCCTCCCACACTCTTCCCTCCCCCCACAGTTCCCCCTTTCCATCCCCTCCCCTCCCCCCACCCACTTCCCCCCCCCTGCACTTACCCAGGCAGCAGCACACAGCTTGGTGACTGCACCACTCTTCCTCCTCGGTCGCACACACCCTCCTCCCTTCCCCCCAGACTTCCCACTTACCTTCCCCTCACCCGCGCCCCACAGGCTCCCCCTGCACTTACCCGCGCAGCAGCACACGGCTTGGTGACTGCACCACTCTTCCTCCTGGGACCCGGCCGCCCCACCCCTCTCAACCCCAGGTCCTCCCCACCCTCCTCCTCCTCCCCCTCCCCTCGCTCTGAATCGCCCGTGCTGTCCTCCCCATCCTCATCCAAACCCGACCCGGACCAGCCCCCTCCTCCTCTCCCTGCGCCAGCCCTCCCTTTTACCACATTACGACTACCGCCACCACTACCACCACCACCACCACCACCTGCAGCTGCTCCTGCTCCGGCTGCGGCTGCTGCTGCTGCTTCTCCAACAGCTGCTGTTGCTGGTACAGGTGCAACACCTGCCACACCTGCTACTCCTGCCACACCTGCTACTCCTGCCACCGCAGACCCACCTGCCGCTGCTCCAGAAGCAGCAGCAGCAACAGCAGTAACACCAGCAGAAGCAGCAGCAGCACTGGCTCCACCAGGAGCAGCAGCAGCAGTGGCGGCAGGAGCAGCAGCCACAGGAGACGTGCCCCATGCGCCGCCTCTTCCAAACGGCGGCACACCCACATGGGCAGCAGCGGTTGTGATGCCATTGGGGGTGGCAGTGCTGGTGGTCAGCGAGTTGCTACTCAGGGACTGTCTCACGGCGCTCCCTGCCTGCTGCTGCTGCTGCTGTGGCAGCAACTGGTTATACTGGTGTTGTTGGTGAGAGCTGGTAGACTGAGATGGGCCTCTAATAACCTGCTGCTGTTGCTGCTGTTGCTGCTGTTGCTGCTGCTGCTGCTGCTGCTGTTGCTGTTGCTGCTGCTGCTGGTGCTGTTGTTGCTGCTGCTGCTGCTGTTGCTGCTGCTGCTGGTGCTGCAGCCGCAACTCAAGTAGCATTTGCTGCTGCTGTAGAAGATCCAATGGTCGCTGCGATTGCTGTTGCTCCTGCTGTCGCTGCTGCTGCTGCTGTTGCTCCTGCTGTCGCTGCTGCTGCTGCTGTTGCTCCTGTTGTCGTTGTTGTTGCTGCTGTTCCTCCTGCTGCCGCTGCTGCTGCTGCTGCTGCTGCTGCTGCTGCTGCTGCTGCTGCTGCAACTGTTGCAGCAGCTGCTGCTGTTGATGTTGTTGTTGCTGCTGCTGTTGCTCCTGCTGCTGCTGTTGCTGCTGCTGCTCCTGCAACTGTTGCAGCAGCTGCTGGTGCTGTTGTCCCTGCTGTTGCTGTTCCTGTTGCTGTTGTTGCTGCTGTTGCAGCTGCTGCTGCTCCAACTGCTGCAGCTGCTGCTTAAGAAACTGCTTCTGCAGCATCAGCAACGCATGCATGGAACTGCTCTGGCTCAACTCGCTCATAGCAGCAGCGCTGCTCAAACCACCAACACCCGCACCAGAAAAAGCACTACCAACACCAACACCACCAGCAACAGCACCCACACCAGAACCAGCAGCAGCAGCAGCACCAAAGGTATCAGCGGCAGCGGCAGAAGCAGAAGCATCAAGCCCAGCTCGAGCAGAAAGCTCTGCTTGACACACCGAGGCAGGGCCAGCAGCAGCAGCAGCAGCAGCGGCGGCTGTAGCAGCAGCGCCAGTAGCAGCAGCAGCAGCATTCCCAAAAGGACTAGGTTGGACCCCTGTGTGATAATCCAAGACAGGGGCCACAGCAGCAGGGGCAGCAGAAGCAGCAGCGGCAGCAGGAGCAGCAGGAGCAGACAAAGCGTGTGGGAGGAGAGGCAGTGTGCGGTGGAGAGGGAGAGGGGAGGGGGAGCGCGTGGGGGGGGTGGGGGCTCTAACCCCTCTTTGCACTGCAGTGCCTACAGTCATAGGTGGGGCAACGGCTGGATTCAGCCCAGCAGCATTCGATCCAACGGCTGGATTGAGCCCAGCAGCACCCAATCCAACGGCTGGATTGAGCCCAGCGGAGCATGTGCCAGCACTACCGGCAGCAGCAGCAGCAGCAGCAGCAGCAGCAGCAACCCCAGTAAGGCCCACGGCAGCAGCATTACCAGTGAGGCTTAAGGGAAGCTTCCCCCCACTGCTCCCTCCCAACACACTCGCCAGCAGGGCTGCCAACGCCCCTCCTTCCGCCATACCCGCCCCCCACAGACTCCCCCCCACAAGCCGCAGCAATGCTGCGCCCACATCTCCTTCCCCCATCCCCATTGCTCCCCCTACCCCTTCCCCCATCCCCATTGCTCCCCCTACCCCTTCCCCCATCCCCGTTGCTCCCCCTACCCCTTCCCCCATCCCCGTTGCTCCCCCTGCCCTTTCCCCCATGCCCATGCCCACACCCAGCACAGAATGCAACGTTTGAGTTGACTCAGAAGCACTCCCCGACATCCCTGTCTGGGGCACAGGGCTCAGACGCACTTGGTTCAGATCAATTCCCCCTTGTACTCCTCCGTGCACTCCCTTACCCACGTGCACCCCTCCCCACACCTCGTTACCCATCCCTACCATGGTCCCAGTCATCCCCGGCCTCCCGCTTTCTCCACCTGCCAACCTGCCTTCGGAACCTAAGGATCGAGACTGAGGGAAACGCATGGTCGCACCCCCAGCAGCAGCAGCAGCAGCAGCAGCAGCAGCACCAGCAACAGGGGAAACAGCCGTAGCAGCAGCAGCAGCAGGCAAGCCGTTTGCCACCTCCATCCCTCCCCACAGGTCCCTATCAGTCCCTCCCAGCCTCCCTAACCCACCTTCTGAGCCTGTGGAACGAGAGTGAGGGAAACGCATGGTTGCACCGTCAGCAGTGGCAGCACCAACTGATCTAGACAGAGGGAAATGCATAGTCGCAGCAGCAGCACCAGCAGCAGCACCAGCAGCAGCACCAGCACCGCCAGTGGAACGAGATCGAGGGAAATGCATAACCGCAACACCACTGGTACCAACAGCACCAGCGGCAACACCACCAGCAGCAGCAGACGCGGCAGCACCACCACCACCAGCGGCACCACCAGCAGAACCATCAGCAGCAGCAGCAGCAGCGGCGGCGGCGGCAGCAGCGGCAGCAGCAGCCCTAGGGCTAGGGAGCGGGCTAGGGGACGGGCTGGGAAACAGCTTGAGACGTTTGGACGGGTGTAAATGGGGGGCATGGGCGTGGGAGGTATGAATGTGGGATGGATGGGCGTGAGAGGCCTGCGTGTCTTGCAGGGGAAGGGCAGCGGAAGGGAGAGGCCTGGTAACAGACGTGAGAGGGAGTGTGTTACATGGGGTGGAGGACGTGGGGGAGAGAGACGCGGAGACAGAGGGGGAGGGGTGGCGAGGGGCGGGGGAGAGGGAGGGGCGGGGGGGAGCTGGTGAGAGGGAGGGGCGGAGAGGCACGGGGGAGAGGGGCGGGCTGGGGTGCAAGGGGGAGTGCATGGGGGAGTGGTCGGGGGGGAGGATGAGCCTGGGGGGGCGCATGCGGAGGGAGAGGGGGAGGGAGGGCAGGAGGGAGGCGGGAGGGGGAGTGGGGCTGCGGTTTTGCTTAGTGGTGAAGGTGAATGGGGGATCGGGTGTCCTGCTGGTCGCAGCAGCCGTGTTGGTGGCAGCAGCAGAAGGAGCAGGAGCAGGAGGAGCAGGAGGAGGAGAGGCGTTGACTGCTGATACTGCTGCTGTGGCCATGCTGGTGTCTGGATCAGACCCAGCAGCTGTAGCAGGAGAAGCTGTAGCAGGGGCAAATGCAGGAGCGGTGGCAGCAACAGCTGTAGCAGCAGTGCCGGCAGCAGCAGCAGCAGCAGCAGCAGCAGCGGAAACAGCAGGAGCAGCAGCAGGGGGTTGGAACGCAACACGCCTGAGGGGGTTCACAACAGCGTCAAGGCATGAGCTGTCAGTACGAACTATCCCCTCCCCCATTTCCCCATGCATGCCCATGCCTATACCCATGCCCATGCCCACGCCCATGCCCATACCCATGCCTGTGCCTGCGCCTGTGCTCACACCCACAGCACCAGCCTTGCCACCATCATACAGCCTCCCTTCCTTGCTCGTATTCCCCATGATTCGCCGCCACGCTGCACCTATAGTCCCACTGCCGCCCACACCAACACCAGTGCGCGCCAATGCAGCACCACTGCCGCCCATCCCCATGCCACTGCCGCCCATTTCACTCCCACTCTGCCCAGCAGCACCCCTACCACCACCAAGCTCTCCCTTTTCCGCCCCACTCCCGCCCTTCCCCCTCCCCCATCCGCCTTCTCCCCCACCCTCTTGCTCCCCCTTCCCCTGCTCCTCCCCATGCTCCCCCGATCCCTTCCCCCCTGCAATAACGCCTTCCCCTGCTTCCCCTGCCTCCCCTTCTTCCCCCCACTCCGCCCCTCCCCCCAGTGCGCCCCTTCCCCCCACCTTTTCCGGCAACCGCTCCGCACAGCTAATAGACATCTGCCGTCCCAAACCACTGGGCCCCCGAACCAGACTGCCAGGTCCAGCAACAGTGGCCCCCGAGCCTGTGGAATCAGTAGGCCCGAAAAAACTGAATTCGTATGAGTCAAAGCGGAAGATAGAGCGGGGAGCAGAGGGCACAAATTGCAGGTCTAGAGACCTCAAATCCCCCTCCCCCTCCCCTTCCCCTCCTCCCCCTCTCTCTCCGCCCTCTCCCGTTTCTCTGCCCTCCTCCCCGCTGCTCCCTCCCTTTCCCCCTTCCCCGCGCACCACACCCCCTTGCACCTGCGCCCCTGCCATGCTTGCACGTCCGCCTTCCCCCTCCCCCACAGCAGAAGCCTCCCCTTTTGCCACGAGCGGTTCGGCAAAAGCTTGCTGCCCCACCTGCCCCTTCTGCTCCGCTTCTCCTGCATCAGCAGCACCAGCAGCAGCGGTGGCAGCTGGGCCAGCGGCAAGAGCAGCAGCAGAATCAGCAGCAGTGTCAGCAACAGCAGCAGAAGGAGAATCGCCGTCTTGCTGCTGCAGCAGCGCTGTCACAGGCTGGTGGCGCTGCAGGGAGGGCTTGCGATGCAGAAGAGAGAGCTCGTGATGCAAGGAGGAATCCCGGTGTAGGGATAACTCCCGGGATAACTCACGGTGCAGAGGGGAATCCCGATGCAGGGATAACTCCCGGAGGAGGGGTGAACCGCGCTGGAGTGATAATTCACGGTGGAGCGGTGAAGAGCGGTGCAGGGATAGCTCCCTGTGCAGGGGCGAATTGCGGTGCAGGGATAATTCACGGTGAAGGGGAGAACTGCGGTGGAGGGAGGGGGTGCGGTGCAGAGGTGGATGGGGGGGCAGTGGGGGGGACGAAGACCAGGAGGAGAGAAGCTGCAATGACTTGATACTGCTGGTACACCTCTCACTCTTCCCCTCTCCTCCCTCCTCCCCTCCTCCTCCTCCTCCTACTATTCCTTCTCCTTCTGCTGCGTTTCCTTTATCCCCCGTTTCCCCTTCCACTACCATTGCTCCTTCTGCCCTCCCCGCGCCCACCCCTTCAGCTCCCCCTTCCGCCCCTTCCCTCCCCACGTGCCCGTCGGTCCCCCCCATCGCTTCCCCCGCCATCCCGCCCCGCGCCTGCGCGGAAATCCGTTCCGCGAATAGCAGAGGCTCTTCCGCCTCCGCCTGGCGCGCCAGGTGCGCCGCCGCGGATGAGCTAGTGGGCGCGGAGGGCCCTCCGGCGGAACCTGGGGAACAGGCGGGAGGGGAGGGGAGGGGAGGGGTGGGCGTGGGGAAAGAGGGGGAGCGCGCGGAGGGCGACGGGAAAGAGGGGAGAAACATTGGCGCAAGGGAAGCTGCGGAGGAAGGACGGGCGGTACGCGCGGGGCACGAGGAGGGAAGGGAAGTGCAGAAGGATGATAGCGGGGGGAAGGGGGGGGCGGGGCACGGGCTGGTTCAGGGACGGGGGCGAGGACATGGGCGGGGACGGGGGAGGAGTCAGTACAAACGGGGGGATCGGCGGGGAGGAAACTTTACCGTTGAGGGATCGGAGGGAGGGCGAGCCGTGGCTGGGCGGCGGCGGGAAGAGAATGTACGACGCGAGCTCGACCGCTTGCGCGTCCATCGATATTGACGGGTACAGGGGCGCGAGCATCGGCGCGCTCGCCGCCGCGTCCCGCGCGCCCGATTCCTCCGCCTCCCAGTGCGGCACCCCCGACGACTGCGACAGCATTTCTACCGCGCGACCGTTCTGCTTATTTGCTTCCTTATTCCTACTCCGCCTCCTTTTCCGCCTTCTCTTCCGCCTTCTCTTCCGCCTCCTCTTCCGCTTCCTCTTCTGCCTCCCCTTCCGCGCGCTCTTCCGCCTCGGCTTGCAAACCCGTTCTCTCGCTCCGCGCCACCCAGGCCCACCTGCGCTTTCACGGCTCCGCTGACTGAAGACAACCTAACGAGTCAATCCTGAGGCGCCACAGGAGTAGACAGCGCCTCGCGTTGACTACAGTCAACCTACAGAAGTTCGCCCTTTAATGCGCATAGAATTTCGCGTGTAAACAAGCGCGAATTGCCTACTACATAGCGTGTCCCGGATCACTGTAGACATACGCGTTGCAAGATGCCTCCTTGCGAGAGACAAGCTGTTGGGGAATGTATTCCACGATGGTGGAGGACAGCTTCTGCCACGCCTCAAACGACGGATAAAATCGCTAACTTTAGCAATGCACGTGACGTAAGCACGCCTCGGCTCCTAACATTGCGGAGCGGGACAGGACGCGACGCACATAGCGGGCGAGACGCTAGAATCATAGGCAAGGCGAGTGGGATAACCCACGTGGGCCCATGATTAGGCTGCCCGTTGAGTGAGTAAAGCGAGCGGCGTGAGGCGGAACACCTGGCTGGCAGGGCTGCATGCGCCTTGGGGGGAAGAGGGAGGCGGCGCTGTTGTTTCTTGAGCGAGAAGCGGAAAGGGGGAAGAAGACGGTCTCGTGCGCGGCGGGCAGCTGCGAAGCAGAAATGCGGCTTTTTCGTAAATGCGGTACTGTACATGCAAGGTTGTCGTTTCCGCGTCCACAAGCATCTTCACGCGGAAAATGGCCATGCACAGTGCACACGAAAAGAAGAGCGAATACACCCAGCCTACCAACTGTTAACATTCTAAAAAACAGAATAAATATAATATATAAACAGCATGTATGTGGTTATAAGCTACAGCAAGCCTGCAGCACATCGTCAAGCAACACCCGTCCTGCCACTACATCCAAAAAGTCTTGATTGGCCTTCTCAGCTTCACCCAAACCCCAACACCTACAAAACCAATCCAGCCATTCACCCCCAAACCACGGATCACCCCTCTGTAACCCATCACCACACCAAACGCGGTCGACTCGCTTCCGAGCCCGAGCCTCAGCCTCGGCCAAGCCTTCAGGTTGGGGCCAAGGCTTCCAGAGGCACGCAAACTGAGCGTGATGCACGGACGAGTACACGGCAACCTTTGCTCGACCTCCCACACGTTGCAATGCTTGCTCTAGTGCGAGGCTGCAGTGAGGGGGAGCATATGCATCTCCCGGACTGCACTGGAGCAGCATCGGGGGAAGGAAGTCAGCGGGTTTTGTACTCCCTTCCACGATGCCTGATATGATTCTTTCACCAGTCTGCCGCCCGAATTCGGAGAAGAAAAGAGACAAGGCTGCATCAGATGAAGGTGCATCTACACTCTCGGCCCCTCCTGTAGCTGTGGCATGCGTTTCCAGACCTGCTGCTGCTACAGCTTCGGCCAGTGCTGAGAACAGGTTCGGAGGGGAGCCTCGGGCAAAGGCCTCCGGGCCTCCGACAGCTTCGGCGAAACAGGTGAGAGGGGCGGTGCCGGTGGTGACTGTATACGTGTGCATGTATTGAAGGTCGAAGATGCCACTCAGTGCTAGGACACAGTAGGGCTGGCGGATATCCGTTGCTGCACTGTGCCCTTCAATCTGATGCTGCTCAGGCTGCTGCTGCTGCTGTTGATGCTGCTGATGCAGCTGATTATGATGATGATGATGGTGGTGTGAAGAAGCAGCCTCCCCCCTGTTCTCCATGACACCACTTCCCCCTCCCTTCTCACCTCCCACCGTCCCTGCCTCTCCTTGCCTCCTTCCCCCCGCACCTCTCGCCGCCCGGCCTGCTGCCCCTGCTGCCCCCAACAGGCCTTGCTTGAAGCGGCGCCACATCACCATCGCCACTGTGTGCGACCCTGTGAGTCAACAGAAGCCGATACGATCAATGGGGTTCCAAGGGGGAGGCAAAGAGGTCAATGGGGGTCGTTTGGTGTCAAAGGGAATCAGAGGGGGTCAACCAGAGTCAAAGGAGATCAATGCAATGAAAGGGGTAGGAATACGTGTCAGAAGGGGTTAATGGGAGTCAATGACTACTGGGAGTAAAGAAGGGGTTAACGGGCGCACCAGAGGAGTTGCCGCAAAGAAAGACACGCATGGGATCCCCACCATAGCTGTGCATGTTGTCTAATACCCATGAGAGTGTGCGGAAGAACAGCATTACAGACTAAGGAAAGCACAAGGGGCGCACCAGAGGAGTGGCCGCACAGGAAGACCCGCGTGGGATCCCCACCATAGCTGTGAATGTTGTCAAACACCCACGAGAGCGCCGCACTTGCCTCCTCCTGCTGCCCCGCTGCCAGGAGCTGAGGGGTTGGAATGACAAAGTATTTTCCATATGTACATGTATACATCCTTCATCGTATATATACATGATCGTCTCAGCAACATGCCTTACGTAAACTCCCTCGCAACTCCCCTTTAGAGTTGCAAAACAAGCACTTACCTCGGGGTAGAGGGTGTATTGAATAACGACGGCAAGTGCCCCTTCAGCAGCGCATCTGGCAGCAAGGGGAGCGTAAAGCCACTTATCACCGCTCACCCAGCATCCCCCATGCACAAACACCACCACCCTGCACCCTTCACTCCTGTTGCTGCTGCTGGTAATGCTGTTTCTGCCGCCAATGCTGTTGTTTTCGCTGACAGTGGCAGTGGTGTTGTCGTGGTGGGGGTGGCAGTCGTGGTGACGATGGTGGTGGTGATTGCGACGATGGTGGAAACTGGGCAGATAAATATCCATTCTGGATGGAGAATGGGGCAGATTCAGAAAGAAAAAATGGTGGTGACGAAGGCAAAACAGGGTGTCGGAGGCAGGGGAGGGGGGGGGGAGAGGGTGGAAGGGTGGGGGCTGGGGGGGAGAGGGGAGGGGAGGGAGGAAGGGGAGGGAAGGGGGGAGAAAGGGGGACCCAGAGTGGAGGGGACCAGGGTGAAATCCAAAGCACACAATAGTATGGGAAAGGCTCGGGGCAGCAAGCGATAACTTTCCCTTACTAGTCAACAGACCACACTTGACTGGGGGCAGGAAGGCTGTTACATCAGCACACGTCCTCCACTGAATCCCAGAAAAAACACCTAGAAAGAAGACCACAACGCGACGCGGCACGTTTCAAGATGAGTCGTCACATCCGACTACTACACCCTCTTTTTAGTCACTCACACGTTGCGCGGTCGATGCCCATATCTGACGTCAGAAACGACGTGAACTCGAGCCAAACGGAGAAGAGAACGAAAGGCGGACAGTTGGGGGTTCAGCGGCCGCCAAAACGCGCCGCGGGATTTCACGAACTGATTCAGCCGCTGCAATCCCGCCGCAATCCGCGCAACCGTCGCTACGACGAGGCTTCGACATCGACGAGGAACCACGCGGCGGGAAATGCGGCGCCATATTCGGGATAAACGGCGGTGGGAAGCGCGGGAGCGGGAAGCGAGGCGCAGGAAGGAGTAGAGGAGGAGCGCGAACGCGCCGCAGGGGAGGGTCGAAACGACGCCAGCGAGCTCGGCCAATAGGACGAGAGATAGACGCGACGCGACGGAAATCTTTTGAATAACCGTCGTTTGCCGAGCTACCTCCATAAACGCCCCGCTGAAGGCCCCTTTTAGTAGCTGTCCTAACACCATTTGATTTGGGTTTGGCCCTAAACGGTATTTGAATGGTGCTTTCTTGTCGTGGAGTTGGTAAGGGGCGAATTGGGAGATTGGGGCTTTACGAATCATGTGTCAGAACGGAAGATACAATCAGCTTCGGGACAACTACTGCACGGCAATGAACTGTACTATATCGCAGAATGTTTCTTTACAACATCCAGAATGAAGATGCTAAAATCTTATCAAGGTTACAAAAACTTTGGAACTCCTTTCATTCTCTGGCTGGACACCTGAATCTACCTTAGATTATACTAACAAACAATCAGATAAACCTACTAGATCAAACAGACTGAATGTACAGACAAGTAACGTGATCAATACATGGAGCGAAGTGAATTCAGAATATTCCTCACAATCTCAGCTCAAGATCCATCATTTTCATGTCAGCAAGTGATGCTGGTGGCTCGTCTGTGACCAGTGCTTCAGGCAGCCCAAGGCTGAGCAGCCTCCCATCTTCCCTCCAAGCTCCACGCGGCCTCTGCCTGCCCGCACCTGCACTCACACCCGCACTAGCATCCATACTAGCAAGTGTACTTGTACCTGTATTGGCTAATGCATTTGCACCTGTATTAGCAAATGCAATCTCACCTGCATTAGCGAATGCACTTGCACCTGTATTGGCACCTGTATTAGCGAATGCAATATTACCTTCGTTACCAAATGCATTTGCACCTGTATTTGCAAATGCATTTGCACCTGGATTAGTGAATACACTACCACCTGCATTAGTGAACACATTTGCAGTCGCGCCTGCACTAGCGGACGATCCCCCACCTACTGCTGATACCCCTTCTTTCACTGCAGGGGAACCGTTTAAAGAATGTTGCTGGAAATGACTCTGTGGAGCATTGAAAGCACAAGGTGGTGTGACGGCGGGGACCGGGGCATGAATGAAATTCTGTTGCAGCAACTGCCCTGCCTGCTGCTGCTGGGAATGCTGCTGAAAGTGCTGCTGGTGGTGCAGATGCTGTTGCTGTTGCTGCTGCTGCTGCTGTGGCTGCTGCTGGTGCTGCTGTTGCTGTTGCTGTTGCTGTTGCTGTTGCTGTTGCTGTTGCTGTTGATGTTGCTGTTGCTGTTGCTGTTGTTGCTGCTGCTGCTGCTGCTGCTGTTGCTGATGCTGCTGTTGCTGTTGATGCTGCAAATGCTGCTGCAGCTGCAAAAGCACTTGCTCCTGCTGCAGCTGCTGGTGCTGCTGCAACAGCAGCTCGTGTTGCTGCTGTGCTGCTGGCCTTGCCACAGGATCCCTGGGAGCTTGTGATAGCTGCTGTACCTGCTGCACCTGCTGTGCCTGCTGCTGCACCTGCTGCTGCATCTGCACCTGCTGCTGTTGCTGCTGCTGCTGCATCTGCTGCTGCTGCTGCTGTGCTGAAAACTTAGGGGATGGGGCACCGGAGGTGGAGGATGATCGGAAGAGGGCACGGAGGCCGTCTGGTAGCTTCTGCACTTGAAAAACATCTGAGCGGCGCGCGGGCACCTGCCTATCTCCCTGTGCTGTCAACAGCTGCTGCTGCTGCTGCTCTTGTGGTGGCTGCAGCTGCTGCTGGGATTGCTGCAAGTGCTGCGGCTGCTCCAACTGGCTCTGCTGCTGCTGCTGCTGCTGCTGCTGCTGCTGCTGCTGCTGCTGCTGCTGCTTCTGCAGCAGTGGCAGTTGTTGCTTCAGCAGAGACGCTAGCGCCCGCAGCTGCCCAAACCCAGCATTTCCCAGGCCTGAAGTCTTTGTCGGGCTGCCCTTCCTGCCGCTTCCGGCAGGTGCGGCCGGCTCTGCAACATTCAAGTCTGCCCGACCCAAGTCACCTGCTGGAACCGCGGACGATGACGCTGCTCGCCTGTGGAATAGATGGTGGGTCGGCGAAGATGCGGTCTGAGACTGACGCAAAACCGTCGCCGTTCCAATGTTACCAGCAGCGCTTGTTGCAACATTAACTTCATCAACATTTCTTACATTACGGCCTACTATGTCACCCGCTGTTGTGTTGCTGGTCTGATTGGTGTTACAAACCCGAGCAGCGTCGGCAGCACCCTGCGTATCCTGAACCAAGGGATTTCCGACCCCCACACCGCCCTCCCCCATGAGAACGTCGTGCTGCCCAGCCACAAACCGACCTACCGAGCCTGATTTGGACGTGGAGCCTGGAACCCCTTGATCTGCGGAAGTACCGAGAGATTGGTTGAGGTCGGCTGACCGCCCTGTCCCTCCCGAGCCGCGAGATCCGGACCTCCACCACGCGCCTAGAGAGTTGCGTGTTCCACCTGAAGTTCCCGAAGCAATATTTCTCTTGGGCAAAACACCTGTGGGAAGAAAAAGAAGCACACAATACACAAAACGGAAACAAAGAAATTAAGAATAACAACCGGTATTTCGTCAACGGAGTAAACGAGAGTGGCTATTCGTAGCCAGCTTGCAAACCCTAAACGAGCCCGTGGGACGAAAACACCCGTGCAAACATGCCACAAAGACTCTGCACCCGCCTTGCTCACCTTCTGAGGGCACGATCGCGGCAATAACGGCCGCAGCTAGCGCTTCCGACGGTACATCCGCAGGGACATCCAGTGGCGCTCGTCTATCCGCCAACGCCGAACCCGCTTCACCCTGACGTCTTCGCGCGACCGCATCCGGGGAGCTACCTCCTCCCAAGCCAGATCCACCCGAGCCCCCAGAAGCCACGCCGCCCGCCGTGCTACCCGCCGCTGCAGCCGCTTTCGTTCCGCCAGCCCCGCTCCGATCCGCGCCACCGGCGTTCTTTCGACCCGAATGGGGGGGCGGGTGGCGCGGGGGAACGGAGATATTCCTGCCGGCCGCGCCTGAACCCGGCTGCGTCGCCGCCGCCGCCGTCGTCGTCTGCCGCGCGCCCGCCGCTCCTCCGCCGAGCTCTCCGCGCGGAGCTTCCGCGCCCGGCGCCGTGAGCGCTTGAAAGAGAGTCACGAGCTGCTGCTGATCCGAATGGCTGCCTCGCGCAACGTGCTGCGCATCCTTCGCTGAGGCGGAAGGGGGGGAACGCTCGGGGGTGGTAGAAGCGGCTGCGGCGGCGGTCCCCTTCGCTTGCCGCCTGTTGCTAGCGGTCGCAGCGGTCGCAGCAGTCGCAGCAGTCGCGGCGGCGGAAGACGAGCTTAGATCTTGAGAGGCGCCACCCGCGGAGGACGCGGGACCAGCGAAGCATTCAGTTTCTTTCGTCTCGGAGCTCTCGCCGCTCATCGCGGACTCCTGAATCGGTTCCGACGGAATCCGCGTGCGCTTCCGCCCGTTCGGTGTTCCGCAAGACCAGTCCGCGGGTGGTGACGCCTCGTCTTCCCCCGTGCCTTGACTTGTTTGACTCATCGGACTCGCTTGGCCGCTGGTCTTCCGCGCGGTGACTCTCCGCGGCTCCAGCGGCCCACTCACGACTCGCCGTCCCGTGCGTCGTCGCGGCGCCTCGAGCGGACCGCTAAGAACACGCCGTCCGTTGCCGCGTTTCGTGCGCCCACTGTTCGATACCGAAGACTCTATTACCGGGGATCCCGAATCCAGACGTTCTGAGATTCCGCTAGGAGGCGTAAGCGCTCCGGCGCCATGGATAAGAGGAGAGTTGGAATTAGAAAGGTGGGTCTCTTTTTGGTGATCCTCCTGATAGTGCTCGTTAAGTGCGTTTAACGAGGGGAACTTCCCCGAGCACTCGCGACAACCGTAAGGGTTGTTCGTGGATGCGTGGAGGTTCGCGTTATTGGCGACACTCGGGCTGAGGAGAAGCAGTAAGTCGGTAGCAGAGAGATTTACAGTCTTGGCGGGAACTGCGGGAACAGAGGCTCTTTCCACGTTCTCGAACTGCTTTATCGCGGCGGCATCTACAGAGCAAAGAAGCGACGCTGACGTGTCTTTCGAAAGGGTTCTACGCGCCGCGTACACGCTTGACAGGGCTCCCGGCGAATCATCGTCAGCGTGGTTACCGAAAAGCGCGTTCGTAACGGACTTCCCGGCAGAGTAGGACGTTCTGTGCGGCGGTCGGAGTGGGGCCGCCACAGGATGGTGATCCGTACTCGTCATCGAGAGATAAGCTGAGACTTCTTGACACAGAAAAATGATTCTAAGATAAAGGAAGTTTGGCTCTGCGAAGGATATAAGAATAGGGTTCCGGTTACAGGCGAACACGCAGCTTTGCTTGGTTTCGGCGAGCCAGGCAGAGCCGAGCCTCTGTCTACTAAACCTAGAGTAAGTTCGGGTCCGAATGTTGTGAGCTGGGTTCTCGAGGCGCTGCGACTGGGATTAGGTGGTGTGGTGGTGGTGAGCTGTGACATCCGAAGGGAACGTTGGTTGGGAGAAATGGGACGAAGGATGAACATGAGGTGGAGGTGGGAAACGGAAAATGCTGTTGGGTTGGGGGTGGGAGGAGGGAGGGCGGTGGAAGTAACGAAACGAACCACCTGTTGTGCGAAACGCTTTTCTGCACAGCAGCGCTCTTGCTGCCCAGAATACACTGTAGTCATCGATTCATTCAGAGCATGAGGGGTGACTGACTGGCACTGGAGATGGGGCCAACATCACAGGCATGCAAAATAGTATGGTAACCCTATTCGATTGTATGCAAAACCGTCGATACCTCGGTTTCGGAGTTATTGACATATTGCCCTAAAATTGCGGTTCTATGTACTTAAAAAATAGAATTTTACCACGCTTTGTTGTCCTATAAAACTCGATTTATTCGGGCGACTGTTCTGCCATATGAGCAGCACTGTTCGCTACACCTGCAGAAAAAATAAAACCCAATCGGAAAGGGATGCGACTCGGGAGGCATCAACCCTGAAAACAATGCCCTTTCCCGTGTTTAGGGTTGATCCCTCCCTGAAATGAGTCCCGGTCCCTAGGGGTTTTATTTTTTTCTTGCCTGCCCTAACAGCACCCGGTAGCAATATATATTACTTTCATTCCAACGAATTTTCCGGTCGAAATTATCGTGCACATTCAACGGAAAATTGTTGCCCGCAGGAATCGTTGTCAGGCGCCAAACAAGACGCGGTAAGAATAGAATGAAAAGAAATCGAAAGCGTATTCGATTGTTGCACGTATTGCTTTCTTTTTGTGCTGCGTCAGCAGTTACACAGTGTTTTGAGTGGCGGTACCAGACAGATTTGCGCAGTGGAACTGGTGTATCGACGGTTTTGCATACAATCGAATAGGGTTACCAGACTGTTTTGCATGCCTGTGATGTTGGCCCACTGGAGACGTGTGCGTGCGTCGTGGGGCAGGGTCAGGGACTCAGGGCAGGTTGGGGAATGGGATTCAACCAGAGACCCAGTTTGGTTTGGAAAAGTCAGGAGTGAGGAGGAGGCCAGAACAAGAAAGCTGATGTGGATGGAGGATGCTCAAGTCTTCAGGGCTGACGTGGTTGGTGGGAGGGTGCGGTGGAGAGAACTAGCGACAAATCGTACGACGGAGAGGACGACAGGCATGCTGATGCCCCAAGAGCAGTCGTACAGTACTTTGATGTGGATCAGCAAGAAGAATTGCTTGGCATCACCTGCATCAAATCCTGATTGCTGCCTGAATTGGTGTCGTTTGGTTGTTTGGCGAAATTCTTGGTGCAAACATGTTCATGGTTTCATGGTTTATATACAGTATTGTAGCGGCGCGTCCTGAGTTTTCTATCTATACATGGCGTCAAAATTTCAGAACCTTCGTCTTTCTTGTCGAGCGATCCCCTCCCCAAGGACGTGCATCGTTCAGATTGGGAGGACCACCCCACCCCACCTCACACAGCCTCCTACATCGTCCCATTCGCGAAAACGCCAAGCTGAAACTGCCAGAATCCAATGCTTCCAAGTTCCGACTGTCGTTCTGTTCCGCACGATTCCCTCTTCGTTGGGTGTGGTGCACATGCATAGTGGCCTGGCCTCCTTCGAGGGAGAGGGGACCGGAGAGGAACTACCAAAAAAATACTATAACATTAGCCTGTCTATAATATATCAGAGCCAGGTTTCTTCTTACCCACCTGCTCTTCAGCTCCTTTCTACGCAACACGAACAGAATTGAAATATATAAACAATCAATACTGACGTTTTCTGATATGAGACGACTCAGACCCCGCAATTCACTCCAGTATTTTTCTGCCTCCCTTTTCTACATTCATGTTAGGTCTGTTAGTTCGCGAAAGAAAGAGATGGAACGAGTGTACACTGGGTGTTTGTGACTGCCTCACGCCCACGCGGCCACATCACTAACTTTCGTCCCCTTGGTCTTTTGTTTGACATGTGTTGGACGGAGAGTGGTCAGTGGTCACCAAGTCGGTGTGCAGAAGCCCACCACCCTCCACGACGGGTCGTGTACAGTGACATTGACAGCCACGTCACAATTTGAGGGTTCCGAAATGCGACATCGGAATACACAACTCGGTCTGAGACTTGGCCCAGGTCTCATCAAGGTGGCCGAAAAACGAAGGTACACACGATGCCCGTTTGACTAACCCAAGGTTGCCTTGCTAAGAGGGCTCTTAAGTGATTCTTGCATTTCGCTAAGCTTTCGTCAATTCGCACTTAGCAAAAAGGGCTTTTAAAAGATTTTGTAACTCGCTGTTGACCGTTTGACATGGGTCTCTTCTGTCAAACTTCGGTTTTTGTGGTTCGTATTGCTCGATGTGCTTATAAATGGGGTGCAACTGCCTGGTACCCTAATACACGGGTGCAGAGTTTCCATCTCGGGCAGAGCAAATTCGCGTGCAGGGGTTGGGCATCTTGTGTACTGTAGAGGTGTGCATTTGATCCGTACACCTGGGATGTACATTCGAGGAAACCGACGTGGAGGTTTGGGTGCTCGTTGACCAATCTGGAGATGTGAGTTGACAGCCGTTGGAATTTGACGCGGCACTTGTGAAACTGTTGGGCTTCTCTATTGCTGTTCTGATGAACCTTTCAAGCTTGCGTCTACCGATGGATATTATCGAACATCACTACGCGAGTAGTGACTGTAAAGGGGCCTCAATGCTAGTCCTAGTGAATTCATGTACAGTGTGAGCTGCTTCATCTCTCCCAAACAATCACTTAGGGCATGTTATCTTTTTCGGCGTAGTGAAATTGGGCCAATTTGCCAATGTTGTCTGGTCATAGTGCCCAGACAATTCACCAACGTAAATTCATACAAGGTACATTCGAACATCTGATAACACATACCATGGGTTGCTTATAGCCAGTATGCAAAGTAGTGACCCAGATATGGTACTTCTACCATGCCATCATACCTGGGTAAGGCAACAAACGGTGATGAACACTACCTTATGTTACATAATGACTGCACAGATTGTACACTGTCAAAACTAGCAAAAACGGAGAGTTAGAACCAAGCCTACAATCTGGATGAAGATAGTACAGAATGTACACTCGCCCAGACTAGCTGTGGGTTAGTTAACCATCAGATTGCTCCTGAGATCCAAGAGAACTTGACAGGGAAAAACTCTCTTCGCTAAGAGACTGCAGCCATGCCTCTTCTTCCCCAAGCAGCCGATTTCTCAGTCCCTCCATGTTGAAGGTACTCTCCAGATGCTCAATTATTCTGGTTCCCGACACTTCCTGTCCCAGCGTTCTGCTGACGTGATCTGTCAACGCGAAGAGAATAAAATGGCGGTGAACTCCTAAAAGGAGATGTGCAGGATAAACTTCAAGGCCATCCAATAAAGCGAACTCGAACATGAGTTGCTGTTTACAAGAATCCGCGTCAGAGTCTTGGTTCTGCAATTGGACCTCCATCAGTCACGAGCTCTGCCATCAAGAAACGCACGAACGAGAATGTTTTCTGATCTAACGACCGTACAATATTCAACGGCCATGTGAACACCGCCTAAACTCCTGGCTGTCTTTACGAGGAATTAATTCAATATGCATCTGAAATGTGGAAACATAAGCCGGTGGGTATAAAGAGGGCATCAACAGGTCGGAAACATATGGGGAACGGGCAAACGAGCCGGAAAACTTCGTAGAGATTGGAAAATGCAAGTGTCTACTTTCAGTTCCACCAAAAACGACGCGGTTTTTGCAAAAAACGGCACGTGTAGTGGCTTAACCATGTGCGCGTACGTGATGCTTGCTGTGTGTTGAAACGACCGGGGAGTGGAAGATAAATCCTGCCAGTTGACACAGGCGCTGGCCTGCGCCTCGACTTGATTTCATACGGGGTGCAAGCGCACAGAGTCCAAACCTTCGTCTGCAAACCTCCGATTTAAAACCAGCTATCAGGAACTCGAGCTAATGCCTGCTGCAGGGACAGATACTTATCAGCTGGCGGAAGTTCTCAATCTAGGGAGGCTACCAAAATATGCTGGAAAATTGGGAGAGGTGGTTGTTATTCTCGTCAGGCTTGCAATCACTCAGTCAGCTGCGGTGTTGCTATTTCTCGTCTCTTTTTCTGTCTGCGTTTGAGCTTTTGACGGCAAAAGAGAAGGGCGCCAGAGGGAAGGCTTCGTTCGATTTGTGCTGGTCGCGTTTGAGCACGGATTGGCTGGAGATTGGCGAAACGGATTTGTGACATTGTCGCATGCAGGAAAATCTTTGCGCCATCGTAAACGAAACGTTGTTCCACGACAGGGCAGCGGACGCGAGCAATGATCTCCGCTACCATGCAAAGAGAGCCGCTGTACACTTGCGGGGTGAGGGGGAATGGGGATTGGGAAGGTGACTTGCGCCGTGGGCAGCTGGAAATGCTGGACCAATTGCGTAGAGAAGCGACTCGCTCGCTTATGCACTTTAGGGTGGTGTCTGAGGCACCCTGGGCCGCCAGATGATCAGATTAACGGACAGAATTCTTTCTTACGACTCATCCGACTCTGCGACACTTGCGAGACTGAGAGCACGATCACGATCAAACAACTCAATTGAAATTGCTGAGTCCCACTACAGCGTTTCGGTGGCAAGCCGAGCTCCACCCCTTCAGCCATCTACACAAGTCGTCAGCTACGCTAACATTTACAAAGAACGGGTAGAATAATTATTTAGGGTGTGAGTGGGAGCAGATTAATTAGTAGGACAACACACCCGAGCAAAGGCGACATAATTATGACAAAGCACCCCAGACAAGCCATTTAACAAAATTGTGAACAAATAGGACCTGCATCCGAACCTCTAAGCAACTCCAAAACGATTTATCTGTGCCTCAATCATACTCCCTAAGCAATTTCAGAATGCTTGGCATAAGCCCGCCCCAGTTGAGCAGTCTCCAAAGCATGTGCAATAGAATTCACATTATATGCACGCGCACTCGCGGTTTCCCGCAGGGGGCGCGTGGCACAAGCTCCCTTCTGGACCACAGCACTGATGGGGGAATACACACCCATGGATGAAATCCTCCCCGAACCATGAGCCGATTCAACTGAAACTTGACCCAACGATTCACAGAATCGAGGCACCGCCATTGCACTGCTGCTTCGCCGGTGATGCGCCCTTGCTTGCGAGCCTTTACCGGGAGAAGCAGCAAGAGAGGAAGCAGCAGCTACTGGGGTAGACGCAGCACCATCAGCAACCCTCCCAGCCCCTCCAAGGGAAGGCACTCCCGGAGTGCCAGGTCGCAGCAGCTTTCCACGGGCAGGAAAAAGTTCACAGGCACTGCCCGGCAGAGCATTCCCAAGAAGATCCTGACCAACCCTAGGGGCAGCTCGGGGAGACTCGGACAGCCTGGTGATGTCACCTCCAAGCGGCTTGCCAATGGAAACAGGGCGAGGAGGGGCGAGAGGGCCTAGGGACCCGAGAGGCCCGAGACGGCCAGGAGGACTGGCAGGACCAGAAGGGCCAGAGGGACCAGGAGGACCAGGAGGACCAGGAGCAGGGGAGCCGGCTGCAAGTGAGGGGTAGCAGACACCGGCGATCCGCCGCGCCTCATTCAAGCACATTAGCCTCGACCGCTCGCTGCTGCTGCCGCCGCTGCTGCTATACCCATCCACTGCCATGATTACACCCGTGTCTTTGGTGGGGTAACCAGTGGCGTAACCAGACGTGTAGTCAGAATCGCTAATTTCAAAGCTGCTGCCGCCGAGCAGAGCACTGAGGTCGCCCGCGCTGAGGCGCCGGCCGTTCACACGCAGCGAGTTGGCAGGTCGAGCAGTCGCCCTGTCTGCGGCAGCAGCAGCAGCAGCAGGTGCACCACCTGTGTACGCAGCAGCACCTGGGACGACAGCAGCGGCAGGGCGGCGGGACGATTGAGCAATGGCAGGGTTGTGCGAGGCAGCGGCCCACAGAGACGCAACGCCACCAGAGCGGCTCACACCAACCCTGCTCGAGTCACCACCCGCACACCCTCCTCTTCTCGCACCCGCAGCTGCTGCTAGCCGCGCAGCCATGGCCCCGCTTTTGGGCGTGCTGGCACCATTAGAGGCCAGTGCTGCTGGTGAGTGCCGCGAAAACGCTGCTGCAGCAACAGGTGCTGAGGGGGACGTTAAGGGGCTGGCTGATGGGGAAACCAGTGAGGCGGGAGAGAGGGGCGTGGGGGAGGAGGCGGAGTACCCAAGAGGGAGGTCGTCGGGGGCTACAGGCGTGAGAGCAGTGGAGAAAACAGAGGCGGAGGAGGAGGAGTTGGAGTTGGAACCAGAAGGGGTTTTTGCGTTACCGCTCCCTGCGCGTTCCTCTGCCGCTGCTGCTCTTGCGCTATATGGTGCCGGCATAAGAGGGTCCGTAACGGTGGGAAGCGGTGCGGGGAGGTGCACGACTCGGGTGCTCATGAACTCGTCCACGTCATCCTCCTGGTCAACCAAGTCAAGGAATTCCTTCAGCTCCGTGTCGATGCATGTGATGCTGTGCCGCCGCCCATGGCTGCGCGAACCAGTCACTGCCGAACCTGCTGCCGAGGCTGATGCTGACGCCGATGCCGAGGCTGATGCCGAAGCTGGCGCGGCTAAAGCCGCCGGCCTCCACGGTTTGAACAGCAGCTCGGCAGCTGCTGCGTTACCGGGAGCAGCAGCAGCAGCAGTGCCAGCAGTAGCGGTAGCGGCAGCGGCGGCAGCGACAGCACTGCGACGGGCAGAGGCGGCAGCCTCAGGCGTATCAAACTCAAAACTCACTCTGGCCCCTCCCCTTTCCCCCTCCCCTCCTTCCCCGCCCGCTCCGCCCTCCCTGCGCTCCCTCCCCGTCCTCCCCTCCGCCTCGACGCGCGGAGGGCATTCCTCCCCCTCCTCCCCTTCGTCCGAGTCAATGAGGTCAAGGAATTCCTTCAATTCCGCGTCGATGCACGTCTGGCTGCGGCGCCGCGAGGGCCGGCGCGCGGCGCCGAGGCTGGCCGCGGCGACAGCGCGGGGGTTGGCGAGCAGTGGACCGGAACGGGTACGAGGCGAAGGGTTACTAGTGCGCGAAGTCGCGCGGTTACTGACGGTCGGCGACGCGACTGCTGCAGCTGCTGGAATCGCAGAGGAAGGAACGGTCGCAGTCACAGAAACAGTCGCAGAAACAGTCGCAGAAACCGTCGCAGAAACCGTCGCATTTGCAGCCTCAATCGCACCGGGGCGGCCCCTGGTGTCTCTCCTTACAAGATTCCTCCTGCGCACCCCACCCCCACGTTCCGCTTCTCCCTCCGCTTCCCCCGGCTCCGCTTCCCCCTTCTCCCCTTCCTCGGAATCTTCCTCCGCAGCTTCCTCGTCGTCCAAGTCAACCAAGTCAAGGAATTCCTTCAGCTCCGTGTCGATACACGTGATGCTGTGCCGCCGCCTGTGCCCCGGCCGCGCGTCCTCATCCCCGCTACGCGCAACCCCGTTACTAGCCGCGCCGTATTTGGGAAAAGCAAAATCTGCAGCAGCAGCAGCAGCGGCAGCCGCAGCGGCGGTTTCTTTTTCTCCAAGCCTGCCCGAGCCCGTCGCGATATCGCCGGAACCGCCTTCCCCACATCCCACTTGTCTCCGCGCGAACCGCCTGCTTCCGTCCCCCTCACCCCCCTGTAACGGAAGCTGCGACTCCGCGAGGTCGCCCCAGCTGCTGCTCCGCCTCCGCCTTCCGCCGTGCCCTTCCGACTTCCCGCCTCCGCCGAACCCTTCCGCAACGTTGCCGCGTCCGCCGTGGCGCGCGCTTCCCCCGCCCGAATTTGGTTCCCCTCTCCCCCCTTTTGCGCCCACTCCGAGCCGATTCAGCGCCGTGGAAAGCGCCGCGTTTGCCGCTTGACGGTGCTCCACGGCCGTCCAATAAAGTCCCACGAACTCGTCGTCCGAATCACCGCCGTCACTCTCGCCGTCACTCGCGCCGTCAGTCACGGCGCCATTCGCGGCTTCCTGACGCTTTCCGCCGGTTGTCTCCTCGAAAGACGCACAAGCATCCCCGATTCGGGGGCTGTATCGGGCGGAAGTGTCGCCGATGCTTCTATCGCTGCCGGAAACATCGCGCGCGTGGCGCGCCGAACCGCTTCGAGCGTCGCTGCTGGCGGATGGGGGCAATAACTCATTCCGCGCGCGGTCTTCCCGTCTCGCTGAACCACCGGCCGCCGCGGGAGCGTCCGCTTCCGCGGAAATCCGGCTTCCGCCATCCGCATACGCCGCGGGTTGTTTCGACTGCTTGGCCCATATTCCAACGAGAGGAAACGACGAAATAGCGGCAGCGGCGGGAGCGGAGGCCGACGCATTTGACGCCACGGAATGCGGCGAACGTTGCGCCTCCGACCGCACGGGGCAAGAGCTGAACCTCCGCGGGGCGTTGTGCGAGGAAGGTTCCGGGAGTCCGCCCACAGCGGCGGAGCCCGCGGAAAGCGCGGCGGGCGACGGCGGTGAAATTGGCGGCTTCCGGCCGCGGGGACTCGGCGCGGCACGTTGCTGCGCGATATTCTGCTGCGGAAGCATATTCCGCCGAGACGCGACGGGGGAAAGTTGCGCGGCCTGATACGGCGGCTGCTTGTGGTGCGAGGGCGACCGCATCGGGTCGATGTGCTGACTTGGAGCAATACTAGAAGTTGAGGGGGAGGGTATAGTATTCAGTGCCTCTGGTCTGCGATTCCTGACGTTTACGTCTAGTCTCTCCATTTCCGCTAACGTTCTCCGTCTACTAATCGTTATTCGCGGACTGTCCCCGTCTATTCCGCCGATTGTCCCGCCAGTCCGCGCATTTTGGGTCATGGTCCCGCCGGAATCCGCCCCTGCGCCGCTTGCGCTACCGCGCTTGGCGACATTGCTTCCGGAAGTCCCTCTCTTGAGCGTGTTCAGAAACCCTTTCACGGAATATCCGCCGCGAGAGGCGGCGGATTCGGCGGAGGGCGACCTAGCGGCTGTGCGGCAGTCTCGGTTCAACGAGCCTTGCTGGTCCTGATTCTGGTGCTGACGCCATTGATGCGGCTCGCCGGACATGACGGCGAGCTGTGACTGACACTGCATCATAATGAACTCGGCGACGTGTGAAACGAAATTGAACTGTAACGTTCACTGCTACTAGCTAGATCAAAAATCTGCAACTGACAAGCGCGTCTGATTCGCTCAATGACTAAAGCGGAGAGCTACTAGCGCTAGAGATTCTAATCTGACAAAAGAGTTCCGCGTGTCAAGGTTATCGTCTGATCCTTTTTTCTTGAAATGGCGTTCTTGGGAGGGATTGAGAGCTAAGTGAAATGTGAGTGAGCGTCCATCATTCGCACTTGCTGCTGCTCCTCTCCTGTGGGGCTCTCGTCACTGTAGTCTAGTCTAGTTGTCTGGTCCGGTGGTGCTCCTCTTTCAGTTCCCCGCCCCGCCAAACGCCTGGTTGTGACGAACCGCGGGGGCTACTCAACCAGGGGGATGATCTGATCAGTGGAAAAAAAGCACTGTTCCCACTAATGGAAATTGGGGTAGAAATTGCCTGATTTGTTTTTGTGATGTACAGAACAGTGCCAGTCTCGAAATCCAGACCCTGCCTTGTTAGTCCCACGGAACAGCTGGGCCAGAGTGTAGTGTACCGTTCCAGGAAAATCGGTCACATGACTCGCTCACGTCAAGAAGCGTGCTTCACGTTTTACAGGGTATACATGGTCGAACCCCGTAAAACTGGGTGGCTTGAAGCTGATTGCAGGAATCGTGTCCTTGCGGTGCTCATTCCGCTGATCGGATCCGGTGATATGGGGCGCGTTCAAATTGTCAAGTGGGGACAACTACTGGCGCTGATTGTCAAATCGAATGTGGGTTTGGGTTGAGGGGGTGTGTCTCCTGAAAATAAAAAGAGCGGGCGCTTGTCTCCAGAACACCAAGCTGTGGTGATGCTTGGTGTTCGTGTGGTGAGTAACCTTAGTGAATTTATTGGGTTCCATTCATTCAATCCAGTGAAAAACCTCACAGAAAAATGCGATGACCTTCTGGAATACAACCAAGCAAATTCATTTCAAAACCTTCGCTCATAGGGGGTGGTGATGCGGCACCATCATAGCCACATAAACATGCACATCGTTTTTTCCGTGTCCATGAATTGTGCACGTATTTTCCCACACGTTATTCATGGACTCCTCGATTTGGGGCTTGCGGGGTGTACCTGTAGGGCGGGCTGGAGGGTGGAATTTGCGGCGTCGAAACAGAATGGCCTGTCGCTTTGAGTGATGTGATGTGATAGCAACACCACTCACAGCTGGAAATCGTGGAATCCAGGCTCTTTGTGAAGCGCGCACACCTTATGTACACATGATGCTCACCTCCTGCACGCGAAATTGCCTTGTCCCGGATGGAAACCTTGCACCCGTGGGTTTTGTGCCGTGAGGTTGCACCCACGGTACAAGCACGTCGACCAATAGGAACCACAGAAACTGAAGTCTGACTGAAGAGACTGCAGTCAGAAAGTCAACGGTGAGTTTCAAAAGTTTTTTATAAGCCCTTTTTGCCCGAAGCGAATTGACGAAACCTCCACGAAATGCAAGAATCGCTTATACGCCCAGAGGGTAAGGCAAGGCCGGGGGGCTCAACCGGGCATCATGTGTAGCACCAAAAGAAGTGTAAATAACAAAAATGTCAAAGATATTTTTGGCATGTAAGGGTCGTTGACATGCTGAAGGGTTGCAATCATTATCTCGCATGGACTTTGACATCAGCATCTTCTTGCAACAGAATCTTTTTCTTTCCCACCCGCTGGTTGCTTCAGCGGTTTGCAAATCCTGCAACGGAAGTTCGTGGACATGGTGTGGGCTCAAGATGGTGTAGGATCAGTAGGTGTGAGGGTAGGCGTTCCATCCACGCGGGCAACAAGTCACTGGACAGCATATGTGGACACGGTTGCGCCAACCATGCGATGGTCAAACGGTTCCAGCTAGCGCGATTGGCACGACAAACCGCATGTGCCATCCAGACCAGACCAGAAATTCCAGAACGCTCATCATCCCAACGCGGAAATACGCACTAAAGGATAGCACGGGTACAGAAAGATAAATAGCAGCACTAGTAGCTACTCATAAGAAACAAGTAAATAAGCATCAACGCTGAAAATAATATATTACTACCCTTTTTTAAAAGTTAAACTGCTTCACTATTTGAAAAAAGAACTCATTATCCCATATAATTTTTAACTGCATCCCTCCATATAACGTCTATATGGTTCACCATTTCCACATTTGTAGAATACAGCTACACCACAATTTCCGTCTCAGAATACGAATACTGGTATTCCCGCCGCCAGGCAACTTCTATCCATCCACACACACCCTCAAGCACCAGTTCTTCTGAGCAACTTAGGGTTCCAGATTACGCTTCAATCAGGTCCGCCGGAGCGCTCTGCCTCAGGACGAGGCAGAGAACCCGTACCCACTGCCAGATTTGCATTCGTCGCTTCTGATCCTTCCGTGTTCTTATCGCTTTCTCGCGTTGAGCGTGACCCGTGTCGCATCGCATCAGATCCCTCGCATTCCCCTCGACAGACCAATTATCGCCCGCCATGGTTGTTCTAGTCGCCGCGCGAGCCACTCAGCAGGGCCTCTTCCAGGCAATCAGCTTCACCTCGTTTCTATCACATTCGTGCTTAAAACGAGGGCGACCATGCGCATTCCTCTCCCGCCTCCATTCCGCTTCCCCAGCGCTCCCCTCCCCGTCGATCCTCCGCGTATCCCCGCTCACGCTCCCCGCCAATGGCCTCCGGTCCCCCTTAAATCCCGCGCCATCGCCGCAAATCGCGGATGCCGATTCGAAGAACCACCACGGAGTCGCGTCCAAGTCCGCTCTCCTAACCTCCGCGCCGCTCTTACTCCTCCCGAACCAACAACAACAGGCACCTCGTGGGGTCGCGGCTCGGGCAGCCTCGAAATCCTCTCGAATCGTCAAGGATGCGTCTAAGAAAAAAGGCGGGAAAATTGGTCTCGGAGGATCCGACCAGGAAGCGAAGCAGCAGCGCAGGGGGGGAAGCGGACACGGCAGCTCTGCCTTCGGAGCTAACGAGTTCACGGGAAACGGGGGTTTGCTCGAAGCGGAACCGTCCGATTTGGGCGATCTGGGTTTATCCAAGGACGTGGACGCGGCGTGGCTTATTAGCGGGTCGCGAGACAATATCGAGGATGACGTGCCGGATTCTCCGTTTCTAGACGCGGTCGTTAAGGTGTACTGTACGCACACGCAGCCGAATTTCTCGCTGCCCTGGCAGAAGCGGCGGCAGTTTTCGTCGACGGGCAGCGGGTTCATGATTCCGGGCAGGCGAATTCTGACGAACGCGCATTGCGTGGAACACCATACGCAGGTGAAACTTCGAGACGCCTCTATTTTTGCATTTCCGTTTTCTTTTGCTTTGTGACTTCTCAATTTTTTACGAACGTGCATTGTATCGCGTACGGCACCACTCGCAGGTGAAGCTGAAGCGACGCGGCGACGACACCAAGTTCGTCGCACGCGTGCTGGCGATCGGCGTGGAGTGCGACATTGCGTTACTCGCTGTGGACGACGATTCCTTCTGGCAGGGCCGCCAACCTCTCAGGTGCGGTGGTGTGAGGTGCTGAGAGGTGCTGAGAGGTGTTGAAGGGTTCTGTGAGGTGTTGTGACGTGCTGGTGATTGGCGTGGTGAGTGAGACATCGCACTCCTTGCTGTGGACGACGAATCCTTTTGGCAGGGCCGCCAACCCCTCAGGTACTGCCGCTCAGCTTAGGTGCTGTGAGGCGGTGTGAGGTGCTGTGCGGTGCCTCCAGTCGCTCCGGTCCTTTCGCACAGGTACAGCGTGCTGCGTGCTTCACCTCAGCCAGCATCTGAGTCACCTCTGGGGTCGTCTCTCGCATAGAAATCGCAGCATACGCTTGTATGTGCGTGCTCTTCCCTTCACTCCTCCCTTTCTGTGCAGGTTCGGTGGTCTTTCTCACTTGGAGGATGCAGTGACAGTGGTGGGGTATCCCGTGGGGGGAAACAGCATTTCAGTCCTCCTCTCCATCCTCCCGCTCTCCGATCCCTCCCTTCACTCCTCTCTGCAGGTTCAGTGGTCTCCCTCACTTGGAAGACGCGGTGACAGTGGTGGGGTATCCCGAGGGAGGCGACAGCATATCAAATCAGTCACCTCGGGAGTCGTCTTGCGCATCGAAGTCACCGCATGCACTCACGACGCTTGTGTGTATGTGCGTGCTCTTCCCTTCACTCCTCCCTTTCTGTGCAGGTTCGGCGGCCTCCCTCACTTGGAGGATGCAGTGACAGTGGTGGGGTACCCAGTGGGAGGAGACAGCATATCAGTCACATCTGGCGTCGTCTCGCGCATTGAAGTCACCGCATACGCTCACGGCGCCTCAGAGCTACTAGGGGTGCAAATCGACGCCGCAATCAACCCTGGGAACAGCGGCGGCCCGGCTTTTAACGACCGCGGGGAGTGTGTGGGGATAGCGTTTCAGTCGCTGAAAGATAGTGATACCGAGAATATCGGGTATATCATCCCCACGCCGGTCATCTCGCATTTTCTCGGGGATTATCGGCGGAACGGGCAGTACACGGGTTTCCCCGCAATCGGAATCCTCTGGCAGAGGCTGGAGAACCCTGCGCTTCGGGCAGCTCTGAAAATGTCGCCCGGGCAGAAGGGTGTGCTCGTGCGAAAAGTCGACCCAACGTCTCGTGCTCATGGCGTGTTACAGCAAGGGGATGTGATCATGTCATTTGACAATGTACCAATCGCAAGCGACGGCACCGTCCCTTTCCGAACCGGCGAGCGCATCTCCTACGGGTTCCTGGTCAGCCAAAAATTCTCCGGCGAGGTTGCCCGGCTGGAAATTCTCCGCGACGGGCAGCTGACGAAAGTTCAGGTGCAGCTGAAGCCGCCAAAACGGCTCATTCCGGTGCACACGGGGGGGAAACCGCCGACATATCTGATCGTAGCAGGGCTGGTTTTCACGCCGGCGGTGCAGCCGTTTCTGCAGTCTGAGTATGGGAGCGAGTTTGAGTTTGAGTCGCCGGTTTCGCTGCTTCAGAAGCTGCTGCATGGGCATGCGGAGCATCAGGATGAGGAAGTGGTGGTGCTCAGCCAGGTGAGAAACGGTTGAGCCAGGTGAGGAACGGTTGAAGCAGGTGAGGAACGGTAGAGGCAGGTTGAGTGTTGTTATTGGGCTTGCCCTGGTTCCGGTAAGAGGCATCTATTGAGTCGCCGATTTGCAGAAGCTGCTGCATGGGCTTGCAAAGCATGAGGACGAGGAGGTGGTGGTGCTCAGCCAGGTGAGAAGTGGTTGGGACAGGTGTGAAAGAGTTTAGCCAGGTGAGAAACGGTCGAGGCAGGTGAGAGAAGGCTCGATGAGCTGAGGCTGGTGAAAAAATGCCAAGTCATATGAGAGGCAGGTTCGGGTATCGCTGTTGGTCAGGCCCCTAACCCCGAACCCGTGAGACCTAAATCAGGTGGCTGCTTACAGACTAACCACGAGACTAACCAACACGTGCCTGCTCGATCTCAACCACACGTATGCTCTGCCTCCCTGCCCCTCCGCCCGTTCTCTCTCCTTGCCCTCCCCCTTCAAAGCAGGTTCTATCGCATGAAGCCAACAGAGGCTACGCTTACATCACCAACACGTGCCTCGTCACGCTCAACCGCACCTGTGCTCTGTCTCCCTGCTCCTTCACCTCACCCTTGACTCTCTTCCCCTCCCCACCACCCACAAACCAGGTGCTAGCGCACGAGGCCAACATGGGCTACGAGGGCATCACCAACACGTGCCTGGTTTCCCTCAACAGCACGCAGGTGCCCTGCCTCCCTGCTCCTTCACCCCTGACTCCCTTACCCTCCCCACCACCCACAAACCAGGTGCTAGCGCACGAGGCGAATATCGGGTATGAGGATATCACCAACACTTGTCTTGTGTCTCTCAACGGCGTGCGGGTGCGCAACGTGCGGCAGCTGGCAGCGCTGGTGGACGCGTGCACGGCAGATTGGGAGAGCCAGCCGTTCATGCAGTTTGAGCTGGAGCACCGGCAGCTGGTGGTGCTGGAGACTAAGAGCGTGAGGGCTGCTACGGCTGATGCCATGGCGGATCATAGCATTCCCTCGGACCGATCGGAGGATTTACGGACGGTGGCAGCAGCGGAAGCAGCAGCACAAGAAGCAGCTGCAGCAGCACCAGCAGAAACATTAGCCGCAACGGCACCAGCAGCAGTGAAGCTGGATGTTGGTGGTGAATCCGCATCATCGTCATCTAGTGGGGAGGAGGAGACACCAGGGAAAGCCGTTCGCATGAGGAGCGACGCTGGTGTGAAGGTTGCTGCAGCAGTGCAGGTTGCAGCGAAGGGCAAGAAGCAGAAGCAGAGGAAGGGGAGAAAGTGAAATGGCAGAAGCAGGAGCAGAGGCAGAAGCAGGTGACAAGGAAGAAGTTGAGAAAGAGCGGTCAAGGGGAGTGAATTAGGCCCGGAAGTGAAGTGGGGAGAGTAAGTCTGGCTTGGGTTACAAATAATAATGTAGATGGGGAAATAAGTACCGTAGGTTACTACCATATTGTAGTAACTGTTGGCAGTTGTTTTTTGCTTGGATAATGTTCTCACATGGATCTATTGCATTGGCACGGCAAGCCTGTTGCTTCCATATCTATGTAAACCCCTTAGAGGAGGGCTACTTGCTTGCCATGCTATGAAGAACAGTCTGCTATGTGGTTGCACATAAGTATCTAGAGTGGCAAACTGTACGCGTTAGCAGAACGGGCCACGTTGCCATGAATGATTTATGTAGCAACAATGCGATTGACTCGAAGGACCTTGACGTGCGAAACTGGTTACCTTGCTGTACGTGGGAAGCTGGCATCTCGCAGGCCCACTTGTGACCATCATTCGTGCCCTGACGATCAAGATTCTCGTGTAAGATATGGTCGCCGGCGACAGCCTCTTGCCAGGTTTGGCTCGTTGTATGTGTGCGAGCATCGCCGGTTTTCATCGCAAAGCAGTCGATCTCATTGCGTTATGCATCGCAGCGCAATCCCGGGACCATCAGGTAACCAAGCTGGCAACTTACGCGTGTAATCTGCGCAAGCCTGGCTTCTGCCAGTTCGCCTTTTTTCGCCGCGAATGCTTTCCCTTCTGTGTCGAGAGACATGACGTGACAGTCGTTTGTACTGTATCTGCAGTGCCGAATTTCGGATGCGAGCAATGCACAGTTGCTGTAAAGTCGCTCAGAAGAGCGGTGAGAAGCAAGCATACCACCCACTCTGAAAAGTAGCACGCGCCATCCAGCAAGCATACCACCCACTCTGAATCCTACAGCTGTTCTGGGAGGCTGGGAGAGAACCCCTGCTCCTTCGTCCCAGAAATTTGTTCCAATGGATCAGAGTTGAGTCTCGAGTCCATAATGCGATGTAGCGACAGAGCAGCTCGTTGTAAATCCTTCAGCATTTTCGAGCTGATCTGCGAAAACACCGCAATGCAGACCTATAAGAGGCATGAAGGCACGGAGCAGCACCAGCATCAGCCGGAAACGCGAAAGCCCAGCCTTCAGCGTCACCCGCGTCCGCGAGCCTTACAAGTGCAGCGGCGGTGCGCGCTCGACGCGCTAACACCGCCGCGCGATAGCTCCCCCGGCATGATTCCGCACGCCCCTCTTGCTCCGCAGACGCGCAAACCGCACCTCTCCTTGAACGTCCCTTCCCCCTCGTCACTTCCGCGAACCCCCTCCCCCTGCCCGCCGCAAGCCCCCGCAACCTGTACCGCCGCGCCGCCATCGCCCGCTCAGTCGCTCTACTCCCCCGGCCCCGCCTCCGCTCCCGCGGGTCCTCCGCATCTTCCGCCTTCCGCCTCGCTTCTGCGCCGCGCATCCGCACCGACTCTTCCGGAGCCGCAGCCGGGTATCGCGGTGGTATCGAGAATTTGCGCCGCCCGAGCTTCCGACAGCTGCAGAAAGCAAGCTGACGGGACGATGCGGCAGGAGCAGCAGCAGATGGAGCAGCAAAGGGAACAGCAAAAGGAGCAGCGGAAGGAGCAGCGTCGTGGGAGCGCCGACCACACTCATCCTGCGCGTGACGCGCAGCCGCAACAGCCGCTTACCTTCGGGACCGACGAGCAATGGGAACGGATCTTGGCAACGCGTCGAGAGACACGGCGCAGGGCTTCTAGTAGAATTAGTATGGATAGTACCAAAGAGCGCGGCGGCAATATCGGAGGCAGCACGACTGCTGCCGTAACTTCTGCCGCGATTGCTGGGAAGGGACTGCAGGCGACGCGAGGGGGGCTACAGCGCTCGGCCGGAAGCTGCGACGTCTGGCGACTCGTCTCATCGATGGACGCGCGCGAATGCGACTCCCCGCCAACGGAAACTCGCTTCGCGCGCGCGGACCGGCGTGACGGCGCGCAGAAGGGGTGCGCTGGCGCCGCCGGCTCCGCCGCGGGGAAGCGGACGACGCGCCTGACGAGGAGCGGCGGGAGCTGCGACATGGCGCGGCTGGTGCAGATGCTAGAGGATGAGATGGACCGCGAGGAGCGCGACGCGCGGAAGGGGTGTGCTGCCGCCACTGGCGTCGCCGCGGGGAAGCGTATGGAGCGCCGCTGGGGGGGCCCTGGTAGGGCAACACTGGCGGGGAGCGGCGGGAGCTGCGACATGGCGCGGCTAGTGCAGATGCTAGAGGATGAGATGGACCGCGAGGAGCGCGACGCGCGGAACAATAATATTACTGCCGCCACCAATGGTAGCCGTACTACTACTAGCAGTACCACCCTTGAAACGCGGGTAAACGGAGGGTCGGATTCCGCTGGTGGAAGCTGCGCGCCGCAGTCAAAAGGCGCTGCGAGGCCCGCCGGACCTTCTCGCAGCGCAAGCCCACTACCGACTCTGCGCGGAAACAAAGATTCAAATTCTGCCGGTGGAAGCTGCGCGCCACACTCAAGCGTAGCGCGGTCTCGCTGCGCAAGCCCGCTACCGACTCTGCGCAGAAACGAAGGTTCAGATTCTGATGGCGGGAGCTCCGCGCCGCAGTCAGGCGTAGCGCGGGCCTCCAGGCCTTCTCGCTGCGTGAGCCCACTCCCGACTTGCAATTCGCGCGATTCGCGCAGTCCGACGGAGACGTGCACGCGGCGTGGGCTGCGCGGCTCTCCGCAGGCCTCTCCGCTCCGCTTTGTGGTTCCGCGCAAGGCGACCGCGACTGAACGTGACCGCAAGGTGACCGCGACTGCTACTGCTACTGGTAGCAGCCGGGCAATTCATTCTTCTAGGAGTCATGACTGGGATGCGGACTCGCCGAACCGCGGCAGAATCAGCGGCGCTGGCGGCGGCGGCGCAGGCGGCGGCGGGACCTTGCTTCGTCGCAGTGGCGCCAGCCAAGATGTCGCACCGTTGATCCGCGATCACTTCGCAGGGGACAGGATGCCGTCGCACGCTTCGCACGGAAGTCTCAAACCTCTGAATCCCGTCGCTCAGTCCTCGTCGCCGTCGTCTAGGGAAGTCCGTGTCGTTCGAAACGTGACGCCCTTGCGATCTGTTCGAGCTTTGCCCGTCAACAGCGGAGAAGCAACCGGTCTTTCGAGCAGACTGAGCCACAGCGGCGGAAGCTGCGACGTGGCGGAGCTTTTGCGCCACATACGGACCGAACAGGAGGAAGGGGCAGAAGCGGAGGAGGGTGCGCGCAAACCAGCCGCCCGATCTGTTCACTTCCCCAGCAGCATCAGCGAATCGTCGCGGGCAGTACAGCTGGTTGCGCACGAAGGGGGAAAAGGCGACTTGGAAAATGGGGGCCAGAGAAGTGGCGGGCGCACTCATTGGCGGTCAAAATCTGGAGATAATTCCGCTAGTTCTCCCTTCACCTGCGAGGAACAAGAGGTATTCTCGGATCATGCGCGCTCCAGGGGGTTGGGGATGGCGGACAAACCAATTCCGACGTCGACTGAATTGGTTCTTCCCTGGACACGTGGCGGAAGCAGAGTGGCGGCTGGTGGGAGTTCGCAACTCAAGCGCAGCAGCGGGAGCTGTGACATGTCGCTGTCTTCGTCTACTATTGTTCGCAGAGGAAGCGGGGAGAAACCGACCAATCAGGACATATCTTCGCTTGTGCAAGCTTCGTCTACTGCTGCTGGTGGCTCTTCATCTACAGTGCACAACTCAACCGTCCCACCGCTTCATCAATATAGCTCTGTTATCCGAAAGCATGCTTCTCAACACAAGCGCTCTGTCTCCATGTCAGCAGCAGCTTCTGGCTTCTCTCCAGATGAAATGTCCTGCAAGGCTCCACTCTGTGACAACGTAAATCACACTCTGGCAACCGTTGACCGCAACAATTTATCCAAGTCTCATCGCAGAATGGTATCATGGCCATCCCCCACTCCAAGTGAGAGTTCATCACACATCAGCGTCACGCTTTCTCATTCGTCGCCCTATCCTGATTTACACCTCCATCCCTCCCACATGTCCACCACTAGCAATGCTCCAACGCCTGGATCCTCCCACATCACACCTCCCCCGGTTATTCCTTCCCTAGCTGTTGCTGATGCTGCTGCTGCCGCTGGTGCCGCTGGTGCTGCTGGTGCTCCTGGCGAACTTGCAGAAGACTCACACTCGGGTGAGCAAGGAGAAGATTCAGACGATGAGTTCGCGAGGCTCTATTGGAAAGCAGCGAAACACAGGACAGCTGCTGCGGCAGCAGTTTCTACAGCCATGCAGCAGCTGGGGCTGGAAGGGAGTGACGTTGAGGCTCCTCGTGCGAAGGCACAGAAGCATCAGCGCGAGATGATAAAATCAACTCGAGCATCTTTTCTGAGTAGACTAAAAAACACAGCCATGCAGCAGCTGGGACTGGAGGGGAGTGGGAATGTGGTTCCTGTCCTGAAAGCACAGAAGCACCCACGCCAGCACCACCAACAGCACCAGCAACAACAACAGCCACAGCAGCAGCAGCAGCAGCAGAACAGGGGCAATGTCAGCATTTTACGCTCACACAGCCACTGCGAGAGTATTGACAGAAGCAGCAGCAACCGCAGCAGTAGCAGCAGCAGCAGCAGCAGCAAATCCAACACCTGTGCACCCGTATCAGCCAGAGATGCGAGCAGCAGCCTCAACGCGAGCAGGCACATCATCACCCGCCACGCACAAGCTGACATATATGAGACAAACCCTCGTCGCCGCAGCTTCACTCTCGGGGATGGCAGCAGTGCAAGTAAATTTGCCATCGGCAACACCAGTACTTCGGCTCCTGTCAGCAGCTACACTGCAAGCTCTGATGCAGGTCAAGATCAGAGCAGGAGGAGGAGCAGCTTGAGTTCTGAGCTCATTCCGGAGAGTGGTAGCACTGTGACTGGTGCTGAGTCTCAGGGGAAGAACTGCAATGTGCAGAGCCGCAGGAGGCACAGCGGGAGCAGTGCCAGTCAGGCAGAGCTTTGGAAAGGAGTGAGCGACCACTCTCGCAGCAATAGTAGCAGCAGCAGCGGCGGCAGCAGCATTAGTAAGCAGTACTCGACTTTGCTACCTCCTTCCTTGTCCAACCCTTGGGCTTCACAGGAAAGGGACATGGCTAGGGGAGGTGACCTGGTTGGGGATCAGAGTACAGGTCGAGAAAGTTCGGGCAGGCTTGCGTCTTTGAAGGAGTATCAGTAACAGAAACTGCTGCAGCAGCTGAAACAGAAACACCAGCAGCACGAGCATGCAGCGGATGCTGCTGCAGAGACGGAGGCAGAAACAGCAGCAGGAAAACAGCAACATAGTGCATTGCTTCGGAACTCCACGGGCCCTGATGACTAACCCCGGTCAATTTTCCTAGCCTGACATGTTCTTACAATGAGGCTGCCTCATAGCCATTCATATGCACTTTTCCTGCTGTTGTTTGGCTGCTTTTCCTAGGCAAACTTTTGAAGTACCGTACATCATCATTTTTGTTAGATGATAGGTGCACCGCCTGTCACACTGGGATGTATGGTGCGGTATATGATGGGAAAGAGTATATTCCAAGTGTGGCTAGCTATCCTGTTTTACCCTCACTGAAGCCATTTTCCAGTGTAGTACGCACTCACTATGCAAGACTTGAAATTTTTGAAATGTTGGGAATCAAGGATCAGATATAGGCAGCATCCTTTGTACTTATCAATCAAACAAGCCTACAGCAGCATCCTCCTGCCCTGCCCCACACAACTAAACTGACTGTAGATAACATATGTGATTCTCAAAGCAGCCTCACAAACTGCATCAGCAATATTGTCGTTGGTGTTCTTCAATCAACCCGGTCCACTCCTTGCATCAATATAGCAGCAACCAAGTCATATCCTTGTAGGTATAACGAGCACCACTGTAGTGTCTCCTTTTCATCCACCTCCCGCTAAATATATTTCAATAACATGTTTACGACCAGCCCCGTCCACTGTCGTCCTTGGGGTCTAGAGGCATCTGGGTGAGGTCCTGCTGGCTGTCGACCTTGAAGGTGGCGCCACACAGCTCCCCCTGGCTGTCAATGTGCTGAATGGCCTTCAGCTGCTTCTCGGGGTGGGTGAAACTGCGCAGCCCACCGTCCGACGAGTAGAAGCAGCCTGGATGGGTGTGGGGGGGGTGGGGTTGGGTGACAAGGGGTGACAGGGCATAAAGCGGCGGTAAGATGGCTGTCCACGTGCTGAAAGGCCTTGAGCTGCTCCTCTGTGAAGTTGCGCAGCCCACCGTCAGAGGATAAGAAGCAGGCTGTATGGTGAGGTGGGGTGGGTTTGGGTGGCAAGGGGGGACAAGGGGTGACAAGGGGTGACAAGGGGTGACAAGGGGTGACATGGGGTGACAAGGGGTGACAAGGGGTGAGAAGGGGTGACAGGGCACGAAGAGGGGGTAAGTTGGCTATCTACGTGCTGAATGGCCTAGAGCTACTTCTCAGGGTGGGACGGGAAGTGGGATTGGGGTGTGTAATGGGGTGAGGGATGGGATTTGAAGGGATGTTTAATGGGATGTGTGATGGGATGTGTGATGGGATGTGTGATGGATTGTGTGATGGGATGTGTGATGGGATGTGTGATGGATTGTGTGATGGGATGTGTGATGGGTTGTGTGATGGGTTGTGTGATGATGGGGTGTGAAAAGGGGTGTGTGATGGGATGTGCGGTGGCATGTGTGATGGGATGTGCGGTGGCATGTGTGATGGGAAGAAAGTGCAGAAAAGGGCAGAAGATACCGAGAGGAAAAAAAAAAAAAAAAAAAAAAAAAAAAAAAAGCCTGGCGCATACCGAGAGGGAAGGGGGCAAAGGAGGAGCCGGTGCCGGCCTTGAGAACAGCAGGGTCGTCCGAAAAGGCTAGCACTCCGTCGTCCAGGCACTTGCCCCAGTACAAGGGCACCTTGCCTTGCGCGTCCTGGTGGTGACAGTGGGCAGCACGGGCACGGTGGATGTGGGGGTGGTGTAGGGATGGAAGGTGAGCGAAATACAAGCGCTGGAGCAGAACCGAGTGAAGAAAAGGGATTTCTTAATACAAGGGGTTGTTTCGATTTAATACAAAGCAGCCAGAGCGTTCTTGGAGAGGTAATCCTTGGGGGCAACGCGTAAATGCAAGCAAGCAAGCATCCTCCGACAAAGAGCGCCATTTCCGTCTGCTGACAAGTTCCTTCCCCTTCATTTCCTCTTCATCCCCCCTGGCTCATCAACCTCTGGCTCATCGTCTGTCACCTTCTCTTTTGTTCTTCAGATTCTCTCTGACTGGCCAAACGCGTCATGACTAAACGACGTCTCCAGAGCCTTTCAAAGCAACCCAAACCCTGACCATCCATAACCCTAACCCAACATTGCCGTATCGCTAGCATTGCCATCTACACCAGCTCAATCCTCCCCATTCTCCATAACTTTCACTCGATCAACTCACATGCGCCACGAACACCATCTTGGCCTTGTTATCGTACAGCACGAACGCGAAGGATGATCACACGCAATCTCTAATCTCGGAATCCCCGCCTTGCCGCTATTCGACAACTCACATGCGCCACGAAAACCTTCTTCGCCTTGTTGTCGTACAGCACGAACGCGAACGCGCCCGCGAGGTCCGCGATGACCTGGTCTGGCGGGTACGGGCGGCGATCGCGCAGCGTCTTGTACGCCTCGATGATCAGATTCACCTCGCTCACGTGCCGGTCCAGCCCGTACCGCTGCCGCAGCTGCGCGAGGTTCTCGATGTTGCCGGCGAACGCGCAGAAGACATCGTCGCACGCCGCGAATTGCCTGGTGGCGGAGGGAGCGGAGGGAGCGGAGGGAGCGGAGGGAGCGGAGGGAACGGAGGGAGCGGAGGGAGCGGAGGGAGCAGAGGGATGGAAGGGGGAAGCGTTAGCCATGCGCACGTGCCGGTCCAGACCGTACCGTTGGCGACGCTGCCCGAGGTTCTGAAATTGATCCGCGAAGGGGAAGAAGACGCTTTTGCATGGCACAGGTTGCCTGGTAGGGGGACGGGGATGCATGAGGGAAGGGTTGATCCCGGCGGCTAGGAAGCGGGATAAAGAGCGCCGCTGCCTGAACGGCGCGAGGCCCTTGATGTTGCCGTCGGGGGCGTCGTCCCACGCTGCCTGGTGATGGAAAAGGCGAAAAAGGTTAGGGTAGATTGGCGTCGGGGAGGGAATACATGTTCAGCTGTTACGCAGTACATTAGGGATTCATTCTAAATAGCAGAAAAATAAAACAAGGTCGAAGGCACAAGGATAGAGCTCGCAAATCGTGGCTAACAGTACGTGGATGGCTCACGTAAAAAAAAAGCAGACTACATTCACAACGACCAGAAGCACGGGCGCAATGAGAATGACGAAACATCTGAAGGCTGCGACGCACCTGGGCATGAGAAAGTCTTGCATGTCGTGCGTGTACGCGATAGCGTGTTGCTCGTCAAACTGCATAAGCACGGCGCCCGGGTGCGCCTTCTTGAAGCCGTGGAGGATCTCCTTCGCGTCCAGCCGGCCCGACATGGACGCCGACCGGTTCAGCTTCGGCGCCATCAGCTCCTGAGGCGCCTCGCCTATCGACTTCTGGAAAATGGCCAACATTGCTGCAGGCGCTTTGGGTCGATTTACTGGTGGAATGAACAGGGGAAGAGGAGACATGGCGTCAGTGAGGAGGGAGCGGTGGAATGCTGCAGGTGTCATCAGCTCCTCCGGCGCATGGCTTATGGACTTGTGGAAGATGGCCAGCATGGATGCAGGAGAGCCTGAGAGCATCAGCCAATAAGAGGAAGAGAGATGAAGAGGGAAGGGGAGTCAGGGAACAACCGAGTCAATCGTAGATCAGGAAAACCGCCAATGTAAAGACATAAGTGGCGAGGATGCAAGACGAATGTGATGGACGAGAGAAGGAAGCAGTGCAAAAGAAAGAGAACATTTGTTAACAGCCGTCGACCTGCGTTGGAGCTTACAAACAGGTAAAGGCTGGGTAGACTGACGACCCCGCTCAAATACGGAGTCCTTCACACGTTCGATAGCCGCGACTGCGAGATGTTTAAATATTAGTACAAATTACTTTCCCCTAATGCGAGTACGAACGTTGGATAAATGCAGGACAAATGCTGCAATCTAACGATGAAATCACGGCCGAAACTACTGATTGAATGCGATACAGGTACGGTAAGAGAATCAGAACATGAAGACTACGGATGAGGTTGAAATTGTAATCAAATAATGAATTTGACAATGCAAATGACAGCGACAAGGAAAATGATGAGGAAGAGGAGGACAAGGAGGATGGTGTGGAGTGGAACGACAATCCCAAGAAATGCTGCCGAACACCCAACGTAATCGGCCAACGAGGGAATTCTACTGTCAGACATGGAACATGCGGTTTCGATTGGTTATTTCGCCAGATCTAACGGCAATGAACAAGGTTCGGGCATCCCTTGTGGCAAACACTTGTCAACAATGTCACATCATAACGGGTCATGGTGACCCCTGGCACACGTCAGCGTCGAGCTGTTAGGCATTCTCAGGATATGAGAGTGCGCATGGGTCAGTCAAAATTTCCCGATTGGTCAGGTGTGCGAGCTGACGTGTAAATTCGAGTCAATCGGGCGCCCCACTGGCGGACTCCCCGATCCGTGGGCTGGGATGACCCTGTTATCGACTTGAGCAAATCGAAGCAGCTGAATTCGCGTGTGCTGTCATGTAGCCACGTGAGAGCCCCCCAGATCCAGCCAGCACACCCTCCGCTGAACACGTGCAGAGTTCCACGAAGTCGCTGAACAGTTTCGTAAAATGACATTTCAACTTCAGAGCAGTACACTACATGTAACCTGCATCGTTCCTTATTGTAGGTATGCGTAGCAGCAAACCTTATTCTCAACAGACTCCATGTGTACGTCACTTGGTCTCTCCAGCTTCAAGCACTTGCGTCTGTCCCTTCAGCCAAGCGGTACATTCCTCGGTTGATCCATTATCTGGATTAGCTAATTGCCACTCCATGACTCGATCCATCTGCACACAAGCAAAAACCAAAGCAACACATATAAGCTGGATGTGCCTAGGCTTGGGATGTGTTGAAATACGGTATGGGAAAACAGCCCAACCAGGAACAGATATGAACTACACAACTGGGACGTGCAATCAGCAAACTGGGAAGTGCAACTGACACATGTTCTCTTGACGTACCCAGTATCCGGTACGCGGGTCGCCTTTCTTGAGCTCCAGAGCTGCAACCACATCCCGTCCATTGAGTATGGGCTTTGTATCCCACACGCCATCCAAACCTGGTGAGAAGGGTGTTGGAAACATGTTTAAGTTGACTCAAGTGTCATCCCAGCCATTCAATATGGGGCTGTCCCACACACCATCCAAACCTGGTGAGAAGGGGTTTTGAACACAAAACAGGAGCTTGGAGAAATGGTGAGTAGTGCTGGATGTGAAATGGAAGCAAGAATTGCAGACATTCCTGAACCCAACATAGGCACATACCCATAGCATGCATCGCCAGATGACTTTTGAATCGACTTGAAAGTCACCTCCACATAAGCGCACATCAAACTTATGCCTGCATCCCCCATTATAGGCACATCCCACAACGTCCCTGCACCTCAATATTGCCACATACCCATGGCATGCACCGCTTGAAGCACTTGCAGATAAAACTCGTTCTGATCACATTTCTCACTTTCTTTCCCCGCATCCTCTTCCCCGCCTTCTTCCCTCACCCCCATCCGCCTCCTCTTGCAACCCTCCTTTTCCTCCTCTCCCACGCCTCTTCCCCCTTTCACCCCCTCGCCCTCCAAGACGAAATGATCAATGCGGGCGGCAGAGGAAACGGGCGGCAGAGTGGAGGCCAGCAGCACAGCGGACGGCCAGCAGGCCTTCACCTTGCGGAGGAGCCTGCCTGGTGGAGGGGAGCGGTTGAAAGGACAGGGGGTTTTTAGTGAAGGGGGGCAGCAGAGGGGGTTTGGGAATAAGGGTCTTTGAAAGAGGGGGCAGAGTAGAGGCAAGCAGCAGAGGGGCAGCCAGCAGGCCTTCACCTTGCGGATGAGCTTGCCTGGTGGAGGATAGTGGGGGGGGATAGAGAGGGAGCACGGACCGGGCAGAGTAGGAACGAATTTGGCAGGGAGGCAGATTAGATGCCAGAAGCACCCACCAACCGCACTGCACCTGCCAGCACCCCACGCACCTGCCAGCACCCCACGCACCTGCCAGCACCCTTGCGTTGCCTTGAAACTCCTCATGCGGGGGTGCGATCAGAGTAAGGCCTCGCGCCTTCTTACCTGCCAGTGACCCCACCAACCGCACCGCACCTGTCAGCACCCTTGCGTTGCCTTGAAACTCCTCATGCGGGGGTGCGATCAGCGCGAGAGCTCGTGCTGTGCGGCCTTCCCCTCCACCTTCTGTTGTTCCTGCTGCTGCTGCCTCACCCCTCGCAGCTACTGCTGCATCTGCCCCTTCTCCCTCTGTGGCCCCCCCTCCTCCTGCTGCTGTGGCCAGCAGGGGCGCTAGGGCAGTGAAATCCTCAGCTGCTGCATGCAGCAGCACCACCTGAGGGGGGCAAGGAGGAAGGGGGGCAGACAGCGAAAGTATAAGCATAATGTCATGGTCCCGCTATGCTCCCTCTGCTGCTGCTGTGGCCAGCAGGGGCGCTAGGGCAGTGAAATCCTCCGCTGCTGCATGCAGCAGCACCACCTGAGGGGGTCAGGAGGAAGGGGGGCAGGAAGAGAGGGGGGAGAAAGGGGAAGCGGGAAGACAAGGGAGGGACGAGCAGCAAGCAACAAAGCGAAACTGAAGGATGGAAACACTTGATGACAAGGGAAATGTCAGAATACAGGGTGGGGGGACGTGCCACATCAGCATACAGGGTGGGGGGGACACGCCACGTCAGCATACAGGGTGGGGGGACACGCCACGTCAGCATACAGGGTGGGAGCACCTGCCACATCAACATACAGGGTGAGGCCACCTGCCACGTCAGCATACAGGGTGGGGGCACCTGCCGCGTCAGCATACAGGGTGGGGGCACCTGCCGCGTCAGTATACAGGGTGGGGGCACCTGCCATGTCAGCGTAGGCTCGTTTGAGCTTGAGTGAGTCCAAGACGATGTGTTGTGCGAATGGCACCTGCAGCGATGCACAGAGAGAGACACAAGATGTTTGGAGCATAGGCTTTAAGGGTCAAGCTTCAGAGTTGGTAAGATGCGGAGGGAGAAAGGGTCGCCTGAGCTTGAGAGGGTTCAAGTCGATGTGTTGTGCATGGCATGCACCCGACTCAAAAATCGAATTACTACACAATGGCACGGCACCCACCGCAGAGAGACAAGACATGCTGAAGGGACGTGGAGGTACAGGGGTTGGAGGGACCTGTATTTTCTTCCTGTCCAGGTAGTGTGTGCCTAGGAGGCATCAGCAGCGCCACCAGCACACCTCTTCACCCCACTCCACCCCTTTCCATCTCTCTCACCTCCTTCTTCTTATCCAGGTAGTGCGTGTGCCTGAGAGGCATCAGCAGCGCCGCCAGCACCCCTCTTCACTCATCACAACCGCTCACCACCCCGCCTTCACCCCTCTCCACCGTTCACCAACCCTCTCACCTCTTTCTTCTTCCTATCCAGGAAGTGCGCGTGCCTGAGAGGCATCAGTGAGAACAACAAAAGAACCGCCCTTCACCTCTCCCCACCCTCTCTCCACCGCTCTCCACCCTTCTCTCACCTCCTTCTTCTTCCTATCCAGGTAGTGCGCGTGCCTGAGAGGCATCAGCAGCGCCGCCAGCAGCAGCCCCACTCGCAGGTCCGACGCGTGATCAATCAGAGCCTGCCACGTGGCACACATGCAAAACAGCAGTGGGAGTGAGTCATATACCACGCATCACAAAGAAAAATCAGAATGCACAGTGACTTTTGTCTGGCTTGCAGGCTGCATCTGGGGACATGATGGGGCATCTAGAGAATGGCCTTACCTCGGGCAGGCCTTACGTGAGGGCAGGCGTTACCTGGGGCAGGCGTTACCTGGGGCAGGCGTTACCTGGGGCAGGCGCTACCTGGGGCAGGCGTAACCTTGGGCAGGCGTTACCTGGGGCAGGCGTTGCTCCCACTGGTGCAGGCGCGTGCAAGTGGCTGCAAACGATGCTTCACAAAGGCTGATGCGAGTGGGGTGGGTTGTATGCATGCACACCCTCACATGCCCATGCATGCACACCCTCACATGCCCATGCATGCACACCACACACACACAAGCCATGCACACACACACACACACCCCACACACGCACACACCACACACGCACACACACACCACACACACACACCAGACACACGCACACACACACACACCCCACACACGCACACACCACACACGCACACACACACCACACACACACACCAGACACACGCACGCACACACACACCACAAACACACAACACAAACACACGCGCACACACACAAAGAGATTGAGTGGAATTGACGACACAAGTGTGTGTGGAATGAAAGCGTTTAGGGGAGAAGAAAATCAGAAAGCAAAAAAAGACGACTCTCATGGGGAGGACGGAGGACAGAATTAGAAAATGAAGCGGGGGGGGAAGGGATGGGAAGGGGAGGGGGGGGGGAGTAGGAAAGGGAGCGGGGGAAATGGCTGGCAGGGTTGAAGAGGAGGGAGGGTGTGGAGAAGGGCGGGAAGGAGGGTGTAAGGGGAATTGAGACAAGTTTTACGCACAAGCCACATGTTACCATCTCTGGTTACCACATTACTCACCCGGGTAACTCGTCGTCAGGAGGCACGTCGGCAGTGTGCGAGGGGGCGTGGGGGAGTGGGAAGACGGTGGGGAAGAGGTTGAGGTCGACCACGAGGGAGATGGCCGCATAGGGGTCACGGGACTTGAGCATCAGCTCTACCTGAGAGAGGGGGGAAAGGAGGAGGATGGGAGGAAGGGGAGAACAGGTGTGAAAGGGCAGCTTATGGGTGCAAGGGACAGTGGGGAAGAGGTTGAGGTCGACCACCAGAGAGATTGCTGCATACGGGTCACGGGACTTGAGCATCAGCTCTACCTTAGAGAAGAGGGGATAGGACAGGAGAGACAGATGAAAGGGGAGAGACATTCATGATGAGAGGGCACGGGGTGGGAAGACGGTGGGGAAGAGGTTGAGGTCACCACCAGGGAGATTACTGCGTAGGGGTCACGGGATTTCAGCATCAGCTCTACCTGCGAATGAATACAGGACAAGAAGGGGAAAACAGGTGTAAGCGGCAGCCGAAGCAGCACACGGAGAGAGGTCATGGGACGGCGGTGGGGAAGAGGTTGAGATTGACCACCAGTGAGATTGCCGCGTAGGGGTCACGTGATTTCAGCATCAGCTCTACCTGAGTGTTGGGGGCAAGGACGGAAGAGAGAGAAAGAGAGATGTAAGGCGAGAGCACATTGGTGATAGAGCATGGGAAGATGGGAGTAAGGGGAGAGGGCACAGGGAAGACGGTGGGGAAGAGGTTGAGATCGACCACGAGGGAGATTGCTGCATAGGGATCATGGGACTTGAGCATCAGCTCTACCTGTGATGGGCGGGAGAGAAAGAGGAACGGCTCATGGCACTAGGAAGACGGTGGGTAAGAGGTTGAGATCGACACCCAGACAGATTGCTGCATAGGGGTCACGGGACTTGAGCATCAACTCCACCTGTGATGGGCGGGAAAGGGGACGGGAGGAAGGGGAGAACAGGTGTGAAAGGGCAGCTTATGGGTGCAAGGGACGGTGGGGAAGAGGTTGAGGTCGACCACCAGTGAGATTGCCGCGTAGGGGTCACGTGATTTCAGCATCAGCTCTACCTGAGTGTTGGGGGCAAGGACGGAAGAGAGAGAAAGAGAGATGTAAGGCGAGAGCACATTGGTGATAGAGCATGGGAAGATGGGAGTAAGGGGAGAGGGCACAGGGAAGACGGTGGGGAAGAGGTTGAGATCGACCACGAGGGAGATTGCTGCATAGGGATCATGGGACTTGAGCATCAGCTCTACCTGTGATGGGCGGGAGAGAAAGAGGAACGGCTCATGGCACTAGGAAGACGGTGGGTAAGAGGTTGAGATCGACACCCAGACAGATTGCTGCATAGGGGTCACGGGACTTGAGCATCAACTCCACCTGTGATGGGCGGGAAAGGGGACGGGAGGAAGGGGAGAACAGGTGTGAAAGGGCAGCTTATGGGTGCAAGGGACGGTGGGGAAGAGGTTGAGGTCGACCACCAGTGAGATTGCCGCGTAGGGGTCACGTGATTTGAGCATCAGCTCTACCTGAGAGAGGGGGTGAAGGACGGGAGGGAGGGAAAGAGAGATGTAAGGCGAGAGCACATTGGTGATAGAGCATGGGAAGATGGGAGTAAGGGGAGAGGGCACGGGGAAGACGGTGGGGAAGAGGTTGAGATCGACCACGAGGGAGATTGCTGCATAGGGATCATGGGACTTGAGCATCAGCTCAACATGAGAGGGGCGGAAAGCAGAGGACGGGAGGACGAGGAAGGCAATTTGATAAGGCACAGACAGATCATGGGTGGGTAGAAGGGCAATTCAATCGGTCGTCCGTACCTGTGGATTGAGCATTATTCAAATGCACCCAGTGTATTCCCCTGTACCTTTCCCATAGAGGTACCTCTATCCCATGCATCTTTCCCATACCTCTTTCCCAGTCCCCCGTGCCTCTTTCCCGTACCTCTTTCCCAATCCTCTCTTTGCTGACTTTGTTTCCCAACGCTGCCCGAACCTCCTCCGAAGCTGCAGCTATCCGCAATTCCTCGTCCAATGAGAAGCCGAATCGGGCAGCTGAAAGGACGCAAAGGGGCAGGACAGGGGGATATGGGAGGGGAGAAAGGGGTGCGTAGGGGAACATATAGCTGAAAGAAACAGTAGGGCCACGAAGGAGAGCAAGGCAGAGAGAAGGGAGAGAGAAAGGGGGGAGAGGAGAGGGAAAACCCGACCAGAGCACTCACCGAACCTGATCGCCCGAAGCACTCGGAGAGGGTCGTCTAGAAAGGTCTGGTGGGGTGGGAGAGGCGTGCGGATGACACCCCCATTCAGGTCGGCGATTCCTGGGGGCCGGGAAGAAGCGGGTGGGGTGGGGGGAGTGTGCGGGGTGTGTGTGGCGAGGGGTTTGGGAAGTGTGAGGGTGCGGTGCTGGTTCAACGATAGAAGAGCAACGAGGGTCGTCAGGTCTGATCGGGAGGGAGAGGCGTGCGAATGATGCCCCCATTCAGGTCGGCGATCCCTGGGAAGGGGAGGAAAAAGGGGAAAGCGCGAAGCGGGGAGGGGGAAGAGATGGGGGGGGGGGGGGGTGATGGGTAGGATGATGGAGAGGGAGAGGCGTGCGAATGATACCCCCATTCAGGTCGGAGATTCCTGGAAGAGGGAGAAGGGGATCGGGGGGAGGAAGTGGGGGAGGGGGGGAATGTTTGGTGGATAACAGGGGGGGAGTGTTTGGTGGATAACAGGGGGGGATGTTTGGTGAATGACAGGGGGGGAGTGTTTGGGGGGGAAGAGGGGGGGAGGGGGCGTGGAAGGGCTTTGGTGAGTGTGTGTGGGGTGCTGGCTGGATGATAGGAAGAGCAACGAGGGTCGTAAAGGGTCTGGTGGGGAGGGAGGGACAACAATTTCCACGAGGGCGTGCGGATGATGCCTCACCGCAACAAATTCCGAGCCTCGCCCAGTGGGGTCCTCCACTTGCCCCGCGCTGATGTTGCAAAACATGCTGTTGATGGTCCAATCCCTTCTCCACTCACACACTCTTTCCTCACTCTCACACTCGTGCACAGGGTCAGCACCTCACCTCACCTCGCCCCATGGGTGGGATCCTCTACTTGCTCCGTGCTGATGCTATAAAGCATGCTCTTCATGCTGCCGTCCCTTCTCATCTCACGCCTCACCTCGCCCCGTTGGGTCTTCCACTTGCTCCGTGCTGATGTTGTAAAACATGCTGTTGATGCTCATGGTGAAGCCTTGCACTCACACACACACACACACACACACACAGAGCTAGCTTCTCTTCTCAACACTCTCCTCACCTCACCTCGCCCAGTGAGGTGCTCCACTTGTAAAACATGCTGTTGATCGTCAGGTCCCTCCTCAGTGCATCTACAAGGCGCCGCAACAACCTTCTCACCCTCAGTCCTCACCTCACCACTCTGCTCACCTCGCCCAGTGGGGTCCTCCACATGCTCCGTGCTGATGTTGTAAAACATGCTGTTGATCGTCAAGTCCCTCCTCAGCGCATCCTCCTCTGCCGTCCCAAACTCCTGCCATGGGGGCAAGCAGGACATGAGTGGATGAGGGGAGGATATGGGAACATTAGGATCCCGCGAGATCCCTCCTCAGAGCGTCTTCCTCAGCTATTCCAAACACCTGCCATGGGGGCGGGGCAAGCGGCACACGAGTGGATTAACTGGGAATTAAGCGACACGATTGGCCATACCAGCTCATCTGAACCTTACCATTCAGCCATACATCTAGCACATATTGAGTCCTTACAATGGAGGAAGGGATTCTGAAGACGTGAGCATACTCCTCTGCTCTCTAAAAGACTGGCATAGCATAGCAGTTAGCTGATAGCTCTGTAACCATGCTAAAGCCTGTAACGAGTGAGCTCTTACAATGGAGGAAGGGATTCTGGAGTCGTGCGCGTACTCCTCTGCTCTCTGAAAATCTGTCACATCAGTTGGGTGGTAACCCTGTAACTTGTGAGAGTCAGCACTCACAATGGAGGAAGGGATTCGGGAGTCGTGGGCGTACTCCTCTGCCCGCAGATTCACAAAGTCGATCCACATGCCGTGAATCATCATGGTTGCTGTCTCCAGGTGCTGCCTTGCCGTGCTGCCTATACTAGTGTAAGCATGAATGAGCACTCACAATGGAGTGAGGGATCCTGGAATCGTGTGCATACTCCTCTGCCCTGAGGTTCACAAAGTCAATCCACATGCCGTGAATCATCATTGTTGCCGTCTCCAGGTGCTTTGACTGGTCGGGGTTCCTGCGGGAATGAGGGAGGAGAGGAGAGGAGAGAGGAGAGGCATTGCAATGCGCTCGGAACACAACATTCGTATGCATGTGCGGGGAAGTGAATCATCATCGTTGCAAAAAAGGTACTCCGCATGAGGGGCAATACTCGGTGACCCTCTATATTTTAGGCGCCTCAGAAAAAGCATCCTCACACTTCAGACACTGAGTTCATTCAGAGGAGGTAAATGTAAATCATCATGGTTGCAGACAAGGTACTCCGGAGTCCACATACATGAGAGAGGCAATACTACTCGGTGACCCTCTCTGCGAACTGCCTCAGCTCAGTCCCCCACGGCCCGGGGAGGCTTGCCACATGCAAGAAAGGCTGGTGCGGGGGGGCCCAGGGTTTAAGCCCCAAACCCTCCACTCGCTTCTGAATGACCCCCACGCCCCGCACCGTCTCCCCTCGCTCCTTGAGGTATTCGGTAACCTTCTCTGCGAACTAGCTCCTCAGGAGTGATTTTCCTGGCATCCCTCGACCCATACCCCTCACTTCCCTCCACTCACTTCCCTCCACTCACTTCCCTCCACTCACTTTCCCTCCACCCACTTTCCCTCCACCCACTTTCCCTCCACCCACTTTCCCTCCACCCACTTTCCCCCCACTCACTTCTGAATGACCCCCACGCCCCGCACCGTCTCCCCTCGCTCCTTAAGATATTCCGTGACCTTCTCTGCGAATTCCCTCCCCAGCAGGTTGTCAAGAGCTATGTCGATGTCTATGCAGTCCCGCCCTATCAGCTGCGAGTGAAAGGGATGGGGAGGGGTGGAGAGGGATGGGAGAGGGCGAGTCAACAGGTCGCCTTCCCCAGCAGGTTCTCTAGAGCTCTGTCAATGTCAATGCAGTCGCGCCCTATCAGCTGCAATTGAGAGGGATGGAGAGGGGTGGAGTGGTGTGGAGTGGGATGGAGTGAGATGGAGAGGGATGGGAGAGGACGAGTCAACAGGTTGCCTTCCCAGCAGGTTGTCGAGAGCTATGTCGATGTCTATGCAGTCGCGCCCTATCAGCTGTGATGAGTGGGATGGAGTGGGGTGGAGTGGGCGGAGAGGGATGGGAGAGGGATAGGAGGAGAGCGATGGGCTTGACTCCCTCCCCCTTCACACCTCTCTCGCTTCAAACCTTGCTTTCTTCACACCTTCCCTACCCCCTCACCTTATCGCGCACCCAGCCCCCCGCCACCCTCAGCTGCGTACCCAGTCCACAGTGCAACACGACGTCCCTCAGAGTGCTGAATATGGACAGCTCGTTTGTGTCACACCTCCTTTGTGTCACACCTCCTTTGTGTCACACCCCCATTGCTTCACATCTCACCTTGTCGCGCACCCAGCCACCCGCCACCCTCAGCTACGTGCCCAATCCACAGTGCAACACCCCTGAGAGTCCCGAATAAGAACTGCTCGTTTGAATCACACTTCTAGCTGGTTCACCCCTCACCTTATCGCGCACCCATCCTCCCGCCACCCGGAGCTGTGTTCCCAATCCATAGTGCGACACCACGTCCCTGAGCGTGCTGAATAAGTGCGACTCGTCCGCACTCAGCAGCACCTCCCCCGTCACCCGCACCGCCTCGGGATCGCCGAACGCCATCGCGGAACCGACGCGCGGCGGGCGTTTCCGCGGTTCCGCGAACTCCGCTTCTCCTGCGGAACCTCCTGCTGACGTGGAGGCTGCCGGGGCTGACGTGGATTTCTCTCGCGCTGACTCAGCTGCGTCCAGGCTTGGATCTTCCGGCGCGGCCGTTGCTGACGTCGGCGCTGCTCGCGAAACCCGGAATTCACGCGATTGGCCTCTTTGCACCTGCTGCTGATCCTGAAACCTCCTTTCGACCGACACAAATCCGCGAAACGAGAATTGAGGTGAGCCAGAGGGCACTGAGGCAAATCCGCGATATTGAGCTACTCGACTCTTGGGTCCTGTAAAGGCTGGTCCGGTCAGTACCTCCCTTCCTGCTCCCGCCTCCGCCCCAACCTCCCTCCCCTTACCGTCCTTCCCAGGAGTAACAACAGCAGCAGCAAAGCGATTCCAACTCAGAGATTTAATACAGGTGCTAACTGTAGCGGTCCGGTCTAAACTCCGCGTTCCACACAACCCGTGCGCGAAACAGTAAGCAAAGGTAAGCCGCGACGCGTCGCAACAATGAAGGACTTTAAACTGCGCCAGTTGCGCTTCGACGGATGGCCCAATCTCAGAGAGCCCTCGCAACGGCTTGTCTGTTCTTGAAAATGAGGATTCTAAAGGCTTGAGCGGATCGGACGATGGTGCGAGGAAGGTTCTTCGGAGGCAGGTTAAGCGGCAACTAGGGAAGCACGGCGCGGATCGAGCAGAGCGGGCCCGCCACGTGTTCAAATCTACGCGCGTCGCGATCGTCCGCTCCACTGAGCGGGGTAAAAGGCGGTGCGACGCCACGATGACGAGCTGCCCAGAATACAAGTTATACTAAAGAGGTAATGACGGTTAGAGGAATCTGGGGGGTGTGTGGTTGTGGTTTGGGAGATATTCCGATTCTAACAGGGAAATCGTGGTGTAGCTGGATTCTAACAGATGTGGAAATTGTGACACTGTACTATCGAGGCTGTCCAGAACGAAGAATTCAGTAATCAGAGGAATTCCGCGAATCACAGCGGCTCTTTCTCTGGTGGTAACAACATGCAGCGAATTTGATTTGTTAGTTCAGTTCGCCCCGACAATCCCCAGAAGGTGATCCGCAAAATCCTTCGCTTCTGGAATTTTCGCCTCTGCGATCAAGGATCCTCGTTGCTGTCAGGTAACGTCAATGCTTCCAGAATCTGGTAGATCACTTCACAAGCACTTTCGGAATCTCCACCACACTGTATCTCACAGAAACATAGCGAATCGTGTCTAACCCATCTCAAAGTTCAGCAAAATGCAGCTAACTTTTGCCTGATCATCACAACGCAGACAGTTTTGCTCCTTCAGAGGAGCAGCCGTCATGCTACCGATTTCCTCATTTTAATTTCCGTGAGGGTGACGTTCTCCTTGTAGACCGGAGATTAATTTTATGGCGTTTGCGTTCGTGTTGTGAGAGCTGCTTTCATGGATAGTTGCTGGTTCCAGCTTCATGAATACCTCCCTGAACTGTTGTTGCAAGTTTAACGGAAAAAATCACTTGCATCGAAGGGAGCAACTAGGAGGAGCAACGACGAATCGTCATGGCGGATTCGGCCGGACCGCCTGTGGCGAGTCTACAGCTGGCGAAGCCTCGCAGCATGTTCCTCTGCGGCTCGCTGCCGGTCTGGCTAGACCGCGAGTTCACCACGCTCGAGTTCTCGCCGGGCATATCGCGATCCTTCTTCAGCGATAGGTGAATCGCTATGCGACACAAGATAAATTTCTCCGAACATAATCTTTTCCTACGTATCAGTATTCCGAAGTTCGCTCCAGGATTCTCTAAAAGCCGTTATTAGCGACTGGTGACACCGTTTCATTCCTACCCAGATTTCTGTCCAAATCTGCCGTTAATCATGTCTCTCCTCGTTTTTTCACTTCTAACCTAGCCAATTCCTCGTCCCTTCCCTCTCCCCCAGGACTCCCGGCATTCCCAAGGTGATCCCTCCCCCAGCCCGACCGTCCCTGGACACCCATCCCCCCGCATGGCTGCACCGCGACAACATCCTCCTGCCAGTCGACCGTCCCTCGGACCCTCCAGGTTCCACCTGGGGGGGGTCGTATCTGCAGCACAGTGGCGCGCGCAAGTGCGAGGCGCTGGCGGTGAGGGGGCTGGCGGAGTTTGGGGAGGACGCGGTGGACGTGATAGCGCCCGCAGACGTGCTCAAGCAGCTGTTTAAACTGCCCTTTTCCAAGGCGAGCCTCTTTGTCAGCGTGCACCGCGTTGGCCGCACCCTTGTTCTCAACCCAGGGTGAGTGAGGGGTGGTTTTGAGGTATCTCAACTCACCCAGAGTGAGTGCTTGGTCCCCTTGAGGTGCGACGTGCTGGCGGTGAGGGGGCTGGCGGAGTTTGGGGAGGACGCGGTGGACGTGATAGCGCCCGCGGACGTGCTCAAGCAGCTGTTTAAACTGCCGTTTTCCAAGGCGAGCCTCTTTGTCAGCGTTCACCGCGTTGGCCGCACGCTCGTGCTCAACCCCGGGTGAGTGGATGCTTCTTGCTTCTGAGGAGCCTCAATCCACCCAGGGTGAGTGCGTGCTGCCTTTGAGGCGCCTCAAGGTTCAGTGGCTGTGAGTGCGCCTGCTGAGATGGGGCGCTGGCGGTGAGGGGGCTGGCGGAGTTTGGGGAGGACGCAGTAGACGTGATAGCGCCCGCGGACGTGCTCAAGCAGCTGTTTAAACTGCCCTTCTCCAAGGCGAGCCTCTTTGTCAGCGTGCACCGCGTTGGCCGCACCCTCGTGCTCAACCCCGGGTGAGTGAGGGGTGCTCCATGGATTCGCACAGTGTACCATGAGCCTCCGGAGGCCAGCGCAGCAAAAGTGGCAGTGCTTCTCTCTCTCCAAGCTGGTAGCCCCAGACTTGTACTCTTTCCTTCTTCCACTCATCCCCACCTCCCCCCTCCCCCATACTCCTCTCAGCTCCGAGCCTTGCTGTGTGGACTCCCACAACGTGGTATGGACCTCTAGATTGCTAAGGGAGGCAATCCTTCTCTTTAAGCTTGTAACTCAGACTTTCACTCTCCTTCTTCCCCTCATACCCTCCCCCATGCTCCTCTCAGCTCCGAGCCTGGGTGTGTGGACTCCCACAAGGTCGCACGGACCTCCAGAGGGCAGCGCGAGGCGATTCTACTCTCCAAGCTGGTAACCCCGGAGTTACACGGTCAACAGGGCGCGTCTTCCAGCAGCAGACCTACCAGCAGAGGCATCGGGAGCAGCAGCACCAGTGCCATCGGCTCGTCTGCAGTTTCTGGTGATACTGGTAGCAGTAGCAGCAGCGGTCGCAATAGCGGCAACCAAAACAGCACCAGCAGGGGTAGCAGCAGCAGCAATGTTTCAAGAAAAGGTCTGCCTAACGCTGCTGCTCTGCCAAAAGCGTTCGCGGATTTCGTGGGGGATGCGGAAGGCGTGGTGCGAGTCTGTGATCATAGGAATCAGCAGCAGGAGGAGCAAAGGCAGATGGATCGGCAGCAGCAACAACAGCAGCCCCAGCAGCAGCAGCAGCAGCAGCAGCCCCAGCAGCAGCAGCAGCAGCAGCAGCAGCAGCAGCAGCAGCAGCAGCAGCAGCAGCAGCAGCAGCAGCAGCAGCAGCAGCAGCAGCAGCAGCAACAACAGCAGCATCACATTTCTGAGGCAGCCCAAAAATTTTGTACCGATTTCGTGGGGGATGCGGAAGGCGTGGTGCGAGTGTGCGATCACAACAGTCAGCACCACCAGCAGCAGCAGTTTGGGCTACAGAAGGCTGCTGGCAGCGATGCAACTTGTACTGGTGGTTTGAGAAATCAGATTGAAGGCGTTCAGGGGGAAGAGGACGTGGAAGAGGAGGAAGAGCAGGAGCAAGAGGAGGGGTATGGGCGTTGGGAGGGTTCTGGAAAGGGGACGTCATGCAGCAAGCGTGGGAGGAGGCTGAGTAGTGGTAGCAGAGGAGGAGCGGGGAAACGAATGGAGTCGGCAGGAGGAGGAGGAGGGGGAGGAGGGGTGGGAGGAGGGGGGAAACGGATGGAGACAGGAGGGGGAGGAGTGGAGGCACAAACAGGGGCGGACGGGTTTTCTCGGGTGGTGTTCTGGCAGTTTGAGCATCTGAGGCTGTTTCTTGGCAGCGATCTGATTCTGTTCAGCAATGAGAAGCATGCGGCAGTCAGCCTTCATCTGGTCGACGTGGAGCATGAGGTAAGCTCTTGCTGCTTGTTGCAAGGTGACGATTCTTCTAGTGCCTCGACCAGCGATCTGATTCTGTTCAGCAATGAGAAGCATGCGGCAGTCATCCTTCACTTGGTGGATGTGGAGCATGAGGTACGCTCGTGCTGCAAGCTGGCAATGTTTAACGTGCCTCAAACACAGCGACCTGACTCTGTTCAGCAATGAGAAGCATGCGGCAGTCAGCCTTCACCTCGTTGACGTGGAGCATGAGGTAGGAAGTTTTGTTTTCATATCCTTTTGATTCAGGGTGAATGGCTTTATTCCGTACCTCCTCTCCTCCTCACCCCGCCCCACACACATGTCTAGAGCTCCCACGGCATGGTGGGGTTGCCAGAGCTCGCCATCTGCTACCACCGCAAGGGCTTCATTTCGCCCTATGATGAACGCTCTCAACACTCCAGTTCCCCACCTCCTCCCTCTCCTCCTCGCTCTGCACACCTTCCCTCAGAGCTCCCCTCTCGTATGGCTCGATATCTGGCTGGATAACCTGATGGCAGGGGTGCCGGAGCTCGCCATCTGCTACCACCGGATGTGCCTGACTCCCTGCTCCGTTCCCCCCCCCCCACACACACTCACAGGATTCCCCTTTGGTATGGCTCGACATCTGGCTGGATAACCTGATGGCGGGGGTGCCGGAACTGGCCATCTGCTACCACCGCAAGGGGGTCGTGCAGGGCTACGAGCTGCTGCACTGTGACGACATGTTTCTTTTCAAAAGGGAGAGGGAGGTGTTTATTCGTCTCCGTTCAAAGGGGGGATTTCACCTGAGACGCTTCCCAACGTGCCCTCTTCCCATCCCACGCTCACTCACAGGATTCTCCACTGGTATGGCTCGATATCTGGCTGGATAACCTGATGGCGGGAGTGCCGGAATTAGCCATCTGCTACCACCGCAAGGGGGTCGTCCAGGGCTACGAGCTGCTGCACTGCGACGACGTGTTTCTGCTCAAGTGCCTGGCCAGGGACGGTTCAGCGTCGTTCTATCCGCATGCTGTGAGGGACAGTGCGCTCGCCATCCTGGGGTTCCTGCAGGAGAAATGTGCACGCAGCCCCGGCACCTACTGGGTGAGTTTGTCTGAGTCCCGATTAAGCTGAGTCCCCATAACCTGTCAGTCAGGTGCAGGCTGCAGCATGTGCTGTGAGTGGCACCAGCCGCCCTCCTCAGTGTTCCCCCACGCTGTGAGGGACAGTGCACTTGCGACCCTGGGGTTCCTGCAGGAGAAATGCACACGCAGCCCCGGCACCTACTGGTTGAGTCCGAGTCCTTCGATTCAACCTGTCAGTGTGCATGCAGCACGCTGTGAGGGACAGTGCGCTCGCGATCCTGGGGTTCCTGCAGGACAAGTGTGTGCGCAGCCCCGGCACCTACTGGGTGAGTGTCAAGTGACTCATGGGTCGACTCAACTCCCCGTTTCGAATGCCTATGAGTGGGTGCTGTTGGGGTCGTTGCAGGGCACACAATAGCCATTCTGGGGTTCCTGCAGGACAAGTGCACGCGCAACCCCGCATTCCCCTCCCCTCCCCTCCTCTCCCCTTCCTCTCCTCCCTCCCTTCTTTCTCCCCTCCCCCCTCTCTGTGCAGCTTCGCAAGGATGCAGGCACTGACGTGCTGCAGCTGTTCGACCTCACTCCACCTCTCCAGAACCCATCTGCACCGCTCCGCCTCGCCCCATCCCTCGCCACCCATCCCTCTGCAACAGCAGCAACATCCAGCCACGTCAGCAGGTCCTCTTCCCCCTCCTTGAACCCTTCACCCCTGGGAGAACCATCAGGAGAGGCAGCAGGGGCAAGAGCGGGACGAGCAAGAGATGCAGCAGTGGGGACAGCAGGGGAGGCAGCAGGGGGGCTAGCGGGGCGAGCAGGAGGGAACTCCCCGTTATCTTCTCTCGATCCGGCTGTAGCAGCGCATCTCTCCCTGCCCCTCGCTATGCTGCTCTACCGCCTGGCCCTTCACCTCTCCGACTCGCACGTGCCTCGGGATCGCCACAGGACGGCGCAGCTGTTTGGGTACTGCCTGCAGCTGCTGCACCAGAAAGACCACCCGGTAAGCCCCTGCATTCTACCATCCCCCCGAGTGCCCCTCTCAGTAAGTGCAGCCCCAACCAGTAGGTGAGCACTCATCTGCCATCTCGTAGTAACCCATATTACGAGTGCCTGAGGATCGCCACAGGAATGCATCGCTGTTTGAATACTGCCTGCAGCTGCTGCACCAGAAAGATCACCCGGTAAGAACAAGAGGAATAGCCCGTGAGCACCAGCCCATGTGTGTTTGAGCGGGCGGTGCAGCGTATGAGCGGGCGGTGCAGCGTGTGAGCGGGCGGTGCAGCGTATGAGCGGGCGGTGCAGCGTGTGAGCGGGCGGTGCAGCGTATGAGCGTGCGGTGCAGCGTATGAGCGTGCGGTGCAGCGTATGAGCGGGCGGTGCAGCGTATCATCGTTTCTCTACCTCCCTCCATTCCTTCTTCTAATCTCCGCTTCCCATGTCTTTAATCCCCACTCCCTGCCTCATACTTTCCCCTCCAGGGCCTTCGAGCAACAGCCCATGAGTACATGGCTCGATTCTTCCTGCAAATCCCACAGGACGAGCTGCCATCTCTCCTCCAACCCTCGCACCTCCACTCCCCCCTCCTGCCGCAACCACGGCTTCCCCACCCTCCCTTCCTCCTCTCATCAACTCCCCATACCGCCCCCCCGCACCCTCCCATCCCCCGTCCCTCCCTCTTCCATCCCTCTCTCCAACCGGCCCTCCCCCATCCCTCCTCACTCCACCTCCCCTTTCTCCAACCAGTCACGTTCTTACCCTCCCATCTGCCCCCGTCTAATCTTTTACCCTTCTCCACCCCTTCCTCCGAATCTCCTTCTGCTCTCACCCCATCCTCTCGCCTCGCTATCACTTATCCCAAAGATGCTGCTGCTGCTGATCCTGCTACTCCTGCTGCTGCTGCTGATCCTGCTACTCCTGCTGCTGCTGCTGATCCTGCTACTCCTGCTGCTGCTGATCCTGCTACTGCTGATGCTGCAGCTGCTCCTGCAGCTGTGGGCTCTCAACGTTTGGCCATTGTTCCCACAGGCAACGCACACTTAGCTGTCATTCCAAGAGCTGACCAACCCTTGGCTGTGATTCCCCAAGCCAATCAACAGTTAGCTGTAATTCCCGAAGCCAATCAACAGCTAGCTGTAATTCCCCAAGCCAATCAGGACCTGGTTATCGTTCCACAAGCCAATCAACAGCTGGCTGTGATTCCTCAAGCCAATCAGCACTTGGCTGTGATTCCCGTTCCACCGAAGGATCAACAGCCCAAAATCAGCTCACCAGCAGCACATGCATTAGGGGCAGCTGTAGCACAGGAGTCAGGGGCAGTTGAAGCAAATGAATCAGTCACACAGGAATCAAAGGTTGTGACAGCAGCTGAGCCAGGAGCAGCGGCTGAAGCAGAACAAGAAGAAGCAGCAGCAGCATCAGAACCAGAAGTAGCAGCAGCCGCAACCAAACCAGAAGCCGCAGCAACAGAGGCAGTACCAATTTCCCCAATTTTTCTCCCTCTGCCCTCTACAGTGGGAGACGCAGAGAGTGCCGTACCACACACAGGAACAGGGGCAGAAGCAGCAGCAGAGGCAAAAGCAGGAGGAGCAGAAGCAGCTGCAGGGGCAGAAGAAACAGCAGGTGCAGAAGCAGCAGCAGAGTCACAAGCAGCACCAAAATCACAACCGTCGCTGCCAGCCCGTTCCCCTCCCCCTGCTGTCGACGACGCAGAGAGCGCAGTGACAGTCCGCCTGGCATCCGTCTGGCATGCCACGCAAGCGATCGGCGCGCTGAGGTGGCAGCGGCACCTGCTGACTCACACCCAGGAGAGCCTAATGAACCCCCCTCTGTCCCTCCTGCACAGCCTCAGAACTTACTCTGCTTCCGGTATGTGTCTCTGTGGGGAATCCTGCTGCCTTTCCCAAGGGTCTGGTGCGGTTTACGGGGATGGGAGGGCGTTTGGAGTGGTTGAGGAGGAGAGGAGGAGGAGCAGGGGGAAGGGGCGGAAGGGGGTGAAGGGAAGGGGAGGGCAGCAGAGGGGGAAGATGGAGGAGGAGGTGGGGGTAACGGGGGAGAGAGGGCAGGAGTGGGGGGAGGAGGAAGGGAGGGAGGGGGATGAGGACGCACATTCTTGTGGCTCCCTAGGTAGCACCTGCAGCAGTGTTGGCGCTGCCTCTGCTGCCTCTGCTGGTTCGGCTGCTGGAGGTGTTACCAACGGGGGTGCGGTTACCACCAGCAATGCGATTACCAGCAGCACCACTGCGGTTACTGATCGGCGCATATGCAAGCTGATAGCGCTCCTAGGAGAGGCATATCTGGGCCTGGCAGAAGCTTATAAAGGGGATGGGCAGTTGGGGAGGGCTTTAAGAGCTGCTGAGCTGGCATGTGTGGTTGTGGGGGGGTGGCCTTGGGACTTGGAGGATCTAGGATTGGGTGGGGAAGGGGAGGGGGAAGAGAGAGGAGAGGGAGGAGAGGGAGAGGAGGGGAGTGGGGAGGGAGGGGAGGAGGGTAGATTTCGGGGGTTGGAGGGATGGGGTGTTGGAGGTGAGCGGAGTGGAGGTGAGCGGACTGGTGGAGAGCAGGAGCGAGAGAGAGTGGAAGGAGGGGCAAAAGAGGCGAGAGGGGCGAGAGGTGGGAAAAAGAAAGCGAAAGGGAAATATAGGAAGCAGAAGAAGGGCGAAGGAGGGGCAGAAGGAGGAAATTCTTTGCTTGTAGCGAGTCAGACTGTAAAGGAGACAAGGGTGGAGGACAGGCTGAGGCTGTCCGATTCTGGCTGTTCCACATCTGACGCTCCTGTGCTTCGTGCTTCCACTGCCTCACGTACAGTCACATCTCATAAAGTCACAAAATCTCTCGGTGGGGCTAAAACCAAGGACTCTTCAAAGCCCAGCCAATCAGCTCGCAAGAACGAAAGTCAGAGCCGTGAAGCTGAATCTGGAAGGCCAAAAGGGGTGGGAGTGGGAGTGAGCAGAGGAGCAGCAGCAGCAGGAGGGGTGTTGGCAGGAGGGGGGGAGTCGGCAGGGTGGGAGGGTAGCATGCGGCTGTGCAGGCGTGTGAGTGGGAGGAGCTTCTGGGGGGAATTGTGGGAGCTGGTAGGAGATCTGTATGTGGACCTAGAGACTAGGGTCGGAATAGGTTCGGAGCCGGAGCAAGATGCAAGGCTCGGTGATCCAAAGCAAGGGGCGAGGCTCGGTGAGTCGAAGCAAGGTGCGAGGCTCGGTGAGTCGAAGCAAGGTGCGAGGCTCGGTGAGTCGAAGCAAGGTGCGAGGCTCGGTAGTTCAAAGCAGGGGGCGAGGGTGGGCGAGGGGAGAAGGGAAGAAAGCAGTGTGGATGCACGGGCTGCAGCAGTAGCTGCAGAGGGGGAGGCGTCTGGAAGTGCGGAATTGATGTTAGGGGAGGAGGTGGCGAGGGAGGTGAGACGGGTGAGGAAGAAGAGGAGGCAGAGGGAAGGCGGTGTTTATGGTGCAACAGGTGCAGGGGCAGCAGCAGGGGCAGCAGCAGGGGCAGGAAATAGTGGTCAGGTGATTGGTAGCAAGGCCACGGGTGGTATGGACGGTACTGTCTGTAGCATATGTGGGAAGAGAGGCTGTAGCTGCTTGAATGAACGAGCACGACGGGACAACGTTGACTCACCACATCCTTTTCCATCATCACCATCAGCATCATCATCAGCATCAGCATCATCAGCAGCACCATCAGCCCTTCCCCAAGCCACCTCTGCAAACAGCTGGAAGAGTCGTTGTTTTGGCCGCCCGTTTGTGCTCGACCCCAACGCCAACTACCAATCAGCAGCCGAGTTTTACTCCCGGGCAGCCGCTGCGTTCTCGGCCAATCACGACGCGACAAGCAAGCAGGCGGTTATGAGGAAACGCGGATGGGCTTGCAACGAGCGCGGCCGGTGGCTTCTCAACTCCCCTTCCTCCTCCTCTCCCTCCTCCTCTTCCTCCTCTTCCTCTGCCTCATCTCCCCTACCACCTCCCACTACCCCACACGCCACTATAGCAGCAGCACGGGCAGCACTGGTGGCGGCAGCAGAGGCCTTCTGGGAAGCGGGAGATGCTTCCAACGCTGCTCTCGTGCTCTGCAATCTCGGCCATGGAGAACGGGCAGATGCTGAGGTGCTTGCTGCTCCTGTTCTCATGCTCTCTGAGCAAGCAGGTGCTTCTGGCATGGGCTTTCGTGCTGCTTCTTCTGCTTCTGCTGCTTCTGCTCCTGCTGCTGGTGCGCCTGCTGCTGTTGGTGCTGGGAATGCTGCGACAAGTGTTAACGGCGGTGAAAGCGGCTCTGCTGGTGCTGGTGCTGGTGCTGGTGCTGGTGCTGGTGCAGAGTTGCTGGGCAAGTTTGAGAGGGCGAGGCAGCGGTATATGCGGGCCCTGGGGTGGTATGGGGATGCTCGCAGGGAGCTGATGAGGTGTGTGGGAGAAGGTAAGGCCGATGGTGCTATTGATGGGAGTAAGGACGTAGCGGGAGGAGCAGGAGGAGCAGGGGGGGTAGGAGTAGGAGTAGGAGTAGGAGGAGGAGGAGGTAAGGGTGGCGTGGGGGTTGAGAGTGAGTCGGCAGCAGCGCGGGCGTATGGGGTGGTGTGGAGCGAGGTGAATCTCCAATTCGCCCACACTTACCTAAGAGTCGGCATGCTTATGGCCGCTGCGGAACGCCTGGGCCTTCCAACAGCCGCAACTGGGAATAGGAGAGAGAATGCGGATAGTTACGGTCGGTTCAGTGGAGGGAGGGTGGAGAACGAGGGAGGGGATGCGGATGGGGTGAGGAAGGGAGGGGGAGGGGAGGCAGGGGAGGGGAGTGAGGGGAGTGAGTTGGAGTGGGAGGTGAGAGGGTATGTTTCGGCGAAGGACGCTTTGAGTAAGGCTCTGATTCTGTATGAGTCGCTAGGGGCGAGCAGGCAGCAAGAGACTGCCTTTGCTCACTTCCACCTTGCTGGTTACCACAGGGATTGTGCCCTGCGTGCTGCTGCTGGTGATGCTGCTGCTGCAGGAGCAGCAGCAGGGGGTGTGGCGGACTGGCAGCAGCAGCAGAAGCGTCTGGCAGCGTTAGCAGAGGTGCACTGGCACAAGGCAGTGTGCTTCTATCAAGCGGAAGCGCATCCAGACATGTTTGTGACTATATGTATGGAGAGGGCGGCGCTGGCGTGTGGTCTGGGCGGGCAGAAGCAGCAGTGGCAGGTATGATTGTATAGAGGGTGTACTATGGGCGGGCTTTTGCCAACATGTGTGTGACTATATGCATGGAGAGGGGGGGGCTAACGTTTGGCTGGGTCTGGGCAGGCAGAAGCAGCAGCAGTGGCAGGTATGCTTTGAAAAGGGTGCACTGTCACAAGGCAGTGTGCTTCTATCGAGCGGATGCACATCCGGACATGTGTGTGACTATATGCATGGAGTGGGCTGGCCTCCATTGCTTTGGGGGGCAACGGCAGCAGCAGCAGCAGCAGCAGAGTCAGGCATCGTTGATTTGAGTGTCTGAGCCTGACAAGTCAACTTTCTCCACGCACCAGTTTCCCTCAACCAGATAACCTTATTCCCCACTTTCTCTTCTCTTCCCTTGTCCCTCCTCTCCCCTCGCCCCTGTACCCCACCAGAGTCACCTCGCGGCTCTAAGACACCTCATGGCAGCAGAGGCTGCGCTATCACCACCCCCAGGCCCCAGTTCCTCCCTGGTTCCCGATTCCAAAACCACGGAGCACTCAAAGAAAGCTCACACCAAGGCTTCCCCTCTTTACAGTCACACGGCGGAGAGGCTGTGCCATCTCGTACAGGCACACCTGAAGGCCTTGCTGGGCCTTGCCCTGTCTTCATCTAGTTCATCCCTCGGTGGGAAAAAGGCGGGTGAAGGTGCAGCAGCCTTAGGGTTGGGAAGAGGTGGAGAGGAGTTTGTGGGAGTGCTTCGAGAGGCTTACAGGTGCTCTTTGAAGCTGGACAAGTGTGCATTGAACCTGCATTCGATATCTGTACTGGTTGCTCGTTTGCAGTAACGAGTGCCTTATGTACTCAGTCTGAGGTCGTTGTAATTGTTCGTTATTCCAAAGACTCATCTTTCTCAAACGTTTGACATTTTGTTTTGCTGGCGCCAATTTTTTAAAAGCACAATACGTGGTAAAGAATTCGCTCACAAGGTCGGCGTTACAGCGGGCAATTTCGAGGCACCAATTTCAAGGCCGCGGCCTTCTAGCTCGGGCACGTAACGAACTGTACACTCGGGGAAATGGACCAATTGCGGGAAGGGAATCTATTCCCTCCGAAATTTCCAAGCGAGTAGATTTTCATAATTTTGCAACTTCAATTGGCTGAACGAGCCCTGCGAGCAGTTCCCGAAGTTAGCGTCAGTGACAAGCCACACAAATCTTTCGGCTATTGTCCGAGGTTACTAGACCTAATCAGTGAGGATAGTGTCGTCGTCACGCCTTGTTCTGGCGAGATTGAGTTTCGAAGCTTCGTCTTTAGACGCGCTCCGCCGTCAGTCTTTCGTAGGTTCTAATCTTGTGCGGTCGAAGCGTTTCATTGTTGAGCTTTCCTGACGCCGCCGTTCAGTGACAGGCCATCAGTTTAGAACCAACTTATCCGATCGGTTTTTGTGCAATTTTCACGTCTCCGTCAGACGTTCTCCTGTTTCTGTCTGGGCTTAGACGTCGTTTGGACAGAATCGTGACGGATTTATTCGTTAAGTTTGAAATGATGGGAGACGACGATGAATGGGGCCCTGATCTCATGGCCGACGCGTTGGAGCTCGTGATGAAGGCGGAGGCGGAAAAGGCGGCGAAGGACGGCCAGCAGCCGCACCAGACGCATCATCAGCACCAGCAGCAACAGCAGCATCAACACCACCAACAGCAGCCGCAGCAGAATTCCCATCTACCAAAGCAGAACCAGCAACTTCAGCAGCAGCAGCAGCAGCAGCAACATAATCAACACGCACAACAGCATCAGTGGAGTTCACTACATCAGCCTCACCAGGCGAAGCCATATCAGCAACATCAGCACCATAACGTGCCCTCCTATCATCATGACCAAAAACAGCAGCAAATCCCTCATTTTCACCACCAGCAGCACAACCAGCAACAGCCACCACCAATGCAACAACAGGCTCATATGATTGAAAACCGCAATCAAGAATCCAGGATTCACCCTCCCCATCAGAATGGCAGCGCGTGGCCTAATAGTGAGACACATCACAAGATCAGCCATGCACCTACTTCTGCGCACCTACCTGCTCAACTCTTCAGCCACGCTCAACAACCGAGCCTCTCTTCCGGAGTTGTGCCTTCCAGGCCTGCGTTACTGGCTCGGACCAACCCTCCAGCTCCGCCTCCAGCTATCTACGGGCGAGCGAAGGGCGATCACAGGTTCGGCGCCCTCTTCCCAGCACCAGCCTTCGCAGCATCTCCCATCGCCCCTCCTCCACCCACCATCCCATCCGCTCCTTCTGTCCCTCCAACACCTCCTTCTCCCCTTCCAGCCTCTGCCTTCCCTCCCCCTGCTGCTCCTGCTGCTGCCACTGCTCCTGCGCCTGGCGTTACTGAATCTGGTGGCTTTCAAAGGAGGAGTATGCATGAACCTGGGGGCAGCAGCCACGTCGGATGGGACCCGGCAAATAGCAAGGCGCCAGCTGTCAAGCGCCAGAAGCAGTCCTTGAATGAACAGTGTCAGGGCACGGATGAACCGTTCCAAGGCATGGATGAACAGTACCAAGTCGTGGGTGAACAGTACAAATCCGGAGATGACCACAAAGGGAGGAGCCATAGGGAGGACGGTGCGACAGAGGAGGCGGCAGGATCTCTGAGGGAGAGGCTGAGGGAGAAGGAAGCAGCGATGGAGGCGATGCTGGCGAAGCTGCAAGAGGTGAGAACAGTTTCTCAGTTTATTCTGACTAACAAGTTTCTTCACTGTTTGCTAAAGGAGCTGTTGGGTAAATCCAATCATTTTTCGCTTCGGGTGTTTTATGATGAGTTTTGCTCACTGTTTGCTGTTTTGCTCACTGTTTGCAGGCAGAGAAACAGTTGAGGTGCCTTCACGAGCGAGATTCGCAGTGCGCTGATGCTGCTCCAGGCCAAGACAAAGCCCAGGTTTGTTGTCGTGGCTGTTACGTTTTGAGATGGAGCTTGTTTCACCAACCATGCAACTTCGCTTGTTTGCTTCGTTACTCATCAAGCTTCCTGTCATTTCGCGCTGCTCGTTGATATGACTTGCATTCTTCTCTTATTCTATCATCTGCCTTTTTCCAGATGGATAGTAAGGACATTGAGATCGAGCGACTCACTGCGGAACTCTTGTTTAAAGTAAGATGCTCAACTCATCTCACACTCTGCTGTGCCCTTGTTATCTTCTTAAGCATAATACTTAGCTCCTGCTCTGCGTCCGCTTCAGGTAGATGAGTTCAGTCATCTGAAAATCTCAGTTTTCCTTTGGTGGGGAATGATGCCAGAAAGTGCAGCACTTTATTTTTCTTCCGGATACGTTGATTTGCGCGGGATAGGAGTTGGAGAAGTAGGAGCTTTGTTCATCTCCTCTTTTCGTTTCTTTGCCATGCACGGATATGCGGGTATTTGCAGGAAGAGGAGATGGAGCAGACTCGCAAGCAGCGAGAGGAGGAGGAGCGAAGGCGCCAAGCAGCAGAGGCCGAAGCGAGGGAGTTGAAGGAGAAAATGGCAAGGGCTGGGACAGAAAGGTGAGATTGTTTATGCGATCATGTGAAAACTGCCTGCGACAAGGGGTGGTTTGGAAGCAGCGAGAGGAGGAGCGAAGGCGCCAGGCAGCAGAGGCCGAAGCGAGGGAGTTGAAGGAAAAGATGGCGAAGGCTGGACAAAGAGGTTAGTGAGAATGGGAGGGGGAGGGGAAACGTTCAAACGGATGAGACGTTCAAACGGTGAACTCTGAGAAATTTGGGTGGAGGAGAAACGTGGGGACGTGATAGACTTGTCGCTTCCTCGTCGCAGCCTCCTGTTTGTTTGTTACTCGTTTATCCGTTTTGATTCGTTTCATCTGATTCGTTTCATCTGATTCGTTTCATCTCCCCACTTCTCCCTGTTTTTATTCCACAACGGCCATCTCCAGAGAGCCACGTGTGCAGGAGGATCGTGTCGAGATTTTGGAGCAGCCAAACGGGAAGGACATGAAAGGCATGGTGGGAAACGCAGGCAACACAGAAGAGGCACGCCGTGCTGCTGCTTGTGATGCTGCTGCTGGTGCTGCTCGTGTTGAATCTGGCGCTGCAACTGGTGTCACTGTCGCTAATCAGGCTGCTCGTGCTGCTTCTGGTGCTGCTGCTGGGGCCTCTGGGGCTGTTTCTGCTTCAGCGTCAGACCGTGACATGGCTTGTTTGCACAGTGCCCTGCAGAGAGTTTGGAACGGACGACTGCCCTCCCCATCTCCTACCTCGCACTTAGCTAAGTGTGACAGAGCACTGCCTGTTGGGAGTACCATGAGAGTTGGCAAGTACGGTACAGCGAGCATGGGAGGGGGATCGGAGAAGAGGCAGGAGGAGCAGAGGCTGGAAAGGAGAGAGGGTGAGGGGAAGCAAGCAAGTGGAAGGAAGCAGGGGAATGATGACGTGGCAGTGATGGAAGTTGACAGCGATGAGGCAGGCGCTGACTCAGCGCATGACCGCAGTGACTCAGCATGCGGCTTCGATGAGTCAAGGCCCTTGATGCGTGACTCAGCAGAGCACAGTCGGTTTGTGGCATCACAGCTGATAGCGTACTGTCCTCGAGACTTTCTATCCCTGGTTGCAGCGCCCACTGCCGCTCACTCCCCCCTAGCCATTGTTGCAGCTGCCACTGCCACTCGCTGCCTTCCCGTCTATGCGTCGTCCCGTTCCACTCTCTGCCTCCCTTACATTGCAAGGACCACAGCCCCAGACGCAAACATGCACTGTCGCACTGCCACACACGCACAGGCGCACAGTCCTGGCACGTCACGTCTTCTTTCCACTAACGATGCAAGGGGATCAGCAGCTGCGTTGGGATGGAGAGGTGGAGAGGAGATGTGGAGAGGGGGAGTGGATGGGGATGGGAGGTGCGCAGATGTGCAGCGGCAACTGCAAGACGGCTTCTCGAATGTGAGTAATAGAGATCATCAACCTTATTCACGCATGAGACGTGCTGGCAGCAAGCTGGGCATCTGTGCATGGGATCTCTATTGAGGCGCCTCAAAAGCCATTTGTGCATGGGATCTCTATTGAGGCGTCTCAAAAGCCATTTGTGCATGGGATCTCCATTGAGGCGTCTCAAAAGCCATTTGTGCATGGGATCTCCATTGAGGCGTCTCAAAAGCCATTTGTGCATGGGATCTCCATTGGAGGCGTCTCAAAAGCCATCTGTGCATGGGATCTCCATTGAGGCGTCTCAAAAGCCATTTGTGCATGGGATCTCCATTGAGGCGTCTCAAAAGCCATTTGTGCATGGGATCTCCATTGGAGGCGTCTCAAAAGCCATCTGTGCATGGGATCTCCATTGAGGCGTCTCAAAAGCCATTTGTGCATGGGATCTGCGCAATGTCTTTCTATCAGTGTGTCTCAGCGATCTTCCCCTTCGTTCCCCATCTCCCCCCCTCCCTCCTCTCGTGTACTCACCCATCTCTTCCCCCTGCTCCCGTCTTTCTCTTCTTTGCTGCCCTCTCAATCACACCAGCTCCTGATTGGCATCGACTCGCCTCACCACTTCTTCTCAACGCTGCTGGATATCGCCTGCTCGCAAGCTTCTGTACCTCAGGTAACACCTGTATCCCAGGTAACACCTGTATCCCTCCCAGGTAACACCTGTATCCCAGATAACACCTGTATCCCAGGTAACACCTGTATCCCAGGTAACGCCTTTATCCCTTTCCAGCCATCTCGCCTGCAGGCGTGGCAAGCCCTCTCCATTCTGCTTCGAATTGACCACACATGCCGCTCCCTTCTGCTCTCTCTGAACTTAAATTCTGCCCTCTTTTGCTTCCTCCTCCTTTGCATTCCACCCTCGCCCCCTCCTCCAGCCCTCTCGCCTGCAGGCGTGGCAAGCCCTCTCCGTTCTGCTTCGTGTGGACCACACCTGCCGCTCTCTTCTGCTCTCTGCTGCTTCCTCTGCTGCTGCAACCGCTGCATCTTCTGCTGCCCGTGCTGATCTCCCGCCTGCTCCTGCGGTTGATGCCCCAGATGCCGTTGTTGCTACTGAGGCTGCTGCTGCTGCGGTTCCTGCTCCCGATGTTTCAGATGCTGGTGTTGCAGCTGCTGCTGCTGCTGCTGCTCTTCCAGGGGAAACAGGAGGCTTGAGAAGGAGCGCGAGGAGGAGAAGAGGAGGGAGGCAGGGAAAACCGTTGGAAGATTCTGAAATGGGTGATGCTGCTGGGGATGGTCATGGGGATGGGGATGGTGATGCTGCTGACGATGGTGATGGTGGTGGTGCTGAGAATGACAGGAAGCGGATAGGAGAAGGAGCACAGGAGGGCAGATCAGACCAAGGTGCACAAGTGCGGGCCCCACCAGTGCGGCAAGGGGTCCTGACTGAAAGGAGATCGCTGGTGCATGGTGAGGGTGGTGAAGGGGAGGAATCTGAGACGGACAAACGTGCGCAGGGCTTGGGGATGAGGGAGTGGAGGCTCGTGATGGCTGCTGCATTTCCTCCAAACGTATCAGCTTCTTACTCTGGTTTAGCTGTAGAAAGATGGAAACAGAAGCCACCAGCAAAAGCAGCAGCAGCAGCAGCTGTGGCAGCGGCAAGCATCATAGCTTCAGCACTAGCAGCCATTCAGATTCTGGTTGCTTCTACTGCCCCTCTCACAGACCGCCATGTGTCCTTCTCCCATTTGCTGCCACGGCTCCTGTCGTTGCTGGTAGCATGGGAAGCGGGCAGAGTGAAAGGTGACTATAACGAGAGGGTAAGGGTGGTAAAGGCGGTAGTGAATTTGATTCTGCTCCTCCTCCTCCCCCTCCCATCGCAACTGCTGGATAAGCACGTCCTGCTACAGTCACCACCAATGCAACAACCCCTCCCTCTGGCACCCGCACCTCTCATTGCAGTCACAATTTCCGGGACACTGAGTGATAATAAGCACACAGCAGTGGTATCTGCTGCTGCTTTCGCTGAGCTGCTGCTAGACGTCCTGTGCTCCCTCTTACAAGCCACTGCCTCTCAACCCCACCGCACAATACAACTGTATAACACGCAGAAAGCTTATAAAGGGGACAGTGGGGATGGGGCGAGGGGATTCAAGGCTGCGTGTGGGAGGGAGAGGAGGGCCGTGGCGGAAGGTTACAGGAGTGCATGTGGCGTTATAGAAGTGCTGGGGTTGCTGTGTGGCTGGGCTGCTGGGAAAGGGATGGAGGATGGGAGTGGTTTGAGTGGAGAGGACGGGAGGAGCGGAAGCAGAGGGAGTGAGTGTGGGAGGAAGGAAGGCGAGGAGCAGGGAGGATTGCAGAGGGTGAAGCAAGAGGATCTGGAACGGATGCTGGAGCATGGGAAAGGAACTGGGCAGGAGGGCACAGGAGCGGCGATAGCTCAGGTGCAGGAGATGAATGTGCAGAGTGACAGTGCTCTTGCTGCTGCCGCACGCATCTCCAAGGCTAAAGCTACTGCCAATGGCGCTGCGGATTCAACATGTGTTGCCAACGATGCCGAAACTGCTGGTGCTGCTGCAGCGGGGATGAGGAACGGGAGGGGCACCGGAGTGGTGGAGAGCGGTTGGGAGGTGATGGCCCTCGTTCTGCCTCGCCTCTTTGACGTTCTGGCGACTGAAATAGCGCGGGTGAGAGAGGCAGTTGAGGGAGTGGGGATGGATACAGCGGGGTTGGAGGGGGTAGGGGTGAACCCAGCGCACGTTCAGGTCGTTGGGGGCTCGGTTCGGTCACAGGTTCAGGTGGTTACAGGCTTGGTTCGGCTGCTCCGAGCGCTGGTGGTGCAAGCTGCTTCGCTCCCGCTCCCTGCTTCTCCTTGCTCCTCCCCGCAACGCCAAAGCAGCCGTGCTGCTAGTGGCAATAATGAGGCTGGCGCTGCTGATACTGCTGGCGATAGTGCTGTGGGCGCTACTGCTGCTGCTGCTGCTGCTTGTGCTAATGCGGAAGGGTCTTCTATTGCTGCTGCTGCTGCTGCTGCTGGGGCTATCAACGGGCAGCAAGCAGCACAGCTGGGCATGGGGAGGTCTGAGGCATGTGTTGAGAACGCTCGTGCTGCACAGAAAACAAGTGTTGAGGTGTCTCACAAGCAGGAATCAAGGCTAGCTGCGCTGGGAGGAGCACAGGCTCTGCTGCTGCACTGCTGCCAGCAGTGCGTCCTACTCAGCATTGCACTTGCTGAGCTGGCGGATAAGGCTGCTGATGTTGTCACGCGGGATGCTGATGTGGCAGGAAGTAACTGCGATGGTAATGATGACGATGAAAATGGGGAGGAGGAGAAAGAGGAGGAGGAAGAGGAGGAAGAGGATAGTCATAGTGATGTTTCTGGATGGGAAGCTTCTTGGAAGGAGTGTGTGGGAAGCAGCTTGGTCCCAGCGGCAGAGGGAGTGGGTGATTTTCTGTCAGGGAGAGGGTGTGACAGCATGGGAGGGGGGTGGGGTGGTGTATGTGATGCCTTGGCAGCAGCAGCTGAGATGCTGAGAGGAATCGTTGAGTGAAGGAGATGCAAGTCGCAATTCCTCCTCGCGGTTTGTTTGAGGCCCAAGTCGCGAAGGCTTGCATTGATTTTTTGAAGAGTCTCTGCTGAGCTGACTGACTGCGTTTTCTGAGGAGCGCCCAGCCCAAGCCCAAGCCCGGGTCATTACTGGCAGCAGCAGCTGAGCTGAGTTGCTGAGTGGAATCACAGAGTTTAGAAGATGGTCTAATCTTTAGGATTGGAGGCTCAAGCAGCAGACATTGGTGCTGATGTTGTGGTATGGTCATTAGTATTTGTTTGATTGGAGTCGCTGATGCTGTTTTTCAAGTGATGCTCTAACTCCCGTGGCTTGACCCCAGCAACTTCCAGGTAAATGTTTAGAAACAGAAGTGTTAATTCTCCAAGAATTGCTACCGTATGTCGAAACCTGAAAGGCATTTATCCATTGTTGTGCCTTTTCCCGCAATAATATCGTACAAAACAAGCGGTATACACAGAACACGTGTTACATGTTACATCCTTGCACAAACTTTGATTACGGTATCACACACACACACATGTACACTTGCATTGAAACAGAAAAGGGAGGCCCTGGGATGGATTTAAGAACGCTGTCCCATGCCATGCCGCTTGGCTCTCATGCCAAAGTAGAGGGGGGGAGGGGAGGTGAGGAGTGGACAAGGGGAGCCAAGGGAGGGGGAGGGCAGAGGGGAAAGGGGGTCTCATGAGTGCCCCTCAATCACTCCTCCAAGATCCCTTGCTGCTCCAAGCTCATACCAAAGGAGGGGAGTGGGGGAGATGAGGTGTGAGTGGGGAGGGGAGACAAGGGGGGGAGGAATGCGGAGGGGGAAGGGGTTCCAAAGGAGGGCGAGGGCAAGGAGAAGGGCAAGAGGAAGGGTACACCTCGGTTACTCCAAGAAGGATGGCCCGTGCTGCCTCGCGCTCAAGCCAAAGGAGGGAAGGGGGGAGATGTGGGGTGAGTGGGGAGGGGAGACAAGTGGGGGAGGAATGCGGAGGGGGAAGGGGTTCCAAAGGGTACACCTGGTTACTCCAAGAAGGATGGCCCGTGCTGCCTCGCGCTCAAGCCAAAGGAGGGACGGGGGGAGATGAGGGGTGAGTGGGGAGGGGAGACAAGGGGGGGAGGAATGCGGAGGGGGAAGGCGTTCACCTGGTTACTCCAAGAAGGATGGCCCGTGCTGCCTCGCGCTCAAGCCAAAGGAGGGACGGGGGGAGATGTGGGGTGAGTGGGGAGGGGAGATGGAAGGTGGGTACGAGAAGGGGTGGGAGGGGGGATGAGGGGTAAACAGGAGAGCAGCTGAGGGTTGAGTGGGAAGAGAGACGAGGAAGAGGATGAGGGGAGAGCGGAGGGGGATGAGGGTGAGACGGAGGGGGGATGAAGGTTAGACGGGCGGGGGGAGGGGGTGGGGTGTGGGGGGGGGGGGTGGGGGGGAAGGGGAGGTTTTTTTTACTGGGCGAACGAGGAAAGAGCGGGGGAGACGGGGAGATGAGGAGAGAGGGAAGGGGAGATGTGAGAGGAAAGATGAAGAGGGAGGAAGGGGAGGGGTTTCACTGCATGGAATTTTGACATTTGCGAGAACATGTAACCTGCTCGCCGAAATCCAAGGTTCGCGAGATCGTGTAACGTGCTCGTGGACCCTCTTCTCCTTTACCCGCCCTGCCCCGTATTTAATGTCTTGCGCAACGGTTCAGACTAGAGCGCCTGCGCTTCGCCTGCCTAACGAGATCGACTGAGGCCGCAATGCCAACGCGCTATCAAGTCGACGCTTATCAAATGACTGAATTATAATCGACACTATTAATTCGTCCAATCGTTGCTACTATTCCTCCCGCGGTTCGTAACCTAGAAATTGTTGGATCTTACGACTACTGGCTGCTTATTTCGCCTCAGCAATCGTGCAGCTATTAGACGTGGGAAGCGGCTTTATGTACTAGAAGTTCAAAGCGCTAACACTGAAGTGCGACCGATAGCAACAAGAGTCGAGGCATTCCCGCTAATCGGCTAATCTTCCTGGCGAGAACACCAAGACCTCGGTGATGAGCTGGAAGGGGAATGAGCTGGAAGATGACGGATGACAGCGGGAAACACCCCCCAATCCTATTGGCTCGCATGATTTTTCCTCGATCACCCCTTGCCATTTTCAGCTGCCCCAATCAAGTTCGCAAGGAGCAAAATGAACCGCGAGAGCACCTGAACTTTCCATTCACAAATCTTGTTCCGATTTCAGCGCAATCCCGCACTTCACGCACATTTTTTCGCGAATACTCCTAGTCGGTCTATAGATGTAAAATACGTGTGCCACGTCACACCACCTCCTAGAAAATAATTTCCTGCCCCATACCCAAACCAATTGTACCCGATATCAGAGTGCCCGTCAAACCACACCACAACAGTACGCGTCCTCAGAAGATCCGCTTATGTTCAATCTGAAACACGTAAGTTTGAAATTGGTTCAGGATGCCGGGTCGCGTTGGGATGAGTTTGAATGAACACATTTCGGCCGCCTCGAAATTTGAGTTCATTGGGAACGCTTTCTGACATATTCTATGAAGGAATATATTAGAGAGCGTAGCGATAGCGAGAGAGTCTCTGCTATGGGAATGATGTTGCGCCAGCAACTTGGTAGAGTTTTGGTAGCGTTTGCCTCTAAGAACTTTGTGATAATTGAAGTAGCATTTGGGCCAAGTAGAATTGCAATATCAATTATCAAACACACAAGCAAACACAAACATATATAGGCAAGCAAGAGTTGCACAATTGTTGCGTGGCGCTGCGAGTAACCCAACCCACACGAAAGTGTTGTGCAGGTGGGTGAACGCGCCCCGCACATTTCCAACCCAACTCGGCACCGGAATGTCTCACCGTGCACGCTACTCCTGCCAACACAGCAAGTGAGCAGCGTGCCTCACAAGGCACCTACGACCCCCAAGACTCGTCATTCCTAGCACCGATTCCGCCGAGTTCGCTGCAGTAGCTCACAGTCACCCGTAGTCACTAATGACCGCCACCGAACTCGTGCGTCGGTGCCGAGTAGACTCAGTCGTTAGGCGCCGACCTGCCAAGTCAAAGGTCATCGAGGGCCCTTGCTGTCGTAGGGCCCTCTAACACTCCCCTGCCATACTACAGCAAGGCCCTTTATAATCACAGGGCATGCATACACACATACACACCAAAACAAAGGGATACACACAAACGAAACACGCTCAAAGTGTAAACACGCACCGCACCAGCCATGGATAGGCCATGGCACCATCCACATCATGGAGTGTCTAGGTCTCACTCCCCTCGCTCGAGAGCCGCACCTGCCCCACAGCCTCGAAGCAACGACTGAAGGCGGGGAAATGCAATGCCTTTGTGAGGTAGTCAGCAGGCTGCTCGCTCGTAGGGATGTACTGCAGCTGCAGCTTCCTGCGCTTGACCATGTGCTGCAGCCACATGTGACGACGCTCCATGTGCTTGAGGCTCCCCTTGAGCCCCATGCCACCTGCCACTGAAATGGTGGGCTCCTCACTCCTCAGCAGTTGAAACTCCGCCAGCAGGAAGCGCAGCCTGCGCGCCTCCTTCCCAGCCTCCACAGCAGCAACATACTCAGACTCAGTGGAGGAGAGGGTGGCGCAACGAATCCTCTGGCTCGCCCAAGAGACAGCAGCACCCCCGAGCACGAAGACATAGCCACCAGTGCTGGTCCTGTTCTGCTTGTCTCCCGCATCATCAGCATCGGCGTAGCCCACCAGCTCTAATGACTCCGGCCCCCCACCAAACTCCAGCGCCACATCCCTGCTCCCCACCAAGTACGTCAAGCACCGGTCCAACTCCTTCCAGTGCTGATCACTCCGCACAGTCTGGCCCGACCCCAGCTTGCTGCAGGCGAACGAGATGTCGGGACGGGTGGTACAGGCCGCGAACTGCAAGGATCCCACCTTCTGCCTGTACTCCTCCTCCTGGCGAGACTGCCATCCCACATCCTCGAAGGTCTGCACACTGAAAGGGTCAGAGGAAAGAGGGGTGCGAGGCACTCGCAGCGGCTGCTCCCCGTCAAAGAAGCGCCTATGGACCTTGTCCACATAGGCCCCCTGGTGCAGCCACAGCCTCCTCGTGGGCCTGTCCCGAATCAGCTGCAACCCCAGATATTTCTCCACAGGGCTAATCTCCCGCAGCTGAAAGGCACTCTGCAGCAGGTCACGCAGCTCCGCTAGCATGCTCTGACTGCGGCTGGCAGCAAGCAAGTCATCCACATACACCAGCAGCCAGCACATCTCCCCCTCAGCATCACTCTTGAAGTACAGAGCCTCATCCACTTGGCTCTTCTTCCATCCAGCCCCAAGCAGCACCCCATCCAAGGCCTCATACCACAACATCGGGCTCTGCTTGAGCCCATACAGGCTCTTCACCAACTTACATACACGAGGAGTCCCATCCTCGTAGTAGCTCGGCAGCTCCATGTAAAGGTCTCGGTCTAGCACGCCATGGAGGAACGCGTTCTTCACATCCAGCTGCATCAGGTCCAAATCAAGTGCAGCTGCAATCGCCAGAAGCACACGCGCCGTCACATAGCTTCCCACAGGGGCGTACGTCTCCTCATAGTCCACCCCTGCCACCTGCGTGAACCCCTTCACCACCAGCCTCGCCTTCTCACGCTCCACTATCCCATCTGGTCGGAACTTGGTGTTCAAAATCCAGCGGTTCTTCATCACATTCACCCCTGGCGGACGCGGAACCAACTCCCACGTCCCCTGCTCAATCAAGCTCCGCATCTCCTCATCCATCGCCTCTTTCACCTTGTCTCCTTTCCAGCAGCCCAAGGCCTCCTTCACTGTCATTTTCGCTATGTCCCACTGCCTCTCAGGGTCAGCTGCCACGTCCGGGTCCAGGTCAGTCCACTCCTCGTCCTCCTCCTCGTCATCCAAGCCCGCTGGCTCAACCACTACAGCCCAAGCGTATCGAACAGGCGGGACACCACGAGTGATGCGAGTGGAGCGACGCAGTGGTGCAGTGGTCGTCCCAGAAACCAACACACGACCACCATCTCTAATTCCCCACATCTCCTGCTCCCCTGTCTGCTGCTCCCCAATCTGCTGCTCCCCTGTCTGCTGCTCCCCTGTCTCCTGCCCCCCACTCTGCTGTACTCCATCCATACTGCTCTCGTCCTGCAGCTGCTCAGTCTCAAGGCGCTGCCCGTCGGTGATCTCCACAGACGGTGGCACCTCCATCCCCCCCTCACCAACGGGCGGCGCCGTGGAAGACGAAGAAGAGGGCGGAGCAGGTGCAGGAGGGATGGAGGGTGGAAGGGGAGATGGAATAACAGGAGGAGGAGGGGAAGCCAAGGGGGGTGAGGAGGAAAAAGGCGGGGCAGGGGGAATCACACGAGGGTAGACTGAAGGCGGAGGTGGGGTGGGGACCGAGGTAGGGACATAGGGCATAGCAGGAGGTGCGACCACCTCCTCCTCCTCCTCCGCCTCCTCGAGAGTGATCGGGAAGAGTGAGGGAAGGGGCTCATAGGGCATCGAACGCCCCCCATGCTCCTGCTGATGCCAAGCCTTCCATCCTGCTAGGGACATGGTCTCATAGAACACAGCTTCCACAGTGGTGATGAGGCGGTTGGACTCCAAGTCCAGCACGGCCCAGCCCTTGCTCGCAGCTGACACACCCAAGTGCAACCCCCAGCGAGCCTTAGGCGCCAGCTTCCCCCCACGCTGCGACTGTGGTACCATGTACTGCAGCATGCAGCCCCAAACACGCACCATACTGACATCAGGTTTGCGTCGGAAGGCGAGCTCGTACGGCATCACACCAGAGGGTAGTGAGGCGTGCTCCACGCGGTTGCGCACCTAGACGGCCTGAGCCAACGCCAGGTGCCACCAGTGATGCTGCACACCCATGTGCAGCAACATCGTCCGCACCGCCTCCACAATGCTGCGCATCTCCCTCTCGGCCATCCCGTTCTGCTCCGGCGTGTACGGGCATGTGAGGTCATGGATGATGCCTTTACCGTCGAGGAAGAGCGTGAAGTCGTGCCCCAGGAACTCGCCACCCCGATCAGTGCGCAGCGCCTGCACCGTGGTCTTGCACTGTCGCTCTGCCATCGGGAGCCACTTCTGGAACGCCGCCAGCGCATCACTCTTCTGGGCCAAAGGGTAGGCCCAGACATATCGCGTCTTGCGATCCTTCAGCACCAAGAAGTAGCGGTTGTCGTCCTTAGCTGCTTCACGGAAAGGGCCACACAGGTCAGCATGCACCACCCCGAGCAACTCATCCTCCTCCTCTCCCACAGAAGGAAAGGTATGACGAGTGATCTTTCCCCCAACACAGGAGACACAAGGTATGCCTGACTTGCCCCCCTTCTCCAAATCCAAGCCCTTCACTGACCCGTGAGCCGCTGTGCGCTCGATGGCATCAATACCAACGTGTGCCATACGCGCATGCCACAGGTCCCCCTTAGACCGTACGCCCGTCGCCAAGGTACGAAGTGCCACCGTTTCGCCTTCCTGCTGCTGCGTCGAATACGGCTGGAAGGTCGTGCAGAGAACACGCCCCTTGAACTCCGCACGACCAAGGAGCGATCCATCTGG